TTCTTTAAATAAAAAGCTTTTCGCAATTTCATGTATACTTTTATTCGTATATTTTTTTATAGGAAATGATCCAAGAGAAATACCATCCACAGTAATGCCTAAGCTGTATCAGATGATGGCTATCATGCCTCAATGTTTGAGTTCAGTAATCACTTATGTATTTGAACTTTTTATAACTAAACATCAATCATTAAAAATTGAATTTCCGCTCTGTTTCTAAAATATAATGTGTTCAATTAAATTGTGCAATTCCATCCACTATGTTGCATTCTTTCAGACCCATCTTGATTTGGAGCATGGAAAAGAAGCTAAAGAATACCGGCATAGAATATTGAAATATGTCGTGAAATTTCACATTTAGAAACGATCATAATCATTAAACTACCTTTGAAACAGCTGGCAGAAAAAGAAAACGTATTAAATAATAGCAAATCCAGACATTTCCTTTTTACTTACCTGAAAATGCATTTCCTTTTTACTTACCTGAAAAAAAAGGTACTTTTTGATCGCTAAATGAATTTTTTAGTAAAATGAAATGATAGTAATGAAATTAGGTTTAATCTCTAAGATAAATAAATAATTCTTCTGAATGATTTCTCCTCAAAACAATTTCGATAGAAAATAAACGTATAGAAGATGTGTTGAAAATTGTCGTGAAAGAGTTTTTCTTTAAAGCAATCGCAAATGAGTTTTTTTTTTAAAAAAAGGTTACTATCATAAAAGGTTGCTATCATAAATTCGTACAAAGCAATAAAACTGTACAAAAGATAAGACAAGCAACCTTTTCCGGACGAAACTGAAACTTTTTAAGTTTCTAACAAGCATCCATGCGAAGAAGAAAGAGTACATTTACTCTTAGTGCAGAAGGGAGGATTGGAACAGATGGATAGCATGGTAAAATAGCCATACGACAATTATCAGAAAATATTAAGGGATGAGTGGATCACTATAAGTTAATAATATCCTCGTAGTACTATCGACAGCGATATTGATCGTGATATTACTCCGGTTTTGATTGTAATACTAATACTGTCACTGATTGTAATACTGATACTCCTTGAGCTTGATTGAGACCCATTACTTAAATTATATTTTAAAAGGGATAAAGGGATAAATTATAACTTTGCAAATATTTAACAAACAAAGTGCATTATTATAGTTCTTTGAATATAAAAAGATTAAATAACAAAAGGTCAGCTTGAAATTTTACAACCATTTAACAAGCAAAACGCATTATTATGATCTCTGAGAAATAAAGCGAAATAAGTGAACAAAGGATTAACTCAACATTTTGAAACAATTTACGCTATTAATAAATCATTTTTATAGCACCGATTTCTACATGACAAATTTACTTTGATTATTTCAATGCATTGCTATAAGAAAATTATTTCGGTTTTCCAACAGCACGACACTGTACTGAAGTTTATTACAATTTTTATTGCATGTGCATTGAATTTTTTAGAAATCAAATGGATTTTTATTTCATCGCTTAATCGAACTGTTTGTCATCCGTTTGTTTCATTTTTTGTAATTTGAAACTGGACTGTTCTCTTGCCAAAAAAACTCTAAAATTAAGCATTTTGAGATATGAATCATATCATTATAACTGATAGTGATATTAGAGATGCTCCTATAACTTTGAGAACAAGTTTTTCAAATGGAGCTATTTTTCTTTCCATTTTTTAATTTTAGACTTCAGTTTATTTCAAACTTTGGAAAATTTCAGTATAGCTTCCGTTTTATAAAATAATAGACATACCTCTAAAAGCATATTAGATGTCGATATAACCTTGAAATAAAACTAAGAAGGAAGCAGTACTACCGAACAAACAAAAAAGAAACTTTGATTTGTACATGTCATGAGTGACTTATTTTTCTTGAAGAAGCGGTTCTAAGTGATATGAAAGCTTTGTGAATTAAAAATACTATTTAGATTTAAAGCAAATTGTTACTATGAAGTTAAGAAATCGAGAATAAGATTTTTATTTCATCATACCTGCAATTATAATAATCTTATCTCGGATTCATCCCTTAAACTCTTCAATATCAGAGTAATGAATTCAGAATGACGTAAGCTTTCAACTGTTGCTTAAGCATTAGCATAATTTTAAAATTGCATTAGGCCCAAAATCGTGGGGAATGGTAACAATGGTAACAAAATTACGAGCGACTTAGGAAAGAAGCATATTATTAAAGGCGATGAGTTCCATGAGCCTCATATTGATGTCTTGCATGGAAATGATCGATAGGTGGAACATACTGATGTAATATCAGGTATTATTTGCTACCTGGCTCTCAGTGAATAAAACTCCAAAGAAAGGTAATCTCTCGTTAAATGATCCTGTTGAAAGATTTGATCTCAACTCTTGTTTAATGTTGCTGTAAAGGCATAATTTATCTTCATCAGTAACGCATTTTTTAAGCGAATTTTTGCTTGAGAAAAGTAATTTTCTGAGACAAAAAAATTCGAATCATCTCAAAAATTAAGAAAAATATTTGATTGAAGATTTAAAACTTACAGATTTCTTCACGATATTACAAAATGTTTCTTTAATGTCAACAATGCTTCTTTTGGGTTCGATTGTCGTTAGAAGTTGTCATCGACATGTTTACATGCATTACATATTTTCGGAGCTACTAAATAAATCAAAAATTTGCTAATTATTTTCTAGAGCAAATATTTTTGTAACAGGAACTGGATATTATACATTGCTTTATTTGGCAAATGCACATGCAAAATATATTTATGCTATCAACTGAAATGAACATATTATACTACACAAATAAGAATATTTAGTGCGTTTCATCCTTCAGTTGACTGCTTGATAAAATGATAAATTCAGTTCCATCTGACAAATATAAGGAACTAAATGTTGCAGAAACAGACTGTTTCCTAATGGTAATAGTAATTTCTAGTCCATGACTTCATAAAAATTTTTTTATCTTTCTGGGATCTCCGTCACTCAATATTATGAAAACTGGTCACTGTCCTCAGGTGAATAAGACTATAATACGTCGAATCAGGAAAACAGTTTTTGACATTGACTTTAGGGATTCTGCTGAATACTAACATCGCTTCTTTATAACAAAATCTCTTTTTCATAAAAATTTTGGTTACCATAAATCAATTATCCGTTACCATAGGCAACACTAAAAGGTGTAGCAGATCGCACAAATATTGGATTGTTACCATCATCACGACCATACTGGCTGCTTGTAAATGTTTGAGATCAAGAGGCGGAGTACTTCATATAAATGAAGCAATCAGGACATTAGAACAGGAAAGTGACAGTTTTGAGCTCACTGACAAACTGATTGCATACCCCAAACTTACAAGATGTTGAAAATTATTGAAATCTCCTCTTATGGAAATTTTATATATTTTGTTAAACCGGAACTTCAATTTTCACTCCTCAGAAAGACCGCGATGTCGTTTAAATCCAACTTATAGTTACACATAATGGAAATCGATATGACAATCAGTAGGATTATTGACTGATGAAACACCATATTCCTTAAGACTATCTGCTAAAAGTTGTCTTCAACATAGCTTCAATTAGCAATTCAAGAAACTTTCTTACTCTTACAGGAATGAAAATGTGAAGTATCAGCGAAGAGACTGCATTAAATAACATTACTGATACTAAAATATTGATACCGAAAAAAGGATGCACTAGAAAAGAATGATAACAATGAAAGCATCTTTTTTAGCAAAGCAATAGATAATAGTACTATGCACTGTGAAGGTTTGGTTCTCATTCAAATTTGGCAGATAATTTTTTAAGCAAAATTTTAAATTAAATGAAGCATGATATAGCAACCGTTTTCTGTGTACTCAGCATAACCAACTTCTAAATTTTAGAATCGGAATTTTTTTGAAGATCAATACTACAACACACGACATAGAATGAAAAAAAGAAAACTAAATCGTTCAGCAACTATCATGAAAGAAATGGTATTTTGCCACATGGACGAAAGGATGATCACTTGAGAGAGAAAAAGTGGTCAATGATCAATCAGATCTTGCAAAACTTTGCATGACCTGCGCTACAGATTAATTTTCACTATAAAAAATCTTTAATTACAAATCGTCTAAATCTTCGGTGTAAAACGAAACTATTCAAACATGCACAACTGCAAGCATAAAATTTGGACTTGTACAATGTTAGAAGTGAACATAGTGAAATATTACCAAATGCAAACAAATCATTTGTTGTGGATTTGTATGTGATCGGAAGATGTGAAAGAAGTGAAACGTCAAGCTAACTACAGTTTATTCCTGTTCCTGTTCTCACAGTGCTATTAAAACATATATTTTTAAGAACGAATCAATAAAATAGGTATTACTAAATTTGATATTCTCAAACAAAATCTGAAATGTAAAAACAGATCACGTCGGCTTTCAAATTGCAAATCGGAGAGGAAGAGTAAACGTAGAAGTGAATTACTGATGTTGTATAACAATTTGAAACTTAGAAAAAGTACATTTTATTCTGGGCATTAAGGTAATGTGACCAGTTGAGAATTCTCCTTCTTATCTGTCTAAATTTTTAAAGAGAAATAAGAAGGATTTCCATCCGGAAATCTTGCAAAAAAAAATCTATCTTCAACACAAAGAAGGATTGGATGACAAAGGAATGAAACCAATTCACTCTTTAAAACGTTCTATCAGCTGGAATCTAATTGCTCAGTATTTCTGCTCCAGGTACTGCGACTTGTAAAAAAATGCACCGTTTTATAAGAAAAAAATTTAATACTAACAATAAAATATAAATTTTAAAAAAATGAGTCGAAAACCAAAAAAAAATCCATAAATGCGATAACACTAACGCCATGTGAAAGACTAGGAAAAAAATTATAAGACCGATTGCAAATTGAGGAAATGCATGTAATTAATGAATGCAGTTATACATCGAAAAAAGAAAATTAAAGTAGAGATAAATGTAATACCATGTAAGAAATATTTCATAAAATTTACAAAAACAAAATGATCAAACTTATCGCCCACGAGAGATACTACGATTTGCTGCAACGCGCCTTGTTCGTTGCGACCGATTTGTTACATCTCCTACAAACCAAAAATAAAAACTAAATGAAATAATACACAAGTATATCAAAGGGTTTCATATACTCTTTACAGAGACCGAATGTTGGTATGAAAAGCATACTAATTCTGAATCTGCAAAAACCGCAATTTTCTGAATTCTTATTCTTTTCATGAAGTGAGAAATTTCCAATTAAGTAGTAACAAATGTAATAGCAATGCCTGGAAGAGTGCAAAAGTAAGAATTACCTTCCGCTCCGCCATTTTTATGAGATCGCTTTCGCCCTTTCCTAGCAACGCTGACATCATCAGAATTTATGCAGTTTCTTTTCAAACGATTTGACGCTAAAGTATATGATCAGCTTTTAAATTATTATAAGACGGCAACACTTAAGTCTATGCTTCTTCAGTTTAATTTGAAAAAAAACTTACAATCTGATAACATATTACTTTCACTTTCCTCTATCTCTCTCTTGATGTTTGTTTCTTCATTAACTATCTGGATAATATCCTCTTCTGCTTGCTCTTCCACTGCTGCAAAATATGCTATCTTGGGCCAAAAATCATGTAATGATAAAACCAGTTTTTTGCTATCGAAATAACTGAAAGCTTTGTAATTTTGACTTTAATAAAAACGGCAAGAAAGTGTGTTTCTTCAAAGATTTATTTGGAAAATAACCAGAGTACTAACCAACTGTTATTGGAGCATATCGACCGGTGAGTAATAACTGATCAGTAAGAGAACTATCTGTTGTTGCAAGTGACAATAATCCAACACGTGCTCTGCAAAAAGTTTTTAATTTTTCTTTCAAAGCATCATAAAATTATGGATGATGCATTTATAGCTTTTATCAATCAGAAACTTTCACTAAATATTAACTTATCGAGTGCTCCATTTCCTAATCTCGAGGCTTGTCGCTGCACTGAACGTCTCATATTATTTAGCACCTCATCGATATCCTGTTCATATTTTGTCAATAGCGGAGCAATTAACTGAAACAATAAAGAGTAATGAAAATAAAAACATCCTACGATATGATCAACAGATTACATGTGGGTATTAGCTATACAACTTCCTTTCTTTCTATGAAGTTTGTGCGTAGAGACACTCTTTCTGAGAACTATTTCAAAATACATCTAATTCGAAATACTCTTACTGGAAATAGGAACGTCTCTCAGAGTTACATGTTTCTGAACTATTCTTCAATGAGCGTACAAATACATGACCTATCAACAGCCCTAATTTCCTTCGAAATGCCAATGCACTACTTTAATGTTAATATTTACTTTTTGATAAACGACTGAAGCACCGTCCGTCCATGGTGACGCTGTCCAAATCAGAAAGCTCATCTTCATCAGCAAATAACCAGGCACAATATATGGCAAAAGGAGTAGATCACCAATAGTATCGGCTGCTAGAAAGCCTGCATAAACTGTCCAGTACTTCAACAATCGTTTCTGAAACAATTCAGGTTATTCCTAGTTGGAGGCTTTTATGAGATTATTATTGAGAAGGAAATATGACAAATAAGGGAATTGTAACCATTCGTAAAAAATCGCCCTCACGAATGACTTTGAAAGTTTCGAAAGCTGGATAAAGAGCTCCAACCAGAACAGACGCGGCGTGTGAAAGTAAGTGAAGAACCATCTGAAATCAACATTTCCCAATACCATTGGCGATATATATTCTTATGAGGCGATGAAACCCATCTAACGCATAACCAGTTGATAATCCCCAGACATTATGAATTAAACATTATCGGAGGAGTTCCAATAAGTTTAATTATGCCAACTCAATAAATGAGATAGAAAAGCGAATCCGGAAAGATGATACAAATGAAGAGATAACCATCTGCAAGTCCGAATGCTTCAATGATAAGCTCAATAGACTGATTTGATCTGATCAGACAGAACTATATGCTCCATCCTTCAAAATTGAGAGAAATCTGTAAATTTTGCTTTCTTTTGGCGTTAACATTAATGTTAAAAATGGAAAATCACATATGTTCTGCGGTCTTTACCTTCCACTGCATCTTTAAGTAAAATTAGCTACTCATACCAGGCCTATCTAATCTATGCCAGGCCTGTCTATTTCCAGACCAGCTTGCCCATATTCGAACTAAGCCCTTCCGCATTCACATTAAGCTTTCACACCAAATCACCGATGCCCCTCCCCCTTAGCCCATCTCCGTGAATATCATTTCGCAACAAAACATATTTTCAGTGCGTTGTAAGGCTTGTGATCGCGTTGCGAAAAAATAAATGATGGATTGAATAGGGAGGAGATATGGAAAAGGGATTTGGGGAAAGAGAACGGAGTGGGACTGGTAGGGTAGTTATATGCAAAGAGCGGGTTTTGTTCTTTACATCTAGTTTTAAGACCAAAGTAATCTTTTCTAAAAGCCATAATTTCTATCATAGAAATCAAATTTTTTAATTGCTATTAGTATGTTTGATATTGCAGGAGATAAAAATGGCTCGCAGCGGATTACCACGATACTTTACAAGTGAAAATGTCGATATGGGGGTAAGGTATACTTCCTTGGCTCCCATTTTTATTTAATTCCATCCTCTCTTATGTATAAAAGATTTATACTTCATTCATATACTAAAATAGGCTGGGATGATCCACTGGTAATGTAATAGCTATCGTTAGTTTAGTAGTCTTGTACCAAGTTCTTTTATTATTATTCTTACTATTACTAGTATTACTAATTATTATTATTAGAAAAGAAAAAGTTTCCTTTTTATTATTCTGAGCATAAAGTCTTAGAATGGCATCATTTCTTTTCAGACAACTCTTATTGCTATGGAATTCGACGGTGGAGTTGTGATTGGTACAGATTCGAGGACAAGTTCTGGGTATATTTAATTTTTTTTCATTTCAGACTACATTTATTTAATCTGCACATAATATTAACGTTTAATAAGAAACAATATGTTTTTTTTTCAATGATATGATGTTGCCATGACTTAAGAACTTCTAAATAAAGCACACATTTATGGATGGAGAATGGTAAACGATATAGAAATTAGAAAGGGAACGGGCAAAAAAACGTAACAAGCTAGGATGTAAGATTTTTAGTTCTACGTAACGGCCTACTTTTCATTCTTATTTTTCTTCTATAACTTATAGCATCTTTTGAAAATGAAAATTTTCAAAAATACACTATGTTATTACATTTCAGTAAAGACATGTTCTTTATAAATTAATTTATATCTTCTTATGATCACTTACATCTTTTTTCGGTGCATGTTTGCTATTTTTTCGGCGTAACTATTGCGATGTTGTGTGGGAATGATGCATTAGTTTATTTGACATTATTATAAGCAAAGGCTGCTTTAAGTCGCCCTACCTGTTATCACGTCTTAGTATTTATCATTTTATGCTGGGTAATCGTATAGTACAATTTTATTTTAACGTTTTTCGTGGTGTATAGATATTTCCAAGTGGTAAGTGTATTGTTTTCAGAAATTACATATCATCTCGTGCCACAGATAAAATTACTCCCATTACGGATCAAATGGTTGTTTGTCGTTCTGGCTCTGCAGCAGATACACAAGCAATTTCCGATATTGTAAAGTACTATATTGAAGTTTATTCGTAAGTTTTAATCCGTTCTGATTTTAATAAGGATTTTGCTATGGGAAATTTCTGAAGTTTGTACATGCAGCTTTTTTTCTTTTAACAGAATGATGGAAGAAGAAAATGTCACTATTGGACGCTCTGCTCAGATCTTTCGAAATTTTCTGTATAAATACCGCGACTCTCTATCAGCATCGGTTCTGGTTGCTGGCTACGATGATGTTGAAGGTGGACAGGTCAATGCTTGTTAATGAAATAATCTTTCTTTAATCTCTCTCTCTCTTTAATTTTATAATGTCTCCAATTACTCTCAATATTTTTTATTAAAATTAGCATGTAATAGCTCTTTGTTATCTCAAAAAAATTTTTGTTTTAGCTGTATGCAATTCCACTGGGTGGTTACGTAACTCGGCAACGATGTGCAGCAAGTGGTAGTGGTAGTACATTTGTACAAGGTTTCCTCGATAGCCAGTGGAAGGTAAATATATGGTACTTTTCTATGAAGAAAGCAGTAATTTGAAGAGCTATGCTTTTGTTCCCTTTTATTTGTTCACTTGCATATCTTTACGATTCAAAAATATTACCAAAAAAAAAAATTCATATCAAACATTTGTAGCCTGGAATGATTGCTGAAAAATGTAAAGAAATAGTACTCAGTGCAGTAGCTCTGGCAACAATACGTGATGGGTCTTCTGGAGGTGTTATTAGACTAGCTATTATCGACAAAACGGGCACGCGAAGAATGGCTAGTTGTTTGATTCTTGAAACTTTATCATTAATATAGCAGGATGTTTTTTTGTCTTAATTTCTCCATCAAATTTAATTTTCATTAATTAATTTATTATTTTGAGTTTAAAGCTCAAGAACTAATTTCTTTGAGGCCTTTCATTAGAAGGAGATTGCTGATCTTAATTGCGTAAGACATTTTTTTGAATAGAATTTTTATTTTTTCAGTTGAAGTGAGGTCGTGGATGTCTATCCTCTATTCTTATGATTGCTTAATGTTAATAAATTCACTTACATAATCTTTTTTATATTTCAGCTTATTCGGCCGGATGGGAATCAATTCCCGAAGTTTGCTGATATCCCAGCACATTTAACATATCCGAAACACATTATTCAGTGATTAAATTCTTTTTTTGAAATTGCATGTTTTGATAGAGATATGTTAATCATTCTATCAATAATACAATTCCGATTATTCCGCATTATGACTAAATTGTGGAGCGTATAAAATTTTAGTATACCAAGAAGGTTTTCTCGCACAAATGGTAACGAGGCATTTCTGTTAAAGTTTGGTTTAATGACTTCGTTGTCGTAGTTTATTTCGTTTCTTTTCTGTAACATTGCTTATTTCAAATAAAGACAGTTTGGATTTTTCGCCATTGTTTGGAGTTTTAAATTAAAGGCGAAGAAAACATATACATGGCTATATCGAAGCACTTCCGAACAGTTTAAAAAAGATAGTAGTTTCTGAATTGTTGCTTTAATTTGCATAGTCTTAGCAATCTAAGAGTTTTCTCCTCTTCAAAATCAGTTCTACCAGTAAAACGGTTGTTCAGCAAGTGGGAATGAATTCAGTCATAGCTATTTTGCTTATTGGTTTTGGTGCAGAAAGTTTTGTAAGTTCCATTACTATTTGAAATTAATGAATATTCAAGCTGATTTTTCAATCATAATATCGAGCTTTGGAATTAAGACATCTCCGAGATATGATTATTACACTATGTTCATCTACAAATGCTCATATATAGGGCTCATATGCTTTGAAGGGTCATTGTTTCGTTTATTTTGGAACAAGTAGGACGAAGATCGAATTTTAAATGTGTAAGAATTGCAGCTGGACGAAGAGAATGTGATACCAGATTTGGCACCTCATATTGATAATCCAATGGAGTTTGAATTCATTGAAGATACGCATAAGAAGCACTATTTGAAGTCACTGTTTACAGAATCCTTTTATGAACCGAACTGTGATGGTAAACCCAATGTTACGGTAAAATGTTGGTGATTTCATGAAAAACTAAAGTTGCTTTGAATAAAATTCCTTTTTTTATAGAAGTTACACTTAAAATTTCAAGATAAAATAATCTCCACTTCTAATTAATAATTGGAGTTTTGTGATTGTTCGATTATACTGTAATTTATGCAGTATACTTTAAGACGTAGTCTTAGCATAAATTATAGCAAAGCTAATGGCATATATTATAAGGTTTTCCTAGTTTTTATAGATCAAACCAATTTATTTTTGGCCAGGTCAACGTATTGACCTTCGATGTGTAATGTGTCGTCGAGCATTTACTTTTAACGGATTAATGAAGCACTGGTGGTTTATGCCGGCAAAGGATGTTGAGGATGCACTTGGAGATATGAAAGTTTGACTTTTTTGTCAAGAAGCAGAGCTCAAGATAGTGAAAATTAATTTTTTACTTTATCTGGTTGCCTCCATTTATCAAAACAGTTCACAATATTATCTGCATTTTGATATACGAAGCGATGGACAATTTCCCCTAGTTGTTAGGCTGGCGTGGAATGCATCTTACTACCTTAATTATTCATTTATTCTTCGTTTACACAGATATTCTTTTCGTTCTATCTACTTTTTTCGTGCGCATTTTTGTTTATCGATAATCAGTGTATTCAATTGTATAAAAATTTAGAATGTCTTAAAGAAGTACGTTAATTTTTCATAAAACAGAAAGCATCATAAATCAGATTACTGCATTACCTAACTTATGAAATCAACTTGCATTTAAATATTTAAAACTATTAATAATTATTATTAATGTTACATTTCAGGTTCTCAAAAATTCACCTAAATGGAATCAACATTTGGTGACGTTAAGCGCTGATTTTGGAGATAATAGATGGCGTGATTTTGGTGCAATGCCTAACAGTTTCGAAGCTGCGACAAATCCGCGATCACAGACCGTATTCATACAAAGAAGAGGGATGCTAATTTTGTTGCAGGTATTGTACTCATTCACGACTAAGGATAGTATAACTAACAAAATTTTCAGTTTGTTTGTGGTAGGAATGAAACACTATACCACAACATTAAGCATTGTATGTGGGACACTGAAGCGTAGTATTCCATCAGTCGAGCATATTGGCTCAATTAAACTTCATAGTTATTTATAGTTTTTAGAGTAAGTAGGATTTTGTTTAGCTACAATTGATAATTATTTTATTATCATTGCACATTGCGTATGAAAGTTTAAAAAAATTTTCAGCCAACATCCGAGAATGAAGGCTTATACCGTTGCTTGGATATAGCCTCAAGAAATACCTTACACTTCATTTATTATTTGATCGCAATGCAACCTCTTTTCATTTATCTTCAGTAAGTAATTTCGTTTCCAAAAAAAGATAAAGATTTTGACTGATTATACACAACGTAAGGAATGTTGAAGACTGAATCTATGTTTGTGATGAAAATTATGCATTAAAATTGTCCATAATATGTATTGAAAATAGGTGAATAAATTTTAGATGGTTTAAAGTTTTCTAACATTTTTCCCATCATCTCCAGTGATCATTTGCTTTCTCTGATTGCAAGACATTTAGAAGATACGTTTAAAAATTTGTTAGCCTAAAATTTATGATATTCCTTTTATCTTCCTCTCGTAATTTAAAAATATTTTCTGATTATTAGTGTAAATTGAGAAGTAGACTTTGTCAATAAGATGTTGCAATGGTAATTCTATTATTACATCATTAATGATTAATCTTAATAATTTAATTTCGAATTCAAGTCCTGGTGAAGAGCAAATTTCTCAGATTGGTATGTTTATGTTTCTAACCATTTTTATGTTCTCTCATATACATGGTCGCTTATATTCATCGATAAGAGCTAATTAAATTCATTAAACAATAGATACTCGAAATTTAAACATAATAATGCACTATTTATCATTTTGAATAATTAATGTTAGGTGAAAGAAAATATTTCTTTCATATTATTATGTATTAATATATCGAGTCTATTTTTGGTATTCTTTAAAATAATTTTCAACATACTATTTTGTACATGTAACTTAACCTAAGAATATTAGACTTATGAAAATACGAAAAAGAAAAGTAATAACTGGCAAATTTATCGTAGTTGACTGAAAAATAATGAGATTCCTGATTTGACACCACTTTATTTAATTCATTTTAACCTAATTTGCTTAATTCAGAAGTTATATCGCGCATTAAATTTTTTTGAACAGAAAGTGAATGTCCAGAATCGCAAGGTTTTCCTGATTCAAACTGGAAATTTCGTCATATTCCTCCTACATATATACGTGATGCATTTCGGATGTGCACTATGAATTGGACATCCTGTCTTGATTGGGTAATTCCCCTCTGAAAAATTTGTTTTTTTGTTGATATGGTTTTTAAATCACTTTGGTTTTGGAAGAAATGATGAATTTGTCTTAAAAAAAATGGATCAAACAAGAATTGTCATTTCGATTACCGATTCAATTTATCAATTAAGTTGATGCAATAATCCAAATTTTTTGTTTGCTTATTATTGATTCTTTTATTCGACTATGTAGTAGTTGTCTTTCATGTTAGCTTAGTTCTTAAATTTAGCAGTCATTCAAAATTTTAATTAATGAACACTTTTAATAATAGATGCAGTGAAGTTAAGTTTAATGAAATGATTAGATATTCAAAATTTCAGGTAGTCAGTGATAAAAATATGAACGAAGAGATGAGCTGGAATTTGCACAGATATTCGAAAGATGCTAAACTGGCAGAAAAATTTGTGAATTTAAAAATTCAACTACAGTGGAATGAGTGGTCGTCATGCGAGCAAGGTACTACAGTAAGGACTAGAGAAGGTGATTTTTCAATTTCTTAAATTATGAAGGAAATGCCTTGTAGCTTCTTAGAATTTCCATACTTTTAGGTCATTGTTACTTGAAAAAGATAGATCCAAGTAAAGATATCGGTCAACTGGTAGATAGTGCATTTGCTGCCTACGATCTATTCAACTGGGTGAAAAAGCTCAAAAATCATATGTCAAAAATTCCTGAATTCAATATTACTGGCATACGTCTTTATAGGTGCTGCAATTTTCCTCATCCATTCCTCCTATTAAATGAAATTAATTTAAATTCCAAAAAAAATTTAATATGAATGAGCTTGCAAATTCATCATCACTAATAGATTCTTGTTTCAGTGCATTGATATCAAAACTAATTCATGAAGGTGCATTCGGCGATGACAAAACTTACGACGATTGCTACAGCGTTCGTTTTAATGTTACAGTCTTTTTTAAGTTTATTCGTTTCAAATTTATTTGATTGAATTCTGTTCAATATTAGTTTTAAAATTCTTTAAAATAGCTTAATGTGTTTTAAAAAAATTTGAAAAGAATTTTTTTTCAGATGAAAGATATGTTCTTTAAGAGACCAAAAGCTACAAAACGCTGGATCAACGCAATTTTTGCCGCATTCGGAATTGATAATGCCGAATCAATGTTGAAGGCAAGTGATCGATTATGCCTGTATTATTATAATAAGCCGACGATACGAACAGATAAAGCACCAGCTAGCGTCTTCGTTGGTACCCATCTTGTGGACATTCAACGTTGTCCAGTTCTTTGAATTGTGTAAACTTGCATTCGTTTTGTTAATTTTATTATTGTAGAATTACTAAATATTTCGTTTTTAAAATAGAAATTGAGTTTTTTTGAAGCCTTCTAGCACATTCAAATTTTCTTTTGTGCCACTTGCCAGATTCTATTTTTTGGTTTGGTGATTTTGTTCCTACAGTACAATTTCAGGTTGTTTGACTCAATTTCTTTCCATCAACAGGATTTTGCTTTTCTTTCCCTCTTCTTTTTTAAATAAAATTTCATGTTATTCACTTATTTTGCTTTCAGTTATAACATTTCTAGTTAACCAAGTGTTTCATTATTTTGCATTAATCAAGATGCTTGCCTTAATTTTTTACCTTAAAAAAACGTTACTTCTCTTAATTCAATAAATTTGTCCTACGAAGCAAAAATAGTTAAATCCATGATTCATCATTGCATTTTACTGATTACCAGTGCGTTTTAACTGTTACCACCATTTTAAAAAGCAACACTACAATGAGAGGAACTGCTGTTGAAATTAATGTAGCTAAAGAAAACTTTGGAGATGACATTTGGATTCGACCTGATAACGAATGAACTTTGTCTGTGAGAAAAGTGCAGGTGACAGTATTTTAATTTGATTTTCACAATTCTCGATCATACAACCATCTTACGAATTACCTTTTGTTGCAAACCATTCTAGGTTATCACATAAAATTTCAAATTAGATCAAACTGTTGCATTACTGAGGATAATAAATTATCCCAGCATGTTTGCTTTTATAAGCGTTTGAAAAATTTTCTAAACGTTTTTTCTTTTCGAAAATTTTTAATATTAATAGTACTTTTTAAAAAATTGAAAGAAAAATATCCTGCCGGTTATTAGCTACTAGCATTGTAGTGAGCGATCTGATTCATCAGTGTGATTGGTTATCTTGTTACTTCATCATTTATTATTGGCTATTTTTTGTAACCTTTTAGGATTAAATAAGTCTCAGAAGCTTGAAAATTCTTGGTTATCGCAGAACACTTCTCCAGGAGCAAGGAAATCTATATTGATTTAGTCAAAATGTGTTAATAAAAAGAAAAAATTGAAACTAAATTTTGAAATCTAAAAATGATTTAAGTCATTGTTTTTAGTTAATTATACCTTAATTTTTTTTTTAGAAAGCATAACACATGTCATATTTCTTTTCTTGAGAAGCTTTTCGATTTTTCGAATTTTAATCGATATGATTTATACAGGAGGAAGAGGGACAGAGAGAAAAATACAGTCGTTCCTTATTTTGTTTACAATTAAATATTAATATATAACTGATTAAAAATTTAGCTTAACTTCGATGACATTCAAATAATAGCAGTTTTATTTTGATTAGTATTTCTGTTATGGAAATATCAGGAATATAATCACATCCTCCTTGGAGATATTTGCGCCATTAAGATTATTAATTTAAATTTTTGCGCTAAAAGATTTTTTATTTTGAATTACGATGAAATATTGATAAGTGAAATTTGTGTGATAGATTTGTCAGAAAAATGAAAAAATTCATCGTAAAAGATATTCTATCTTAAATGTTCCCTTTCTTTGCAATAACAATAACAACAACAAGCTGAAAGATATTGTTAATTCACGAAAAAAAGGCTTTGATGTATTATTGTGGTGACAGTAGTGGTGATAGTAATGATGGTGACAGTGATAATCATGGAAACGATCGAACGAGTAGTATAGAACACTGCCTAAATTTTGGAGTAATGAATAGTGTGCAACCCGAAATGACCCCGTTATCATCCATTCCTCTTCTCTCTTATGTATGTAATTCATCGTGCAAACAAAACAGATTGCTTTTTTTTGCAAATTTAATTGATTTACTGATTCTTCTGTTGAATTTTCAGAAATAAACTGCCATTTACATAAAAGACACATATTTTGTGTTCGATGTCTCTTCCCGGCGATTGTTTCTCAATTCAACTTTCTATTCATCCATTCTGACTTTTCCATATTCTTTTCATTTTTGCAACCTTTTGTGGGGCAAATAGCTGTCAATTCAGACAATCATTTAAAACTCCTTGCTCAAATATTTTAAATTTTACGAGACTGGCACTAATTTATCTTATGCTGCGCAATCACTGCTCAAAGTTTCTTTCGGCCTATTCTAATGTTATTCCATTTTGAATTTCACAAATGATCAAATAATCGTTGGTAAAATATTAGAGGCGTGAAGTATAAAAGGGAAATGATATAACAAGCTGAAAAGAGATATGAATGGAAGGAAAAGATGAATTACAATATTGTTTTAAAATTGAGTTAAAATAACTATAAAATTGAAGAATAGCACTTAGAGGAATCTTATCAATGCAATTTTAATGTTATTTAGTACAATATGCTTATGATCAAAAGGCGATTGAATGGAATCTTTGAAATAGGCATTGATAACAAATATTTTTATTTGTGCAATTAGTCCCATCATAAAAATGTAGCAAATAGAATATATAAGTGAAATTTCAAGTTGATTTTGCCGGATTTTTATTTTTAATTGGAAATTTGATGAAAACTAGTATTTGAAAGGATAACAATATAAATAGCCAACAACAAACAATCACTGCGTTAAGCCAATCTTCCTTCTGTAGTGCATTTTGTAATGTATCAAATTTCTTTCTTCTGTAGTGTATCGAATTTCTGCATTAAAAAGTTTATTCTTTTTAAGACGTACTTTTAATTAGGCCAAAATATCGCAGTATACTTCAGCTATTTTTACACTATCTTAGGAAAATTTAAATCACTAATTACTTCTTTTAAGAATAATTCTGATTCAAAATCTATCTCAATAGTGAATTAATTCATAACTGTTTATGATTTAATAAAAGTGACACCATAAAGGCCTTATTTAAATTGTGAAAAAATATCGAAAAATGTTTCTATTATGATTATTGATTTAATTTATTTGGATTGATCCTTCAATTAGCTTTTTTTACAAATTTTGATCATTGCAAATCACAATTGATCAATAGTGTATTCATTGAATTGTAAGTGATCTTGATCCGTATCGTTCAACACTGTTTAATATTACTTTTCGATCCTACACTCAAGATTTACCTTGATATGATTCATTTACTTCCATTCCTTTTCAAGAAGATAGTTCCAGACTGTTTCATCTTGGCTAATATTAACGGTCAATAAGTAAAATCCGAGTAGTTTTCTATTCATCTGAATGGTTGTGATGCTTTATATAACTTCACATCAGTTTTATTGATCTCATATCAAATATTCAGGCTGTTTTTACCTAGCTGAAAATAGATGAAGCAACATTTAACATAACAATTCTGAATAAACATTTTATTAATAACGTATAATGTTCAGTTAATACTAATATATTTATTACTGATCCTTTCAATTTTTTCTTTTTGAAAAAGAAATAAATGAGAAATAGTATGCCATACTTCGGCTATGAGATGTTTTGTTATGGAATTTTCAATTATCTACCGTTGGAAGAGGAAGAAAAAATGAAAACCGATATCATTTCTCATTAACAATTTATGCATTGCTTTCGGTATTTTCAAGGTTCCGTAACAGAATGCAATCAAAATTAATTGAGCTAATAGAGCCAACCGTTAGTTACACAAGTATGGGATCTGAAATGAAATACTTGACTGGTTTCTGAATTTCGAAAGTGCAATGAATTCTATTCTTCTTATTATCAAATGGCTCTTTTTCGTGGATCATTACGGGCAAGCTTTCGTAATATCTCCTATTGTAGTGCGTAAAATAAGTGATTAATCCTAACTTCAGTAATTCTATTACTGAAAAAAAATGAAACTGATATTTCTTTACTTCAAAATTAAATGATTGAAAAAAAAATGATCGAAGAAATTGGGTTTTACCTACCGTAATCGAAAGCCTTGATAGTTCCATGTCTGAAAGTTTCTTTAGTTTTTTTAAATTTTTTATCGATACCACCAACATTTGTCAGTCGTAAAATAATGGCACTTTAATTCAGTTTTGTTTGAAAACCTGTTTTTATGATTGGAGAACTGCGTTAGTTGTCGTTGCTTGTACACCTTTACTTGTCGAACTTCCTATCCTTTTCTGTATTTTTCACATATAACGTTATTTTATTTTTCATGTTTTGCAGTTATGATTTAATTTATTAAAATCCATACTAAGGTGGTAATTAAAAAATATACCTAAGTGAAAAAGTAAAAGTTCATGATATTATTGCGATATCCTCATATATAAGATCTGCATCATTTAGCAGAAATAACAATTTTTTGTTTTAAAACAATCTGTTAGATTTATTTCAACTTTTGATAATGCTAATTTCTAAGCAAGAGAAAATGTTGGCAGATATTATTATTTGTTAGCATCTTTCTCTCGTTATCACTAATTTACTCATTTCAATTATAATATCCCATATCATCACTTTAACCAATGTTAAATGAAATTCTAAACAGTCCTCATCATTGATAATAATGATTGTATTGGAGAATTGAAAGTAATGAAGTAGTTGTTTTAAGAAATGATTAAAAATCGACCTATTATGAAAAAGGTTACGGAACAGCAAATTGCCTGTACGCGGTGTAATAGAAGTTTGATGTGGGTGAATTCATCAATTGAAGAGCGTTGGAGATAGGTGAAGATAAGACAGAATGGAAAGGAAATGACAAGACAGGGTCCTATCGTTTTTCCGGTTCATTCCATTTTCAAATAACCTGTTCCGATTATTTCAGCGCGAAAGCGCAATATCATTTCTTGTTTGTTTTACTGTGAACTTCTTTACGATTGATGTTGTCCTAATAGTCTAGTTAAAATGAAATCTTTTTATGAGAAAAATGTGATAAAAATAAGAAAACAAACTGCCTAATAAACAATAATTAACAGGAATTAAGTTGATAAGCCTATTCCTGAACATTATATTCTCTCTCAAAGAGATTTATAAAAAATTAGATTACAGCTAATTTATAATACATTGTTTTATATGCTAAATCATGTATATACATATATGCAAATACATTTTTAATGAAGTTCTGACGAAAATATGTTTACAAATAAATTTAAATTGGACAGTTGAAACTTCAAAAGATTTGCATAATAAGCAATAATAGTTCAAATAAACAAAATAATATATACTAGCAAATTGTTATTGCCGTAAATATCGCACAGAGCTATTTAGTAATTTTTAAACCAGCTTTGCCATCTTTTAATCCAAATATTGAATTATGCAAATTGTTATGATCACATTTCATCCATACACAAAATTTGATAATCACATATCAATATTGATTACTTCCATGCCACGCTGGCGCTTCTGTCAAAGTATTTAATTTTGAAGCAAAGGCCGAACAGGTTGATGACTAGTCGTTAAATACAATCGTGAAACTAAACGTTTTCAACACTCATTTTCGCTTATTTTTATATGTTGAAGCAATAATTTGGAAATATCATAAGTTTTGTAATTGCCTTATTCAATTACCATTTCGATGATTTGTGCTTTTCGACTTCAGCTTTTTGTATCGCATACAAATTTTCATTTCATTATCCATCCCATTGAAAAAGTTTTTATTTATTTTACATTATATTCAAAATTAAATTAAATCAAAAATCAAGTACCACAAATAATATTTGGCTGCTGAATAAGCTGTTGAATTTAACGAAAGCAATAGTATTTGATATATTTCAGATAAGTAAATGAAGAAGAAATTGATATATTATAAGCTCAGAAATTTAACAATGACAATTCTCTCAGTTTGATATTTCATTTGTTGTTTTTTATTTGATATTTCTTCCTGAGAATAGTAGAAAATATGAAGTAGAAAATAGATTAAAATTATTTTCAAATTTCGATATTTACTTCTGTTCAATGATGAATACAATGTAATGAAATGTGTTTAGTGGACTGCTCCCTGAATTTTGGATCAGTGTTTTACTGTTCAGGTCAATTGTTCGACCTTTTTCAAGTTTATCAAATCAAATCACTAAATGAATACTTTTGCGAGAAAGAATGAATGAATAAAAGGCATTTTCAATTATAAGAAGTGATACTTTAAAGATTAGTGGAATTTTATCTTCAAATTCATTTTCCCTTCTTTTTCATCTCTCCCTCATTTCAATAAAACTAATTTTGATTATCCCAACAACAATTAAGAAAATGATAATTATGTTGAATGTTCGCATTTATTCCACAATAATATTTCACATCTTTATTTTTTATCAATTCTCGACATCATTATTTATTTATGAAATAAACAAACAAACAAAATTCATTCATTCCTTTCAATACAGGTCGTGTTTATTCTAACTATGCATAAATTAATGAATTATTTGTATCGAATGTCGAATACATAATATTACATTTGCTAGTAAATATTATCGTCGAAAATTAAGCTAAAAATTTTAATATTTCAAAATGTTTTAGAAAAATCAATTTTTTATTTTGTTTGAGCAAAAGTTTCTAAATAAAATTTCACAACATATGAAATTTGATGGTGCATTTTCATTTTGTACTGTATAGCTTAATTTATGACAATTTAAACTTTAGAAATAGAATAAATTTACAGATCTAAATAAATCTAATATTTTAAAATTAGCTGAATCAAATTATCACCGGTATTCATCCGTTTCATTAAAGAATCTTTCTGAGAGCTTCCCGAAACGAGAATACGTTGTATACTTTCAGACATTTAATCAGCTTAACTTTTTATATGATTGAACAAGTGTACAAACACTAGCAATGCTACAATGTGTCACAAAATTAAATTTTTTTATGAGTAATTTATAGCGGCAACATGAAAGGTTCATAAAAATTTAAATTTAAATTTAAATAAAATCATGATTGAAAGAAAAAGCTTTCTGAAATTTCATAAAATTTGTACACTATAATACATTAGTCTTGATTGTTATTGTGTTTATTTGTGTTATAAATATTTTAACTATTTCATTATCAGTTAATTTATTTTGTTTGCTTCTTTATCGATTACCTTAACAACTACTAAAGTTAACGACTAAAAACATTTTCATTCGTATTGTTTTTTTAAAAATTTCAATTAGCACATCATGAAGACTTTTTGTTACAATCATCGAACATTGCAACCAACTGCATATTGTTGCAACATTATGTCTCTCCCTCTCTCTCTCTTATAAGAAATATACAATCTTAATTCTCTTAGCTGTCATGATATTTGTTCCATTTATGAAAAATTCCTTTTAAATCGTCGAAGAGAATTCTAAATTATTTTTTAAATTCCTTTTTTTCATTTTTTATATTCTCTTACCACAGCATTTAATTCTTAAATTTCCTTTTTTCCACCAATATTATTAAATCCAATTTTTCCATTTATTATAACTTTCTTTTAAACTTTTTGATAAATTATTCTATTAATCTATAATATGCAAATATTTTTCAGAATTGAAAAAGCGTAAAAAGTTCAAAAAGTAGCAAGCTGGAGAACGTAGACCTCAACGATCAGCATGGCCTAATAGCGATGGCCAAGGCTAATAACAAAGTTGTTGTGAGTTTAATAATAAACTTTAATTTTTTGGTTAAAAATTAATAGTATTATCGATTAATTCTCGCTAAAACGGATAATGAGTTAATTAACAATAACAATTATCAATAGTAATCTCCTATACATTTCTCATTAACTATTATTTATGATAATTAATTAAGCATGGACTACCTAATATCTTTTCTTCCTCCTTTCTTTTCCTAACATTGTCTTTAAAAGCAATTGAATAAAATGTTTCGTATGATATTTAATTTCAGATTGCTCATAAAAATTAGTTCTGAATAAAAAATTTTTACTCCTAAATAAAAATTATTCGCTAATTTTCAAATTCTTTCAATGTTTCCTCACAAGTTCATAATATATTTTCAAATTAAAAATGGTAAACAAACAAAATATAAAACGCAGCAGAGAGAAATGTTATCGTTGGTTTTTCTGTTCTTTAATTAATTAAGTATGAGTCATTCGATTATATAATTTCTCTATGAGATGTTGTTAAACAGCAAAAAAGATATACTTCTTGTTGTTATATACAATAAAATTTGATATTATCTGTAAGATTGAAAAATTTTATTTTGAGAAAAACAGGGAAGGGAATTCAACTTGTTCGTATGAGAAATTTAAAAAATTGTTAAAGAAATATATTATCATTATTTAGGATTCAAATCCAGCCGTACCAATGGAAAAGAAGAAAGCGAAGGAAAAAGTATCAAAGAGTGTTACCTGCACAATGACAACAGCATACTTTTTGTTTCTGATTGCCATTCTTTCAATCGTATTATCATCATTTATAACTTATTGGGTAACAAAACAAACATATGATCGATCGCTTCAAATAAGGCCTACCGTCGATGTTCAACAGATAGTGTGAGTACCATTAAATTCTTTGTCGAAATCTCGGATTAAAATAGCATGCAAACGAAAATTAATTGTTGCTCTACCATTACATATTTTCTTTTCGAACATAATTTAACATTGCAAATGACTTTGTTCCTTATATTAAACGTTACAAGAAATCTCTATTAATATAGATTTTCGACTGGAGATAGTATTGAAAATATGTAATTTGTACAGCAACCAAACAGATTCAAATTAATTGATTGAAATTTTTGATATTATATCTTAGCCATAATTATGGAAATTATAACTTAATTAAATTACCACAATCGATGCAAAAATGATGTTATTTACATTGGATCTTTATTCACATGTATTTTCTTTGCGGTTTTGCTTTTTTACCCGTTCTTTATCGTATTCTATTTTATATATCATTTAAATATTTTCATCGTAGAGTGAGAATTTCATTACGTAGTAGCACGGAAAGGTGCCTGTTGAAGGAAAATCCTACTGATTTTTATATTTTTAATAAATTATTGTCATATTTAGCTCAAATATATCAGTGGATGAGTCATCAATGGAAGAGTCCGATGGTCCAACCGCAGCTGAATTACGGCTACCAAAAGATATTCTACCCATATGGTTTGTATTTTTCAAATAAAATTTTATGTTTGCTAAAAAGAGCATTTAATCATATTGCGCCTTACTAATGATGATAACTTTCGGACAGACTACAAAGTTTAAAATCTGAAGTTTTTATTAAGGGAGCGCCATTTTTCCTGACTTATTGTTGTTTTAATTTCATAGAGATATTTTATTTAATTCAAATTATTCGTTATTACAAAATTCATTTGCGAAATACTGTAGGGAAAGACAAAAATGCAGGAGAAGCTCTAGCAAATATCTAGGATTTTGTTTGTGAATGAATGAGTGAGAGTATCTCATTAATTATTTTATAATTTTGCAGGTATAATTTGACGATTAAAACATATTTACCTGGTTATGTGAACATCCCATCAACTAAGAATATGACGTTTGATGCTGCATTGACTATCAAATTTTGGATTGATGAAGAAACCGATAAAATTGTCCTCAATTCTTTAAAGTTGAATTATCCTGATAACGCGGAGGAAATCAAGATTTTACAGGATGAAGTTATACAAATCGAGCAGGTCACTTGTTTATATGTCATATGGACTTTACAATTATTTATCACTAAATTTCAACTTCATTTTTTTTTACTTTCAAAAATTGGTCATTTTCAAAAATAGTACATTCAAGAAGCAGTTCTGCTTCAGCGCACACTTACTTTATCTTGGTTTGCTGCATTTGATGAAGTTTACCATAGTTCTACTTGTTGCAAAAATCTTAACAAAGCTTTAACACTTTTGTGGCGAAAATTTAATCGCTTCTTTTTGTCAATTATTGAATTATTTCATTTAGTTATTTTATTTTTAACTCTCTTCGACAAAAAATTATCTTTTCATTTTTGATATTTAAATAATTATAGCTCAACTGGAACATATAAACAAAAGATATTTAACAAAAGAAATTTTTAGTTTTCGAGAGTGCGACGAAATTCGGAAAATACAAGTTTAGACGAATATAACATCACAATGGTACTTTCTTAAACAGTTTTGTTTAATACTTTTTAGTGGAGCATAATAATTTTTTATTCCATGCTTTATTCCATATTTTATTCCATTTTCCATGCTTCACTTGAAGAAACTGACAGTTTGAAGGACTAAAATTTGGAATGAACTTTTTTTATATCTTATGCCGAGTTGGTATTTTTTGGTTAAGTTTCATGTGTGAGATTTATATTTAGTCCTTAATTTTAGCAGAGGGTATGTTGAAGTTCGATGGACTGAGCTTTGTGATATTAGTGAATTTTTGAATTTCTTTGATATTGATCGAGTTGTTGATTTTTTTCTCTTGGGATGATATTTTGGATCGGAATGACTTTAATTTTTTGACATTGTTTTAGATCAGAACAACTGAAGAGGAAGAAAAAAAAAGTACAATGGGAATAACAGAGAATAAAATGGAAAATTCAACGTTTGCATCAATTATGAATTTAAAAGATCCGAAAACGGAAAACAGGACTACAGAGCAACAACCAAAGAGTACTAAAGTTGTTGCTAATGTTAAGGTTTTTAGTTACAGTTATTCTTAGAATAAATGCTATTAACTTCCCGTTTTCTCAGACGTTTGATATTCGAAGTAATTTTTTCTAAATTCAATAAAAGTTTCCTTTTTTTAATTTTGTATTCAATCATATTTCTGATCAAAATTTAGGTGATAATTATAAATATATTATTAACATCAATTTGAAATCTTTATTGAAAACATACTGTATTCAGGTGAAGGAAATTGTTGTGAACGAAACATTGGAAACGGTAACACTGTTGCTGGATGGCAAATTAAACAAGGGTCAAGAGTACTATTTGCAGGTGTCATTCAAGAACTTTGAATTATGAATTTGCTATGTTCTACAACAGTTGTCTTTTTGATACAAACGTACAATTTCAGATAGCCTATTCAGGTCCAATTCATATGAAACTTGCTGGTCTATATTTAAGTCGATATCAGAATGATCAGGATATAACGAGGTTGAATTTCCTGATTTGAATGCATTTGCTAATAATTTATAATGAAGTTATCAATCTTTTCCCCATAACTTTAGGTATGCGGCAGTAACACAAATGGAACCAACAGATGCTCGCCGTATGGTACCATGTTTTGATGAACCAGAATTTAAAGCAATTTGGAAAATCAAAGTTATTCATCCGAGCGGTACTTCTGCTGTATCCAATGGAATTGAAATCAAAAATGCTGCAAAAACGTAAAGTTTTCTCATGTCGTTTTACGTCAAAATATAAACCCATTGGAAATCTACGAATAAAAATAATTCGAAATATTCCTTTTGTTTCGATTGATTTCTCCGGATTACCTTTCTATTACAATCTTCTTCTATTCGTAGGCTATTTGGATAGAATGAAGCAATCAAGCAAATAGAAAACTCATTACTTTTTACGAATTTAAGACTGAAACATTTGTAATTGAGATTTAAGGTCCTAAGTTTATTTACAAAAGTAACACAAAAAGATCTATTGAATGGACATTTATTTGAAAGTAAGATAAGTCGAAAGAATGGACATGACTTTTGCTCGAAATGTTGTTAACTGATTGTACTTCATTCCGGTTTACTGTAAAGATTTTATCTTTTGCAGCTACATAATGGTTGAACGAATTATACACCTTAGAACAGATCTGTTATGATAAATATTTTCAATTTTTCAGCTACAAAGATCACGGACTTTTCAACTAATTATGAATATAATATATTTCAAATATTTGCATTGTTGTTATTGTTATAGTAACAAAAACATGTTAAATGTATTTTTTTAAAGGAATGATCCGAATTGGGTAGTCACTTCATTTATCGAATCACCACCTATGTCATCCTATCTGCTAGCTCTAGCTGTTACTGATTTTAATTTCATTGAAGGAACAACGAGAATGGGAACAAGGGTACGTGACATATAATATCGTAATTTACTGCATTATTTTGTCCGCTGTGATATATCATTGATATAATATCATATGCTTTGTAAAATTAATAGCTCTGTCATTAATTACCTTTAAGCAAAAAGTGCCGAATTAATTTTTTTCAGCTATATATTTATATTTGATCTTCTACGTTTAAATTCGAAATTCTTTTAGTCCGATTTTGAAACAGAATTGAAGGATCTTTTGCGGAAAAATGTATTTTTCAACGATTGGTGCTTCGTTTTGAATTTTACATTTGATAATTAATGATTAATATTTTTTTAGTTCCGAATTTGGTCTCGCGAAGAAGCTCTAAATCAAACAATTTATGCTCTTAAAGCAGGAATTTCAGCTTTGGAATTTTACGAAGATTATTATAATATTTCTTTTCCACTTAAAAAGCAAGGTGATCCATTTCTTTATAAAGTATTAAAAAAAATATATAAAGCAATATTAGCAAAAATTCCTGCCTAATTTGAAGGACATATTTAATTTTTTACATTTTTACAGTTTTTTTAACTAAGCCTATTTTGAATAAAATAAGAATGAAAATCGAAATATATAAGGTTAGGCAGGAAAGTCCTGAAATCCTCTCTCTTTCTCTTCTGTATTATCTGGCTGTTGTAGTTCCTACCTAATTGAAGTTAATATAAAAGTTATTTTTACAGATATGATGGCTCTACCAGATTTTGCTGCTGGGGCAATGGAAAATTGGGGTTTAATAACTTATCGCGAGAAGTTTCTGCTTTATGATGAAACAATCTACACGCCATCTCAGAAAGCTCGTGTTGCACTGGTTGTCGCTCATGAATTGGCTCATCAGGTTTGTTTTGCAAAATAAAGCTAATGAATCAAATTGATAACTGGGAAGTTAATGAATTAAATTGATTATTTAGTGGTTTTTAATGAAAAGTTGGATGAAAAGAATGAGTTGATTAGCTAATGGTTTAATGTTGCTGATTAATTAGATAATCAGAAATGCGAAATATGAAAATAGGCTATATAACAAAAATAAATTCAGGAATGAAATCCTGAAAGTATTTGAATGCCTTACTTCCGGAAAGCACCTGAATGCCTTACTCTTTTTCAGGATTTAATTGAATTTGGTAAATTCTGTTTTTTAACATTTTGAGTCACATATTGTTTTGTTACTTCTGCCTTTTACAGTGGTTTGGTAATTTGGTGACAATGAAATGGTGGAATGATTTATGGTTAAACGAAGGCTTTGCAACCTTTATGGAATATCTCGGCGCTGATGCAATCAGTAAAGGCAATTTCCACATGGTTTGCAAATCCTACGTTTTTTTTTGAGAGTGATATTACTCCATTGTCATATTATTCTCCTCTGTTGATGAAAAAAACTTTCTTTTATTTTATTAAAATCGAAAAATCATTCACTTACATCTATTAACTGATTATTAAAAACAAGAGTTCAAGTAAAACATATTGGAAAACACATTTATAGCTGTTAATGATAGTTCTCAAATTTTTATTAAATAAATTTGTCATATTTGAGAATGATTATTTCTTGCAAGATGCCGTGATACAAGCATATCGGCGTGATGGACAGGCTTCTTCTCATCCCTTATCATTCCCAATTGATAAAGCTGAAGATGTGAGTGAGGCATTCGATGCAATCACATATGACAAGGTTATGTTTTGCGCCGAAGATTTATAATTTTCAAACTGCTATTAATATCCTTCAATATACATGCGAAATATCATAAGACAATTAATTTCAGGGTTCCGCAATAATATTCATGATTCAGCATGTAATGGGATCTGAAAACTTCAAAAAAGGATTACATGTCAGTTGATTGATGCAATATTTTTAATGAAATTAGCACTTTCTTGTCTTTGTGTTTGAGCCAAGAATATGCAAGTTCAGTTTATGATTCATTTCTTGACATATAAAGTTTTCCAGAAAATAAAATCAAAAATTCCTGATTTTTGAAACAATTCCTAAATTTTCCATTTATCAAGTTATACAATTTAGTCTCCATTAACCTCAATCAGATATTTCTATACTATAATATGGATTATTTGTATAATTTTTTTAATAACAAAATATGAAAATATATTTGCACAAAAAACTTTTAGGATTACTTAGAGAGCCACAAGTATCGTAATGCAGATCATGATGATTTATGGGATGCTCTCAATGGAGCGGTTCCGGAAACACTGTTATCATGGGAAGGTGATAAACTTGACATACGAGATTTTGCATCAAAATGGACTCAGCAGGTATTCTTGATTATCACAAATTAACAAAAATAATGCAAATTAAATTACTTTCATAGAATAGTTGATTATTCATTGTTTTTGGATGTAAATACCTGAAATGATTAAAATATGTTAAACCTCGTTAATGATTAAATTGTTAGATTCATCTGCATCATTTAGCAACATTGAATAAATAATATTGAAATAACAAATATTTAAGTTCAGAATAAATAAAATAAATGCTAAGTGATGTAGATGGTTATGTTAACACCTTTATTCATCAGATGGGTTATCCAGTGGTTGAAATATATCGGATTGATGAAAATAAGATTGAGCTGCGTCAAAAACGTTTCAAATGGGATGAAAATGCGCTTGAGCGTGAGAAATTTCGCAATGCTAGGTTTTGGTTAGTCATTTCAAAAACGCAAATTGAAGATTTTTTTTGATAGAAATAGAATATAAAAATATTTTAATTTCTTCTGTCTCTTAATTAGATTCCTGTTTTTTTAAATGTATTTTCCAGGTATAAATATGATATACCGATATGGTATGCATTAAATGGAGAAGAAATGCCAATGACTTGGTTGCATGAATGTAACTATTTCATTAGAATTTTGTCAAATTAGATGAAATTTCCTAAATGTTAATTTTACAAGATCACTACACTTAATACGATATATTCTTGATGTTTACGGAAGTGAACGCCGATTGCCGACTTTTATCGGTCTTTCAGAAATCGGTTTTTTTCAAACCAATTTTTTTAGCTACCTGTGATTTATCATTGGTTTTGATTGCTTGATTTCAGTAGGCAAATACAAGAACATCTATTTTCTCGGTTTGTTTGAAACCTTAAGCGCAAATATTCTACCGAGCTTTAAAAACACCTACAGTTTTTTCCGTTCTTAATCATGTATGATTGTGTTCGATCGATGGATTTTGGATATTACAAATTTTACTAGAAATTTATAGTTCAAAAAATAGAATTGAATTTTGAACTTAATTTTTATATCTAAAATCAAGGAACGCTATTTTTTTACAGGTCGGAGTTTTTAAATTTACATGTCAACTTTTGCTTTTTTCGAAATTTGTTAAATTTAGCACAAAGTTTGGATGTGAGCAAAGAAGACCTTCTAGTTTTAAATTTTGGTTCGAAAGGTTTCTACCGCGTCAACTATGATTTGGAATTATGGCAAAAAATAACTGATCAGCTGCTGAAGGACCCTACGGTAATATTTTTACGACCTTAGGAAGATGCTAGAGATTTATCAGGTAATAGATCAGAAAAGAATAAGACAGTATCACCGACAAGTTTCAATGATTTATTGGTATGATCATTTCTTTTAATTGAGGATAACAGATAATTTCACAACAGTGATATAAATGCAATAACGTTAGTTAAAAAAAGAGATAATTGAACTTAAAAATGTTAGCATTTTTCGACTATAGCTCTTTTAAAAGATCTCCGAATATGAAATTCTGATTACTATCCCGTAATCAGAGTTTCATGTATTATAGAAATCATATACTTCTAATTCAGAAAATTGATGTGCGTACGCGTGCTCGAATCATAGATGATGCTTTTGCTCTTGCGGAAGCTAACTATATTTCTTATGAAATCCCATTAAATCTAACGCAATATTTGCCAATGGAAGAGGAATTTCTTCCGTGGAGAATGGCCTTAAATGGCATTAGTATCATTCTGGAGAATTTCGGTGATGAGCCTGAAACTCAATATATTAGAGTAAGTATTCTGCCTATTTAATTATCTCAGGAAAATGCTACTACTCTTTGAACTTTTCCAGATCTCTCCTGTTTTCTGAGATTAGTCATATCCATTTGTTATTATAGTTCATAATTGAATTCGTAATTGGATAGATTATTTATAAATTACTTTATAAGTATATGAGTCATTAAGTACTATTTAGATATTTACTTAAGCTAAATATTATTTAATTAAGGATTATTTGGAGCCGTTGCTTCGTCCATTATACAATCGTATCGATTGGGAAATTTTGGAGACATCCTATTTAAATGACGAACTTTTCTTTGAAAAGTATTTTTTTAAATAACTTTTTCAGCCATCTAATTTTTAATCTTCTAAATTGTTCTGAAATTTTAATTGGTTAATCTAATAAAAATTATGTAAAAAATTTAACTTTCAAATAACATTTCAATATTCATTCTAGTGAGCTGCACTATGCGATCATTCGTCAAATGTATTATCTGCGCAATATAAATTGTACGGAAAAACTACATGGCCTGTTTCTTAAAAACTTTTTGAATCAATGTCAAGATGAAAGTGTTCCAAGCAGTGAATGCAGCACGTCTGTTTACTGTATTCTCATCAAATTATTTCATTAAAAGGAAAAAACTCTTAATTAATTTTTAGACCCTATTTTAGGTTGAACTAAAACTAATGAGCCCTTCTTTTTATCTCTTCTATTTATCCCATCTTTCTGCACTTTTGTGTTCTCCTCATGAAAATCCTCAGCAGTAATTAACATTCAAGCAAGAATTAGAGTATGAAATTCTGATCGAATGTATCTGTTCAATAGTGCAACAGTCTTATTTTACCTTGATAGCACTTAGCAGAAATGGAAATGAAGTAATCAATTTTTTAACTATTAGTACTATTAAAATCACATTTCAGTTTCAAATGAACAAATTTAACTGACTTAAATTTCAATAAGAAAATTAGATTCCCTGATAAGTTCCTATTTACAGAGTTCCAGTACCAGTTCGTTCTCAGGTCTATTGTGAAGGTATACGAATAGGTGCGGAGAAAATATGGAACAAAGTATTTCAACTTTATAAACGTGAGCGAATTCAAGTAGAACGAGAACGGTTGCTTGTAGCTCTCACTTGTTCACGTGACTCATTCATTCTCAAGAAGTTCTTTTTTTATTATAATTCTTAAGATTTAAAAGTTGTTTCATAATAAAGTTAGAAAGATATTCTGTAGTTTTTTAGAACAAGATTGAACTCGGATTGTAAAAGATGAAAACCTAAATTGAAAGTCATCCTTCACTTTTGACACCTTTAGCCTTGAAGATTATAATTGCTTTAGCTTTGAAGATTAAATGATTCATTTACAGATTTCTAAAATTAGCATCTAATTTGAATGATTCATCAATTCGACTACAAGATACGCCGACCACATTTGGATATGTTAGTATTGGAGATGTCGGTCGTTTGATCATTTTCGATTATTTCCAGGATAGCTGGTCCCAACTCTATTCAGAGTAAAATTACGACTTTTTCAATACACATTAGTTTTTTTTATTTATATTAATCATTGATAAATAATTATTGCTATATCGTTATTTTTCAGCAGAATTTAAAGTTTTTCCAACAAAAAAGTCAAATTATAATTTATACTCAAATCGGAAGATTTCAGCATGAAAGAGCAACAGAATTTCTTACGACAAATTATATTGAGCTCAACGTCAGTATCAAATGAAAGGCAAATTTCACAGGTTTGTGAATAACTTTTTTTATTTTCAAGTCCTTATCACTCAAAAATTTATCTTTTCATCTGAAAGAGAATTTAAATGCTTTTAGTTTTTTTAAACTTTTGAAAACTTGAGCATTGTTATATTGTTACAGCTTGAAGCTTTTATGAAGAAGTACAAGAAAGATACGAGTAGGCTGGATGTATTTGGGCAACAACTGGAGAAGAGCAGAACCACAAAGGTCATTTCATAGTTATATTAATTATGGGCCTAAATTTCTATAAGTTCATTGATTTCAAATTAGTACAAATGAGGTATCAGGATAATTATCAATTCAATCTTACACCTTTTACTGATCCAATAATTTTCAGCTGTGGCGTGACAGAAATCTGAAGATGCTTGCAGAATGGTTTAGGAAACAGAATATGAAAAATGCCTAATAACTATTTCTTAATAGTTTTCCATCCTTATTTGAAGATTGCCATATTTCAATTCTTAACATTTGACGTATAGTATGTCAAGTGTTTAAATATTGTTATTGTTGGAATCGATTAAATCTTAACGTCTGGCTTCATTGAAGCCTTTAACGATCAGAAATACTTGTAGGTTTGAAAATTTTAAAGAAATTTTTAAAAAATTTCAAAAATTAGCTCTTGGGAACATAAGTGGTTCAGGTTTTTTTTCTTTTTCAATATTGAATTTTGTTTTTGAGATGTTGTACATAAGAAATTCTTTCTGGACCTCAAATATATTCAAAAGTTGTAAATTCAATTTCCTTCACTTCATTCTGTCTATGTTATATTGCTCTTTTATAGAGTGCCTTCCTAATTATAAAAGTGTCTTATATTTTAAGGAAAACAGCTGTCTGATTTACAATAGATGTTTTATATGTACTTCCGCAGTAAGTATTATTTCACACAGCGATAAATTTCGAATTTCATATCGTCATCTCATCATATTGGACACAAATTAAATTTGATCTAAGTTACGAAAATTAAGCTTCAATTCATTTCCGAATGTTTTGTAATAGTGCTTCTATATTAGTGCAGAAAAAATCCTGTGAAAAGACTTAGAAAGTTTTAAACTCTTTTTTACTATCAAAAATGAATCAAAAATAACTAAATTATTTTTGAATTTTTGATTAACAATTAATAGATGCTAATGGAACATTATTTGGGAATGTATTAAAATAAATCATTGCAAACTTGAGGAAAAATTGATAATCTTCCACATCTTCATTTCAGTACTTTCTGCCACGGAAATTTTTTTAAGTTCAATTATAAATACGGCATCTGATGAGTTATTCATTTTTCAATAAATTATTTACTTCCATAAAAATTCTATTAACATGCAAATGATAAAATAATTCGTTCATTATGGAAATTGAAATTTTATGTTCGGATAATTTAATGAATGGATAACTGCGGTGCTTTAGGGGACGTAGGTACCAAATTTTTTCAGCTTTTTACGATGCTCAGAGGTGTAGGGACCGTGTCTCTGCTTGATCAACCAGAAACTATCTTCCGCTTCGTCCTGCAATAGTCATTTTATAATATAATCATTTACAGTGGGAAGATTTAAGGAAATTACTGCAATAATCTTTTATTATTCAGCAAAAATCAACTAATTGCGGTGGAAGGAAGTGGAATTCATGCAATAATTTTATGCCGTCAGAAAAGGACTTCGTCTTAAAATACGGGCCTTAAAAAGCAATAATTCCACTTCCTTCTTGTTATCAATGTGACCTCCTGTTGACATACCTTTCCGATTATTTTCATGTCATTTGTCGGTTGTTACTATCTTCATTAATAATACTTTTTTCTGATACTACCGTACAACTTACATACATTTGCTCATATCCTAATATCATTTTCATTACTTTTAGACGGTTGACTTTTGGGATCTTCTAAAATATATATTGGTAATGTTTCAGCAAATAGTTTTCAAATCAGCAGCCATGAGTGAAATCATGTTTCTCTTAAAAGTTCAGATAAAAATTTCACTACTGGAACTTTTCAGAATTTGGAATCTGAGGCATAGAGCAATTTTCAATAATGGACAGAATAATGGACAATTATATAAATGGACAATTGTAGTTGAAAATGATACTTAAATAATAAATTGATATTAAAAAAAGTTGGAAACCTTTGATGCGGATACTTGTTCGTAGTAGAGATGAGTTTCATTAAATATATGAAGTCGACCAAAACCATAGTTTGACGAACGAAATGCACTCCACGGTGATGGTTTAGATATAAATGGATCGGTATATTCTTGACATCCCTGAAATCTAACATTACTGATACTATCTTACTAGCTAAATTGATATAAAGAAAATGTTTATTACAGTTCAATAAAAATGGATAATCGTTCAAATGCTCAAATGCAATTGTCTTGAAGTTTAAAAATTTTATCAGCATAGCTTTTTTTTGCTAAAATGTAGGTGTTACTTGAAACTCTTTAAGCGTTGTTTTTTAAGTGTAAATATGCTTACAGCAGATCCTGAAATGATATGTATCGGTGCTGGTGGATCAATATATGGTTCTTTGGTACCATTATAAACCTGAATTCAAATAATTCAAATAACACTTAATTAATTTTTTTCTTCACTTGGCGAAAAACCATTCATTTCGATTTGTTGGTAGTTGTATTATTCCACGTGATAAAAAAGGTATAATTCATATAAGAATTAATAAAAATGAATGTGTGAAGCAATGAGTCATCACATTGCGTCACATTTTTTTAAAATATTTATACTGAAATATTTAGAAAATCTGAAAACAATGAAGAAAAAACATTGCGTTGCTTACAGTACGATTATATAGTGGCCACATGCGTTCATAGGAATGTTCGTGAGCCCAAAATTCTAAGTCAACTCCATACGTATAAAATAATTTTTCAAGTCCGTAACGGTGTGTTCCTGGTATACCCGAACGAACCTAAACTAAAGTTTCGTTTGCAATAAAAAAAAATATTTTAATTAAGTAGCTGGAAACTTTCTGGGAACTTCTGCAATTGCCGATAAAGTTGGAAAAGACATAAATTCATTAAGTAGTTTTTTTTTAATTAATATTAATATCTGTCATTAATTACTTGCTTTCAAATTGATATTGCTTCTCTTAGAGTCATTATCGCTTCCATAAACAACTAGAAATAAAATGGCTCACTCGTGATTCGTATTTGGTACAATCATCGGAGTCGTAATTCGAGCAATACATTGGTCGATGCCCCATTGTTATAATCCATGGATATTTGTCACGGTTTGCGGATGCACGCTTAAAATCCGGAACAAGTGATAACTTCAAACTTCCATAAAACATGTTTTTCATAGCATTTTTTTATAGCATCTGCGCTCTAACTTCAACTCAAAATTGTTGATAACTTAATCCTGGTTGATAAAACTCACCTTTAAATCGTCAATAAGCCATTTCCATTGATTTGCTATTTGTACGGTGCCATATTCAGTGAAATAATAAAATTCAGTTGATATAGCTATAAAATGGGCAGCACCAAGGTCAAAACTGAAAAAGTACAAGAAAAAGCTTACAAAAGGTCAACTCTATTAATATTTATATTTGAGACATTGGAAAAATCTCTGTATTTTAACAATTAAATTAATTTATTTAACTACGCGCAAACGATTGAATTAAGTGAAATAAATAAATGCAAACATTATTTTGCTGCGATATTCAATTACATTATTCAATCATTTTTTTTAATCATTACATAAGCAACTCTCAATCCGAGAATAATTTAAAATTAGCTGGTTATTAAATCAACGTCTATGAATTAATAAAGTAAAAGGAAAAAATTCACAAATAAATCAAAACGAAGAAATTCCTTTTTTTAATGTTATTGTTATCAGAATTGCTACTATAGATTATCACTCCACTGATATTGTAATGATATATAAAATGAAAAATTCCATTACCTATAAAAAAAGTTGTGTTCACTGTTTGGCATTGTATATCGGTTGACATAATGGGAGAAATTATAAGCCTGCTCATGATTACCGACAACCACCATGTACGGTACATAAGCTGCTATCGGTTCAATCTGTCTACCAAATTGATCACCAAACTGCCCTTCATCCTGACAAGCATCATTTTCCATAAAGACAATTTTAGTCATTGCTACACTTTTCAATTACGTACATTCTGTGTTTTAAAAATTTTTAATCCTTATTTGTGAAATAGTCGAAAACACTTTTGCGTTGTAAGAAGGAAGATGAAACTTGCAGTATCCAAGTTGTATGCCATATCACCTAAATAATAATGTATGAAATTGTAACATCATGAAAAGTATGACTATATGTTTAAAAAGAAAGAAAGTTTAAGTTATTATTTATAAGAGAAAGCTTAAATTATTATTTATTATTTGTTAATTTATTACTGATTTACTCATTAACATATTTATAATTGAAACAGACGAAAAAGTTTTAGGACTTCCACTTATCAAATAGTAATGAAATTTATATATAAGCAAGCATAAATCAAAAAAAGTAGCTGACCAACGTGTAAAACTGCATCAATAAGTGATCGCTGTGCTTGTTGTTGTATTTTTCCAAGCGATCGAGCGTTTACAACACCAAGATCTCCATAAATTGCATAGATATATTCATGATTTATTAATTGCTGCATCGCTTTGAATCGATAAAGTGAACTCCAACCGTATTCCGATCCAACATGATACTCTGAAAGTTTTTTTCTGAAAACACTGGAAAGAGTCAAAGTATAGCCATGTTTTACATAGTTTACGACATTTTTAATTTGATGCTTTTAATCTTTACCTGACAGAATTTCTCCGTTTCGTTTAGAGATGCTTTCTCTGGCTAAGTGGTTCGTGATTCATCAGGGTATCAAAAAAATACATGTAATATATCGTGAATTTGCTTTAATTTGATCTTAAACATACGGTAAACAGTTCCTGGTATTAGATCGACGAGTAGAGTTCGATGTATGTATCGTTTACTTCTTTGCTTGCCACCATCAATGAATACTACTGAATTGCCTTTAGCAGACCACCGTAAATCATCGATACCGTATTCCACAATTGATGAAAATGTATCGTTATAAGTGAGCCAAGTTATCCACATGGATGAAACATTACCTAAAAAGTATGAATTAAATGCAACAACAGGTATACGACAACAAGCACAGCGATCACTTATTGATGCTATTTTACACGTTGGTCAGTTGATTATTATTTTTTTTGATTTATGCTTGCTTATATGCAAATTTCAAAAAAATAAAAGATAAGGAAAAAAGTATAAATTAAATCAAACTTCAAAAAGAGAAAGAAAAAAATTTTTAAATGCCAAACCCAAAATGTTAAAATTATATCACAACAACATAAAAAGCTTGATAAACTTTTATTATTATTTTATCAGTTTTTATCATATCTTCTTTAACAGATCATTTTCTTTTGTATACTCATAGAATTGACAGATATTTATAGGAAGATTTTCTATTTCAATTTATTACCACTCCATTGCTCTAATTCTTTTTGTGCATTATTGTAAAAAACTAAAAATATTGATTGTGAATTGTAGTTCTGATGGATTATATCATGCACTAATAATAATCATCCTTAAATTAGATTTTATTCCATTTTATTTATCAATATTTAACTGATTAGATTATTTTTACCTTTAATTTATTTCGAATTCTATCGTATGTGAAAATTATTTGTTTTATAGACAAAAAATATTTATGATTTGAAGAGGAAAAGTAGTTCGATAACTCTTACAAAATGTAGGAAAGTTTGATTGAGAAATCATTGAACTTTCTTGAAAGGAATGCTTGTTGCTACGATTTCTATATGATTCATGAAAAAGTCAACAATTTCTCTGATAATTTGCTAAAATCATATAAAATGACTAAAAACAAAAAATCCAACTAAAATTATTCTTTTTTAATTAGTGTAAGATCAAAACAAATTACAAATTAATTAATTTACTTCTAAAACCATAATGATTTCTTATGCTTTTGACATGCTGTAGTCACCATTTTTTTTAAAGTGATGATTAATCAGTTTCATTTCAATCTGATATTTCCTTCATCACATTTTTCGGATAATCCAGCAATTTCGAAAAAATAATTGGAAGAGACCCGGTGATAATTAGTTTTTACTGTCAAATATCATATTATACATTGTCTTCCTATAAGCAAACAAATATTGGCTTATAAAATTGATAAAGTCAATAAAAGGTGTACCTCCATAGGTAAGAGCAATCTGTTCTGGTTGCGCATAGTAAGGACCTTGATTGGCACTTGGAATAATTTTTCGATCGGTAGCACGAAATGGTTTCAGTAAATTTTTTTCGCATGAGATTTGACTAACGGAAGCGAATAGTAATATGAGGAGAAGCATTTGAGGGAGCATATCATTGAAGAGTGGGCCAAGTGAGAAATAATTGTTAATCAGTAGCTGGATGTAGCTGGGCAATGCTGTTTCAATGATCGAAGCTAAGGGTTAGCAAGGATAATTAATTAATTAATGTGAAGCAGCTTTGTACCAACATCTGCCAATGAAAAAGCATAAATTATCCTTAATCCATTTGTTTTTTTCCTTTCTTAACCTTTTTTTAAAATCTTCATTTCATTCATTTCTTGCAGAAAATTTTGCTCAAATTAAAATTTTGAAAAATAATTTTAGAAAAGCTTTAAAACAATTATTTATATGTTTTTATTTTATTTTCCCAATAAAATATTCTACTTTTCAAAATTTTGAAGTATTAAATGGCAATGATTGTAAGTAAATAATCGAATGTCGTCAACATAGCTGTCAATATTTTAATATCCATTCTCTTATATTTTCAAAATAAAAAAAAATGAATGAATACGAAAGAATGAAAATTTTCGATAGGAATTATTAATAATTTGATATGTACTCTATCCAACAAATATTTCATGAAAAATACTAAACAATGTTATTTGATGAAATTATAATGACAGAATATATTATTATACATTTTTCTAAACTAAATAATGAGTTTATGCGAATAAATTGCAGAATGACGTAGCAATTTAGAATGCCAAAAACTTAAGATTTGAAATATTTTTTTGCAAATGTAATCATTGGTTTGTTAATGCTTAAATGTTGAGGAGAGAAATGGAATTCCTTTATTGACTTTTTTCAGTCTTCGATTTAAATAAATTAAAGCTAAACTTTTCATTATTTAGTTATACATATTGATTTACATTATTGTTGAACAGCAAGTATTACATGAATAATAGTTAATTCAGTATACATGACAATCTTCGATATTTAAGCAATTAATTTCATCCATTTTTAAATCATAATCATTCCATTCGAGAGAATGTTTCTGCTTTTGCATTCCATTAAAGAGCAGTTGCAGTAGTTAGTTTGAAATTTAAAGTTATTTGAACTACAACTTCAAATCCAAATTTATGCTAAGGAAGAGTGAGATACAGGGTATCACCATTTACTATGTTCTCTATGATGAATTTAGTAATTAGTGTATTTTGAATTAATATTCAAAATAGTGTAGGATATATGCCATCACCGCCAACACTGTTCCATCCAAAGAGGATATACCATCATCTTCCTACATCGTTTAACTTCAACTTACCTAAATTATTTCATCGATGTCCATCCATTTTTATCACCGTTATTCTCTTGATTGCTACTTATTTCACTATTTTTTCTAAGTGGTATGATATTTGAATCGATTTTATTTTTATATTGGTCAGAGGCAACAGACTGAGAGAAGGAAGATGGAAAGGTCAAAATTTGTAGGATATTACAAGGAACATAAAGACGCAGGAGTTTTAGTGTTAAGAAACCCCTAAATAAGGGTGTAGGAGTTTTTTAAAATAAATTCAAAACTTTCCCACTCTTCTGCTGCTTATATTTATGTTAACGAATTTGAGGCAAAGAAAACACCTCTCCTGACATGACCCTCACTCTTGTTAACATCATTTACAATTGCAGAGGTTAGAGGTTAAGCGTATAGAGAGAACTGCAGGTGTGCATAGAATTGCTCGAGGTCACAGAATGATCCAGAAGAGGGCGAAAAAAGAAGAGAGAGAGATGCGAACGAGAAGGGGCCACCATCGGGAATGAGAACGATAACTGGCACTGGTTACCACGCGATACTCACCCCGCTTCTGTGATGCTCACGGTCATTTTGCACTTTGCTTATTTCATTAATTGTACAGTAACATTCTCTCTCGCTCTCTCTTTTAGCTCTAAACTATTAGTATTTTCTGCAATCGATGAAAGGTGAAATGGTGATTAGTTGGTGGGAGGGAACGGTTATTCCAAGCTTTCCCGTCAATGGACTATCATGTCTGGAAATGGGAAAAGAAATGCAGAGTCAATAATAAAAGCTTTGACCACAACAGTTTCTGCTATATAAGACTTCTGCTAGGGTACTTTAATAATAATTAATAAGACCGCTATAATGACCCGATTTATGCTGAAAAGGGATGAATTTTTCCAACATATATGTCATCATCTGTTTATCTTATTGAACATTTGAAATATCATCATTCCGCCTAGCAAAAGCTTCCTCCATGAGCTTACCACATTACCTGTGTGCTTGCATCACAGGTAACCTACATAAAGGTCAAGGACTTCATCCATCTCAATAATAACACTCAATTAACTGGACTAGATACATAATTCCTTGTTATTTTTTAAATAAGCACTCATGCCATATAATACGGGTGATTGAGATGACCCCTCGAATAATATTCATTATGCAGCGTGCAACGGAACATCTTTATTCCGGTAAATCTGGAGTTGTAACAAACACTACCAAACGATGCAAAGACCACTCTGAGGGAGAGAGACAGAGTGAAAGGATGGAAGACAATCATTTGCTCGTTGTTTACAAAGTCTCGAGATGGTCCCTGCCATCTGTCTGTTTGTATTGCATTCACATAGAATTTCATCCGGAATTCACGATAACTCTGTGAATAGTGCCCGCCCACTCACTACTCATTTACCGTTGTTGTTGTTGTTATTGTTGTTGTCGTCGTGGTCGTCTGCACCGCCAGCATGGCACGTAATGGTAGTACTCATTGAAGAATGGGGAGGAGGATGAAGAGGTATAGGATATAGTGTTGTGGGAGGGGGTAGGTAGACACAATTGGATGACGGCATAGTCTGGTCGGTGTTATCGTCGTCACCGCAAGCATTTCTTCTTCCTCCTCTTCTCCTCCGCCCCATTCACTCTCACTCGCTCGCTGATATACATACATTCACCGCTTCATTCATTCATTTCTAGTACGAATAATTTGCATAATCTGAGTATTCCACAAGTTTGTTTTATTCCCTGTGTAGTTACTAATGTTTAATTGAGTCTAACCAATTTAAACTGAAATTTAGTCCTCCTCCTCTCACTCCCATTATCCATGGAACTTTTGCTTTATCCGAGTCATTGTATAGCGTTGATCCACCAAAATAGCTATGGTCAAAGGGCTATATAGTTGTAGAGTTGTGGTCATTGGCCTTGATAAAGGAGAAGTTCTTAAATGTCCTTGCCGACAAGCCTAACATATTAGTTACCAAAGACACGTTGAAAACGATACTTCAGGTAAGTTTTAACCGGAAAGCTTACAGTTTGTTGTACTTATCTCAAATCTTTCGGTATTTCTTCTTGTTATACCCGCGGTCATTCTGCCGTCTTTGAGAGCCAAAATTCGAAATTTGTAATGTACTGAGAGTAAGAAATGTGTCTCCATCACTCTCGATTTTTTTAATATTAACATATCTATTGGAATATGTTGTACTATCCTCTCACCTGTCATCTTCATTACCGTCTAACAGCAAATTTCTTAACTTTCCTTGCTTTAAAAGATTATTATTGCCTTCAGAGAATGACTTCCAAATTGTACATAAAGGCTGAGTTATTTGGGATATTAATCTAAAGTAGACAAATGACTTAATTAGTCATTGATTTTATTATTTAAATTGAATGCCTCAATTTTATTATAATTATCGTTAACAATATCGATTTTTTATTGAGATGAATCATTCAGTAGATATTATTAGAAATGAAATTTGAAACTGGAACTAGTTCATACTTCCTCAAATTCTTTCAAATGTTCAATGGAATGTTGTTGTAAAATTACATAATTGCGATTTTTTACACAATATTTTACGAGGATAGTGGGAAGTTATTTCCCACTTTTTAAATTCATTTTGCAATTTTCAAACAAACCAAACAGCACTTCATGAAATTTATAACAAAACAATTTATAAATGTTTTATTCGCTGTGTACTTATTTCATTAGTTTTATCAATATTTTTGCACTTTTTCCAAACTTCTTGCAAATTGCAAATACTATTATTTATTCAACTAATCAATTATCCTTATTGTTCTGTTATTTTCATTTATTCATCATTATTAAATTATTAAAGTATCATTCCCATTCAGTGATATAAAGCAGATTGATATTATTAACGCTATTTGTTTGTTACCTTGGTTTTTTTTTAAATTCAAAATCAAGTGCTATAAAATCACACTGACATACTTTGCATATGAAAGTATTCTTGCATTGAGTAAATTTTAGTTCTGAATATCCTATTATTAGTCGTCCAAATAGATTTTCAGTGTTTGCTTTGCTATTCATTTTTCGCTAAAAAAAAAGAATGTATAGTGATACCAGCTTGAAATGTAACTTTTTAAGTTTACATTGATTTAATACTTTTTCAGGGGATCCAAGGCAGGAGACTATTGGGGTGTCCAGGCCTATCAACAGCAGCAATATGACATATAAAACAAGTAGAGATCGGGTAACTGAAGTTTTCCAGATGGCACCGGTGGCTGCTTCAAAAGGTTACTTTATTTCACTTTCCAGAGAACTACGAAATTTTTCGGAAAATTTGAAAATTTTGAAAAGATTTGAAAGGATTAAGATTTTTTAATTACTTCTTAATAGGTAATTGATTTTGCTGCTTGTTAATAATTCATTTTTACTGACTGCGATCGCTAACGTTCGTAGTTGTCAATAGATGTTCTCAATTCTAAAGTAAATAACTGTAAATTATTATTAGAATCAGTGATATAATTTTCTTAATTTCATGTGATACATTCTAATTCACATTCTAATACATCTTAGCATTCTTTCAGTGGTAGTTTTAGAAAATTTCTTTTCTCAAGTCTTCGAAAAATTTGAATCATCTACGAAAAAGTTGGATTTCTTCTTGGCTAGATAAATAGATGAAATTAAAGGAACATCATTTTTTCGAACTAGTTGCATTTTTAGCACTTTGAAGTAACTTTTATGTTTCTATGTGGTCAAAGAAATGCTGTACTAAAGATTTGATTTCAGGTTCCTTCCTAAACTTTGTGGTAATCTTGTGCCTCTAGGTCCTGCTAATCATCGAGACTGAGAAACAGGGATGTTGATATCAATATGGATAATTGGCACAAAAGTGGATGTCGGCACACACACATAGTTGAACTTTGCGGCAATGCTAGGTTGTTACTTAGCAGAAACGATTTGTTTTTCATCCGATACAAATTTAATATATTCACCATAAAGATATTATCCTCTTTGTAATCCAGTAGGTCTCCTGGTTTTGCTGAATTGTTAAGGACGGTGGTAGTGGGATATCCGTTTAGGCACGTGATGTTCCCGGCATAGCCATAGCAGTATTCCTCAGATATATGATGATTTTTTATTGTTTGTTTTTATAAATGCAGTTTTGCAGGAAGAGTTAAGTATGAATAAAGTAGAAGTATAGTTCCTATGCATAATTTCTTTACTAGTGAAAATATCCAAATTTCTGTTTTATGATATTAAAGCAACTTAGAAATAAGTGTTGAATGTATTTTTAATTTTGAAACACCTTTTTGAAGCGATTTTTATTGATCCTTACTTTTCCTGCAGAGCATGGGCGATCATTTTTTTCCCTTCATTTCGTTTACCACTGGAGAAGTAGGTGCTGAGTATATTTCTAGTATTCAAATGGACAATATATATTTTAATTTTGTTCGTTTTTGCTAATATTTTAAACTAATACCCACAATTATTTGATTTCTCTAATTTTTATTTCATCGACTGAGATTAGGAAAGAAAGTTGAAATATGCAAGTTCTTAGATATGTTCCTTTTGGTTGTCTTTCAATGTATATGTCTTTCAGCTCCATGTTTTTAAAGATACTTTTACTTCCAGCCGATGTATTTCCATTTTTTCGTATTCTTGTTTCAAATTAACTGATTACACTCATTTACTCCATTCTATTCTCCATTTTATAATTTCTTTTTTTTTTAATATTTCAATTTTATAAATTTAAACAGAAATTGAATGGCCGTTCATCTACCAGTGTAAACGGGTTCACGTAAAGTGGTCCTGGAGAGGTGCGTTGCTGTCCGGAGAATCTGGAGAGTTATTTTAGAAAGATTATTGGAGTATCATGGAGCAGTTTGGTTTTGATGATAATTTTTAGCATGTTCTTTAAAATTCTTCTAGGCAACAGCGTAAAGTTCCAGAAAAATATTCCGTAAAGTTCTTTTCAATGAACTTTGTAGTAATAAATTTCTGGTTCAACACAAATCCGGGACCTAGGTGGGGTGGCCGGCCATTCAATTGGTATTTCCAGAATAAGTTCATATTTTAAATTTTCTTAAATTTTTGCACAGTTTCATCTTCTCCCGTAACGATATTGATATATGCTCTAGTAATATCTCATTGGTTAGCCAAACTCTTTCATAATTACTTTTTTTTGGTGCTTTTTTCCATATTTCTGTGAAATTTATTTTGATGAGCATTAGTTTTAAACTGAATATTGAACGATTGTTATAAAATTGATAGATTCATCAAAGTCTCTCTTCGAATACAAAGGTTTGGCTAGCAGTTCTTTATTGCTTCTTTTGAATTTTAGACGAAGAAGTGCACTTATGCGCCTACTATTTTTCTTTTGCACTTTACGATTTGTAGTACAATTATGGTGCATGCACAACGTAGATATTGCCTAATGCGTTTCCTTTTTTTCTTAAAACGATATTCTTGCGTACAACAAGCACCACGAACCAGTTCATTTTTCTTTTTAGAACTTTTAAAATGCTCCTAGAAATTGTTGAAGAAAACGCTGCTGTGAACTATTTACTCAGATGACGCACTATTTTTTGTCTCTCAAACTTTTGCACCATTTTCTAAATCTGCTTACATCAATTCATTTTTTCATCTACCAATCAGCAATCACTGCCACAGGTTTCTGTACATTATTGCTTTCATAAATTGAGTCAGTATCTTTCTTATTTTATTGAATCATTATTACACCGGGATTTTCAGTAAAGATTTGTGTTGTTAGTGCCTTCTTCAATCTTGATAATATTCATATAACAGGACCCGATAGTTGTTTAAAGGGTTTTTATCCTCTGAACACTGTATCCACAAGATATGTTTGGATGACTTTATTATATAGAAGCATTTTGACTTCATCAGCAAATGATTTTCGAGGTTTGCAACAGTTTCATATGATAACAAAACTGTTAATACAGAAATTGAAGCAAGCACAGCAAATTCGCAGATGAAGTATGTGCAAATGAAAAGTTTACGAAGGTTCCCATTTTTATATTTATTTGATGCAAATAATTCATATTACTTTCGTTTTCTGAAGAAACTTATCACTAAGCTGCCATGAATCCGATGTCTTGTAAAGTTGTTCTGATCGTACCACAATATCGTACGTTATATGTTGTAATGAGAATTAGTTACTTTTTGGCGAGATAAATACAACAAAAAGTCACAAATTTGAGGCTACTTTCTAACAAGTTCTAACCTCATGTTCCATTTTCATCGCAGTAGGCTGTTATTCAGGATTTATTGCATCGTACATTACGACACATCCAAGTATTTTCCGTTCATTTCAATATAGATTTGTGGTATTAAAACAATGAGTAACACACTTGCGAGTGCGAGCCTAATACTGGTGTACCATATGAATTCTTCCCAAATCCAAACAATCCTGAATATCCGAATTCCTGTTCCATTATCCAAAATTGAATACATTATTTCCACTGCAAATGTCATTACGGGTTATTGTAACATACGTTGGGAAACCAGTTTCGAAGCATTGAACCTTTCATACGGAGTCGATAACTTTTAACATACATTTCTAAATTTAAAGGGGAGCAACATTCCTAACATACCCAAACTTCGAAATGAAACAGCATACGCAGAAATAAGTTATATCCCGTATATGCTGTAGTCATACAACAGCAAAAGCCAATAAACGAAGAAACAACCAGTTTTAAAATCAAAAATCCCTTTGTCTCGGATCGCTTTGGTCGGAGCTCAACTGATGTGAAATGCTATGTTAAGTATCCATATCCCGTATATGCTGTAGTGCACGTCAGTATACCGCAATTTTGTGATAAAGAAGCCATCAGAAAAAAGGCGGAAACTATACAAATCAACCGTGACTCAGCAATTAGTTCGCAAATACATATAAAACATGTTTAGCACGCATAGAATGTAAGAGTTGTACTTCAAAATTTTTGAACCATAAATCTTTTTAGAGAAAACAAGATTCCTTATCACCTAATATTTTGAAATAATCAACCCAACAATATTAAAAATACTATCGAAATCGAATTTTAAGCTGCCTCTTTAGGCTGGAATTAAGACATTTCAAATAAAATCCTATAATTATGAATAACTGATACAACCTCCGCTATCTTATTTGGGATTCATTTTCAATTTTCGTTATGTAATACCAAATTCCGAAACACAGCTTTCTATGCTTTTACGCTAAAAGTCGCTAACGAAAAAAGCAGATTTTTAAGTGAGATTTAAATGGCGATCCATAAAAATAAAAGAGCTAAACAGAATAATGCACACAAAAAAGTCAGAGAAAGGCTTGTAGAATTTCATTCGTAAAGTCGATACAAAATTGAGAATATTTTAAATGTTCACATAATAAACAAGCAACAAATTATGCAATCTGCATTATAATAAATGAAGTCATAAAAGTTTCAGTTCGCCAGTAACCAAATCAACTAAATGAGTTGGACCAAAGATACCAAGAATAGTCCGTGAGCCAGCGGGAATTTGTGTACGACCAGCATCGGACACAATATAAGCAAACAAACCCTGAAAATATGATAATATTGAATTTGTGACAAATTAAAAGAGATAAATGGGAAGCAAATATATCTGCTTAAAAAGTCATACAAAATAAACAGTAGATAAAGTCAATACAGCTCAAATTTCATTCCGAAGCACTAGATATTTTCAGTTGGACCATCAGAATGGACTATTATTGTGTTATTCAACGTAAATTATCATGTATAAATTGGTGTTTTGAAAAAACTGCAACTTTCATGCGCAAAAATTAGCGGCATTCAATGCTGAAGCATGCTTTCATATATGTAACAAGTTGGAAGGTTTAAAATTAAAACTAAAAAAAATGAAATGTTTCAGTATTTTCTCATGTGCTCCCAATTTCTCAACAAATTTTGGGTAGTAAAGAGTTTAAAGTTACCAAGTCCTTAGCTTGTTTGAAAAAATCGAGAAGCATTTCCGTGTTATGACCTTTAACAACCACTTTCATTTCTCCTGATATTCTCCAAGCATCTAATGCTTGTTGCCCCTGAAGTACATAATTTAAATTTCCATGGACGTAATGAAATCTAAAAAAGTATAATGGACAATTTAAAGAAGTTTTTTCAAAAATCACCACTAACATCTTCACTTCTTTGTGCAAGCCGATAAACACCGAGTGTTGCATGACCAACTTGAGCAGCCAACTTTCCTGCTCCCATTTTAAGGCTCATATTAACAACGAAAACCATTTTATGCTGCCTATTTATAACACTTGTAGAATGAATTCCTGTAATATTCTAAACATTTTTCAGGCGAAACGGATGGAAGAAGCCTTCATGATCATCCACTATATTAACTAATTATGTATCAGTTGAAACAAAATTTTATATCTCTGTTCAGATTACTGTCGATTTACCATTTTATAACAGAAAAAGCTCAAGAATTTATAAATATGGAAACAAACCGCCCATTGAATTCTGTTCTTCGTCCGATTCAAAATCACTTTCGTTGCTGTGCTCTAAGATCCAGTTTATTGCTGCTTCAGCTCCACCAACTTCTAAAAATATGATTTATGTAGAATTTAAAGAACTTAAATATAATTTAAATAATACTGACCGAAAGAAATATCACTTACAAAACGGCACATCTTGTGCAAACAAAGCATATATCTGAGAATCCACATATCCGCATTACACTCGCCTTTTGCCATTAGAAAGCGAAACTGATAATTTTCATAAAGCAAAAAACAAAAAACTATACCTTTCGTTTTTGATATAGCTAAGACAGCAATTGCTTCTTCAAATCCCAACTGCAGTATTTCAGCTAGCAGAGCAGGATCCACAAGATCTTCCTTATTTTCCGGATCGGCAGGATGCGAACAACTGATACCAGCCACTAGGGCCTGCGCCAATGAAATATCAGGATCTAATAAGTTTGACGTCACTAAAACAATATTTCAAGATATACCATCAACCTACTATAAATAGTAATGAAATCAAATAGTAAATAGTAAGACTGAATCAAATAGTACATAAATTAAATAAAATTTAATTTGATGAAATGTATACCAAAAACCGAACCTAGACAGTGATTCTTTACTAGGGCAATGCAAGTTAAACTATGAATGCTCTACAATGCTTCTTGACGATTCCTTACCCGATCACCCCAGATAAACTTTCGCAAAATTGGTCGTCATTAAGCACAAAACTGATGTTTTTTGGATTAAAAGATTATTTCAAAAATTTGAAGGAGACACTGAGAAGATATATCGTAAAGTGATGTGTTATGCATGTTATGTTAAATTGGCAATACTTATATCATAAGAAAATCGATTTTACTGCATTTACCTGATTGAGAAGATTCAGCCGTCGTATACAGAGTTTCCTGATTAAAATCTGGAACCGCAGGAACGTAAAAGGGTTGAGCAGGCACAGCAGTTTCCACAGAAGATATGGAAGAGCTTGCTGGATCTAATACAGGCTGTGTTAATTGATTCTGATTTGCTGGTGCAGAAGACGGTGGGAAACTTGTTTGATGATCAATGGTAGGATCGGCAATGATTTGAATGTTTACTCTTTCTGAAAAAAAACCTTATCGAAAAAATTTCGCATCAACTTCAGGCCACATCCATATATCTTGATACAAATATTTTTTAGAATTACAAAACTTTGGGAAAAAGATGTACCGTTTGTGGTGGCGCGTGGGAAGTCAGAATCTGCAGGAGATGAAATTACAGGAGTTCGCTCACTACCTCGAACAGCTTCCCTACTTGTATTTGGAAAGCCAGGCGGAGGTGGAGGCGCCTCACTGAAGTCACCAGACGAGCCTACCCTGGGATCAGTTGTTGGTATGCTGCAAAAATAGTTATTTCATGGAACACAGACTCAACCACAAACAAATGTGGATGAAATCACATTTAACAATCATTGCAAATTTTCTATCTCGCTCTTCCTACAAGAAATTTCAATAATTACAGCACTAATAGTTTGCATTCTATGATAAAAATGCAGCATTCTATTCTGAATTATGTTAATGATTACGATTTCAAAATCACATTTTGAGGACTGTGTTATTTGGAAATAAACTGTTTGCATGGGAATACTTTCAATATAGGTAAAAGGCACTGCTACGAAATCAAAACTTATAGAAATGCTTGAGATGCATTCTATGAATAATATTTAATAATGAATGAGGAAAAACTAATATGTTCCCTCAATTATTGCATATCTCTCATGAATTTAATGTTGATCACTTAAAAAATCGGACCAACTTATTAATTTTTCAAAAGTAAAAATTGACCTCTGGAAGTCCTCGTCTGGCAGCTCGTCTGACATCTAAACAGCGGCTTTTCCTGTTTCCTTTAATTTCTTTTTGACTATTTCTCTCTCTTCTTGCCGACGTTTTCTGCAATTATATTTTAATACATGTAAAAAATGAACGATATAGATCCAGAAATCAATATGAAAAATAATGCCTAACTGTCCAGAAACACTTACTTCAACTGCAGAAATTGTTTATTGTCCTCTGAATCACGTGGTCCTCGAATATTTTCCCAGTCGTCGCCGTCTTCCTTGATTAGTTCCTAAGCATAGAAAAGCATATTGCTGAACAATCGTCTGATAGTGTGATAAATAGTTTAAAAAGGATAACCACCTGATAAACCGCTTCTATACTTTTCTGCTGGCTGCCAATTCCTTTGTTATTCAGAAATTGACTCTAAAAAATTATTTTTGGTAGCCCACGATTAAGCCCACGATTTGAAGATTACAAGGAATAGTCTGCTACCCATATAATAGATATACCTATTTCTTATGTAAATTAAACAAAACGATTCATTTGCAGATGCGTAACATTAATACCACTAGGGAAACATTCTCTTTTGAGATGATATCTGTGCAGTAATAGCATGGAACGCAGAAATTTGAAAGTCAGATCAATTCCGTCTAAAGATTTTGCTATTATGGGTAGAAACAAAACTTGAACACAGAAAACAAAATCACAATCTGAGATTAAATTCCCGTTTAGAACACCGCTCAAGAGATGGTACGTACTATTTTGTAGAAATATTTAGTAATTGAACTTTATTTGGTTCTGCAGTTTATATGTGAGCTATCTAACAAATGCTTTTGTAAGTGAAGACTATAAATCACGTTCACAAATAGTATAATCACAGAAAAGCAAAAAAAACTCTTCGTGAAAACGTAAAATTTTGTAATTCTGCCAGTCCTTTGAAATTTCTTATTCTAATTTTTAGTTTCCAATAATTTAACGTACAATTTCCTCAGCGTCAGCAAGTGTACAGGCGGATGGTCCGAATTCGAATTTGATTTGTTGTATTTTATATGCAAGTAATAAAGTTGAACCACCAATTGCCAAAAATGGTAAACCTTTGCAAAAAAATTTCCAGCTTGTCTTACTCATAAAACGTTGCTCTATGGACTGAAAATCAATATTAGCGCAACAATTAAGTAACAAAACGACATAACCATTTAAAATATAAACATTCATTCAAGAAACCAAAATTCCTGGCTAGGAGAATAACATGAAGAAATTGATAAAAGGCGAACGATCTTGCTGTAATTCAAGCAACTTCAATAATTCTATGTTATGAAATGAATCATCTCCTTGTTTCCTTAAATTGTTAATCTATTTTTGTCTAAAGCACAATTTAATAGTTGAATGGCGATACCTGTAACATATGACTTAATTAAATCGCTTAAAGCAGCCATAAAGTTAAAAAAAATGGTATAACTGGCAGTGAAATTCTATCAAAATAGCAAATATTAACTATCTCTTGCTAATTATGAATCGACTCTCACACATTAATGATCATTTAATGCGAATTTTGAAAATCTTTCTCATCATTTATACACCCACACATATACAGATATGCCTATTTAGCTATTTAGTTATATCACTGATGTTGCTTACTTCTTTTTCAATTACCATTTCATGGTAACTTATCTGCTAGCTTGTTAATATTTAAGAAACTGTGAAACTATAACTAAATAACGTTCCTGATATTCGTCATTTCTTTGAGCAATCCTAAAACTTAAATAGAGACTTTGATGCGTACCAAAAAATATTATTCAGTAACACTAGTATGATGGTGGACTAACAAGACAGTTTCAACTAGATGGATCATAAAGTGACCCGGAAGTGGTTATCTGTGTCAAAATTTTGATCTGCTTGAACTGCAGCCACAAAACCTCCCCATAAAACACCACTCCAGCAACCAAAATCCTCTTTTAGCTACACATTCTTGACTCTAAATAACACGGTCTTTAACATTTTCATCGAGGCTCAACCAAAGTTGGCAACAAAACGTCATCGTCACCCATCTGCATTACTTCCGAACGGGAACCAGATTTTTACGGGACAATGACGATTTAGACCAAGTTGTGGTTTTTCTGCGCCACTCATATGAATATTAATGAAAAAGTGTTTTCTATCGAATATAAATTGATGAAAGGTTGATAAAAAGGAGGTACGTGAAAGAGACAGTGCTTGTTATAAGTTTATAGTATTGAGCAATGTAATACATAGTCTCTTTGAAAATGTGCATTCATTACCGTGCAAGCATGCACTCTTTCTTTTACAAGCATAAACTCCTTGCTGTTCAAGGATGCATTCCTTCTCTTGCAAATGTGCGTTCTTTCCTTCATAACTATCTACTTCATCCTCTTCAGCCCTGTATTCTTTCCTTTTCAAGTATGCTGAACATGCATTTTTTTCCTTTCCAAGTATGCATCTTTTCTTTTTCAAAGGCAAGAAATATCAATGAAAATTTTTGAATTTGGCAATTGTTTATAAAGGCTGAGTAATTTTTTTTGACTAAAGGAATAATGCTGGAGGAGAACCAAATTTGAGTGGTTTTTTTGACTTCAAAATAGAACATGGAACAACTTGTTTTGTAACCTTGCTGTTTATAAATTATAAATTGATATCTTATCTGGAACAGCTTATTATAAATTGATAACTTACCTGGCACAGAACGTTTGGTACAACGGTATGGTTTGAAAAGTTTTTGTAAATGACCAAAACTTTGCAGCTGATGAAATAATGACGGATCATAAGAGACTTGTACTGACTAACTAAAAATAAATCATCGAAACTGATCTTTCATCATTAGGAGGATATGAGTTAACTCATAAAGTGACGGAAAATCAAAGGAATTGTCTTTCTGAAGTATCATCTATGCAACAGCAGTAAATCAATTCTCTGCCGGATTTTTACGTGTGACAAAAATAGATCGGCTAACAAAAAATCAGAAATTCGCGTTACGTTTAGCGTTTTATTATAGCTTCACATTTCTAATCTCTCTGAGAAGTATGCATAGCAGCAAATCATTGGGATGCATAAAGAAATGCAATTCCCCGCGGCAAACAATGATGAAGAAAAAGGGCTCAGTTCTTCCCTATTTAACCAAGCTGAATCACACGTCGGACAATCAGTACTCCAAAAATTGAACTCATTGAAATTGGATGTTTACCTTCATCAGCCATAATTGACAATTTCTTGCAATTAGCTGTCTCTTCTTCACTCGCCTCAACAGCTTTTCTCTTTGAAAAGACGCTTCTAATCAACAGAATGCGAAAAGTGCTTTTTAAGAATTCATTGAATCTCAAAGCGCAAATTTCTATTCCTGCTCAAATGAAACACTTTCTCACTGACGAAATATATCGGAAATATGTTTGGGTCAAGTTATGATAATTTGGAATTTACATCGAACCGTTGTTATTTTTTCATGGATCTAATGTTAATAATATTAATGATGTAATGATATAGATTCATCACAAGTGAACTCTTCTTGAAGTTATGATTAGTTTAAGATGAACAGTCGAGTAAAGATGTTAACTGTACGTCGAAGTTTTCTAATGGTACTTAATTTGGTGGAACCTAGTGGTAAAACCACTAAGTGAAGAGTCAATCAACTTTCTGATTAGCTCTCCAGATGCTAGCACGATGTATTTCAATGATATACGTCGAAACATTTTACACAATTATTTTGTCTCTTCTTCAAATCTACTATCAAACTTACTGAAAGAATCAATCAAAGAATCGAAGGTCCATGCTTACTACTCACCCAAATGACAGCTGTTGTTTTCATAAATTCTTGTTAATATTAATAAAAGATCTTCACGAAACATTCGCTGCTTAAAATAAGCATTTGATGAAAATATTATTCCCAAAAACTGCTTGTGTTAATTAATTTCGGTTCCTTATCATTTATCACTTTTAATCATTAATTTGTTCCAAATTTATGACTGATATTTTCATATGATTTCATTGGATGATTGGAGAAGTATCTTAATGGAAGTTATTCTGATTTTACCTTCAGCTTGGAAAGTCATTATTGGGTATTTTCACTCAAAGGTGATCATGTAACTTTCAAGAAATCAGTATATTTTATTCGGTGCATTAAATACGACAGTCGATTTACAGACGGTTTATTGTGTCATTATAATTATGAATGCATTGGTTGCTGATTGACAATATTTCATGTTTAATTTAACATGCGCTTATTTAGGCATAACGACGATTACATTACCTTACCGGATCAGGTTTTTATTCTTCACAGCTTACATTCCATCTCCATTTATTTTTTTTACTAATTGTTTTTACAAATTTCGGTGTAATTATTTAAGAAATATTCATCCATATGTGAATAATTACTGTTTTTTGTTCAATGCATGATTTTTTTCGAGTTTAATGTAGTTTTTTAACTCATTTTTTTCTTTAAAAAAGAAAGCAAAAATATAGGAAAAGGTTAAAGGTTTTTTTGCAATTATTCACTTCAACAACTTCCAAAATTAAAATTTGCATATAATTAGGAAGCACTTTTCTCATTGCCATATGCGCTTTTCGGACATGTCGAGAAAAGATCTCTTACTCCATTTGGATGGCGTTGGAGAAAGCGTGCTATTGTTTTGAATCCTAGTGGACATTTAATTATTTATAAATATTTCCTGAAGGATATTGGAGCTGGGTAATTCAATTTATCTAAATTCATGTTTTTGTAGTATCTGTAACAAATTGATAATTGAACAGTCTTCATAATATTAAAGTTGATTTCATTTATTTATACTTTTGTTTCTAATTTTATTAAAAAATCTCATAATAGGAAACCATTTTTGGGAAGAATAATTCATTTGGATGCAGTAGAACATATCCAAGCTCGAATGGATAAGGATGTCTGTCATATTAAAATTCATGATCATACTCGAAAACGAGTAAGTTCCATTTTTTTTTATTTTATTGTTTCAAAAACATTTTAAAATGTTTGTTAAGTTTAAAAATATCACCATTCTTTATTTTATTATAAATGACATTTTAACCTTTTATTCTTAACATTTGAATTCTTGTGAGTTTTTAGACAGAACTGCGAATTAAAGGTACAAAAGCTCGTTTATGGGCTGCAAAAATATTCATGTCAGTTAATTTCTTGTTTATATCTTAATGAATTATTGATAAATATATAATTAAAATAAGGAAATAGTAGTGATGATTTAAAATGAGTGATATTAATCTTCCTATTCTTGTAAAATTTATTAAGCATACAAAATTACTTGAATGCGTTCGTAAATGTTATTTTTGGTTGCAATAACGATTCAAAATTGACATCACCGTTAACTTTAAAACGAAAGTGGTAGCATTACAGAAGTGATTAACTGAAAGTTTTTCATTAGGCATTTTCCGTAGAATGTCATTTGATTTTGCTTTGAATGATGGTATGATTTTTTCAGGTACGAAGCTCCACTTAATGATTGCAAACAGTAAGTTGGTATCACATGTGTTAGTTATAATTCTCTGTGGTATATTAATTTTTAAATTCTTACTTCATAGTTATTCTGCTTCGAATTAAAAAAAGGCACTAAGAATCCATTGTAAACCATACATGAGTAGTAACTTTAGGCGTTCAACGGCTGCGGAAATAAAGTGGCCAATTGAACGTCCACTAAAAGTACTTGATTCAAAGATTTCTACATCAAGCATTTATGATATTGCTCGAGGAACCAAAGTAAATCATATGGAGGAATTTTCTAAAATCGCTATTGCTTCTCTTTCATCTGAGGTCAATTTATATACTTCAATTATTCATTCCGTTCTACAATCTTCCATGTTTGTTATCGAGGAATTATGCCGCCGGCTAAATTTTGGTTTGGTCTTTGTGGTTAACTGTAGGAAACAGATCAATTTAATGAATTTTTCACTGGTTATATCATAGACATTTTAAACAAATATCAGTTGAGTTCTTGCCGCAAAATTTGAAATTCTTCTCATGAAAAAGTTCTCAAAACTTCATTCAGTTCATTCATGAGCTCCAACGAAAGATCTTGCTTAAAATTTCAAAGTGCAGATTGTTAGCTTAAGATATTAAAGTTTTAATTTCGAAACTATCATTTTATAGAGCTTCCCAGATTACACAACCTCTGATGCTTCACAGCAAAAAACTCAATTGTCCGCGCAAATTTTAGTTCGTTTTATATGTCATTTCAAGCAAATCTTTGTAGCAAGTATATACTAATGGATGATACCACAGCACTGAAAGATACTGAAAGTCTATCAAAAAACTGAAATTAAATTAAATTTGTACAAAATTAGGCGTGTTTTTTATGCGCTGTAGAAGACTTCCAACAACGTTTACGATTTTATGATGTCTGAAGTCTAGAATAACAAAGCATTTTTGAGTTTTTAATTGAAATTCATTTCATACTTTAATCATTTTCAAAAAATTTTACTGGTATTGAATTTACAAATGATTAATCGATTAGAATATCATGGGCCTTTTTAGAAAGGTAGTATTCAATGATGTCGAGTGTAGCATCATCTCAACTAGATTGTTCTAGATTTCATCATCTCAACTAGATTGTTTTGCAATTTGAAAATTACTGAATGAAGCAAGAAATTTTATTTAACAATATTATCATCTCATAGGATGTGGAAGGAATAAGAAAATCTGATGTGTTCACAGCTGGTGGAGCAAATTCTGAATCCAACAATGTTGAAATTATTTCGGTACAAAGTATTAATGTGGTAAACTTTACTTCATATTAGTTTTGATTACAGAAATTTTTATAAACGTTTACCATTGAGAGGAGCTTATAAAAATTTATTTTAGGTCTACGGAAAATCTACGCATAAAAAATTTGAAACAAATTTATTGAAGCGCTCAAGATCAGCATCAGAATTCACTACCACCGCAGAATTTTCCACTATTAAGGTGTTTTATTATGAGAATAAGTATACTAATGTATCTTAGGTACTGATTCGAAACTTATCAGATAATTAGACAATTGATTTTCTTCTAAATTTCATATTAATTGCCATCTTTTTTTATCCATTAAGATTTTTTTTATTTGTGACTAAAGTCTAAATTGCTGATATACTTTTAGGAAGCGCACAAGTCTGTAAGCTTGGATCAGTTGAATGAAGTACTGATATCGCGTCAAGGTCGTTTTCGGAAGCATTTGCAAAATATCATTGAAAGCCGATTTTATGACAGTTTAACAAAATGGTCTTCAAATTATTCGGTTTCTAGCATTCAAAAATTACATACTCAGGCTGGCAATCTTCGAATGTCACAAATTTATGTATGTTATTGAATTTTTGCTTCTTTTTTTGTATGAAATTTAAATATAACTTATTTCTTCGCTTAGAGGAAAAGCGATTATTCTTATAAACATCTTTTTTTTTAATTTGAAAACTCTAATAGAGCCTATAATTAGAGGAACAATGAAATCTTATAAATTTCATCATGCTGATGTTTATACACTAACGATCTCAGATTCCATATAATACATTGCTCATGAAGGATGAAATGCGAGCGCAGCACCAACAGCGCTCAGAACCGCTATCATCATTGTCAATTGATATTAATAGTAAATTATGGAAAGAATTAAAGCATGATGATAAAGATGAAAATGATACTGCTCATCATTTTTAAATGGACCAAGCGTAATAATATCAGATCATAATGCATTAGTCAAATTTGATCTCAGTCATAGTATAGACAAGGTCATTTCTTGCTGTGATGTTTGATTGCTTTTATTACTCTTTTCATCTTTCATTATGATGAGAAAATAAATTTATTGACTTATTGTCTACTGATACTTTTCATTTGAATAATTTTTAAATTCCGAAATCTTATGTAAGTGGTTGTCCATCATTTTTATCATCATTATGTAATAGTTTTCATATGGAAATTTCTTTATTGCTCAAAACGATGCTCTTCGTATCACTTAATCAAATTTAATTTTAAAAAGTTCAAATCAAAGTGATTATGATGTCGCATATGCTCCTAAATTGGTGGCATATTTCTCAGTTCTGTTTTTAATTTGAAAAGTTAAATTTAAAAAAATCATAGCACAGCATTTATCATTATCATTAGATCTTAATGATTACAATGAATGATTTATGATGATTTTTGAAGTGATAAATGGATTAATTTGTAGGGTAAGTTGATTGAGATTATGGAAACCAACCAAGAATTATGGTAATGATAAAAGAGGAGGAAGAAGCCATGATAATATATCAAAAATCATCAATTTTTGTCTGCAAATATCAGCTAAACACTTTCACTAAAAATATAACTTTTTTTCAAAAATAAAGTGATTATTTCTAAAAAAGTACCTTTTATTTTACTGACAATCGTTTTCTGTAACACAACTAAAATTTGCAGCAATTTTACTGAATATCAGAAATATCAATCATCAAATGAATTGCGGTATGGTAGGAAATCCCTAATTTTGCAACCAGCATTACAGTAATAATGTGTCATTTCAATCATTGACAATTATCGATAAGTGTCCGCTCTTTTTCTCTTTTATTTCCCTGAAGCTGACAGATATTTAAGCAAAATGGTTGATTCGCTTTATGAATCATTTTACTACTTACATCTGGTCTCTTCATTTGAACCATTTTTAATGAGATTTTAAACGCAATATAATAATTTTAATCACTTCCTAAAAAGTTAATACCTTGTGAGGATGGCTTTTTATTTATCACATAGGATAAATGCCAAGCAGTGATAAATGATTTACCAGCAGATAGATATAATTTCGTAAGTCTATTCCCTTTACTTACGCGTTAGATGATTAAACTACATGTGATACATATTGATAAGATAAGTAATAAAGAATTAATATTGCAAAATAATTTTTTTTCCATTATCTGCAAGTGGCTAGTATCAAAAATTAAAGTTATATGTTCTTTGCTGTAAGAAATTTTTTTCAAAATTATCCTAATCAAAAGCTCAATATAGTAATTTTGATGGACAACTAAATCTGATTTCACTTTCAATTATTCGTTTTTTTATAATTTAATCAAAAATAATACGCAGAAATTGTATCTATTAATTTAACACAATATAAAACATAATATACGTCCAGAGATACTAAGCATACGAAGTATAGAAATTTGCCAGCCACTTCAAATTAATGAATAAAAGATAAAGTAACTTCTGATATAAAAATTCTTTTCTATAAATTTCCATTTCATCCTTTCAAGTAATATTTTTCATTTTGTAAGCAAAACAAAATTGCTTTCAGTGGGTAAATATTCATTAGTTAAATAATGCAGAAATTTGCAATAATTACAAATTGAACTGAAGCTATTTTTCCAATCTACAAATCTAAATATGTGAACAAGAACTTATTTTATATTCTTCAGTTTATAACTTCAGCTTCATTATCATAATTTCATACAGTTTCATTCACGATATCAATAACTGCCTATATTCATAACTTCTATTTTCCAATATATATTATTATGATCACTTCTGATTCATCATAATAGTATTATTATGCTCAATTTCATTTGACGTTAAATGATAAGAAAATATAATAACAAAATATTATATGTTTATTTACTTATAATTTTGATAATTATAATTTCTAGTTTTGATTATACTACTCACTATGACACTTTTTTGCATTCATTTAAATACTACTCTTCGCAAATCGTTCACAGCATCCCATGCTGACGCTAATGAGTTGCGAAAACCAATTCCACATACTCATAACATTCATTTATTCCACAAATTTTTAAGATATAAAAGTTAAAAATAAAGAAGTGTTAAGAGAGAGAAAATCATTATGGTGCTGAATTAGTAAAAAATCGTTGAAGTGCCAGGAAGATTGTACATCTGAAGTTTGGTAGTATTCTGCAAGCATTATGAATTGTTTCTCTCTTCTTCTTCATCGATCCTCTTGGCATAAATTCGTAGTTAATATGATTCATCCTATCGCAGCCATTATTATAATTCTAATGTATTACATATATAAATGAGAAAGTATTCATTACTCATTGAAAGGACCGCCATTTATCTTCCGATTTCATTCATGAAAATTCTGGAAAATTTATTTTGTTCCCCATATTAAAATTTAAATACTCCACTGAGGGCGATGATTCTGATTCATCTAAATTTCAATTCATCATCACCAAAAGTAAACGTTTTGGATTTCTTAAATAAATAAAATGGCCAACTAAGATTCATGAATTTGTAACTCCGGCAAATCAGAAATATACACACTTCAATGCAAATCATTCTGCTCAACTTTGCTGACAGTCACTTCAAGGTTAACTTTAATATTTGATGCACACACCATGTATCTCTATTTATCAATTTTTTCAAAATAAAATGCAATTTTAAGTGAATTTTCAGAAAAAAGTTTTTTAAAATAAAAGTTGCAAAATTTTTAGGCATTTGAAAGCAAAACTTTTTTTTAAAAAGTTTTGCTTTCAAATGCCTAAAAATTGTAACGGTAGGAAGCATAATTTCAATTTTTCTTAACTCATCAAATGCTATCAAACTTTGGGACAAGTTTCATGAAAAATTTGTTTTTAATAAAACAACACTGTGTTATTAATTTTGTTATGATTTGAAAGTGGCAGTTTATAGTTCACAATAAATAATTAATTCAATAAAATCGTAAACCATCCTTAACCATAAATGAGGCAAGTGAAAGATGCTTAGTAACAAGAATTTATGCTTTCAAACAGGTCGAAAATGGTTAAAAGTTCTATTATATTTATACTCAAATCAATGTCCATTAAAATGAAAAAGTTTGAAATTGAAATGAAATAGAATGAAATTTTGCTAGTGTTATTTAGCTTCATAAAATTAACTTAAATAAAACATTTGGACATTTCTGTAAGCATTTTAAAAGTGTAACGCCACTGTCTAGCATTTTAGATGTTTAGAAAAAGTAGAAATAAATAATCGAAGAATTAGAAGTAACGAGAACTTTTCCGACAAATGCTGTCTTAATTATCTTTCAGCTTTATCTCTATTCACTTCTCTTCATCACAAAAGGATTCTAAGTTTAAATGAACTTTTTCAGATCACTGAAAGCTCTTGTAATGGAAACTTTATTTGTAATTTAACTTGCAAAATCAGACCAATTTTAATCGGATACCTCATTTTCCACCAAATAGTATTCTTAACAGTGACAAAAGTTCTATTTATTTTAGAAAATTTGAATAATGAAGAGCTCGTGCTGATAATGATAACAAGCTTGTCTTTTAAATGTCTCATTTGAAAAATTTTTTATTTTAATATCGGATTAGGTAATAAGCTCAAGTTATAGTCTTAACGTATTGCTTAAGTTCTATTAACTTCAATATTTTGAATAGGCATGCAGCACTTCAACTTCATCACTTCACATTAAGAGACTTAGTACGTTGAAATGTGTTAAAACAGCAAACTTTAAAATAATGGTAAAGCTGGAATCATAGATCGCGGATAATTCGGATAAATTAGCAAATTTGATTTCCTCTCCAAATCCTTAATTTCTCTTCAATTTCATGAGAAACGTAATTCTGCAGGCAGAATAGCTGTAATAGAGAATCCAACAAATTAATGAAAAAAGAATTGTATTAAATCAATCCTTCATTCCTTCTACTTACGGAGCTTCAAGCGCAATCGAAACATCTGCATTCAGTTGCGCTAGGAATTCTCATAATCCGATCGCCACCTTCACATGCTACCTTTGCTTTTACCTAAAGCAATATTTGATTACATTCTGGTACAGTCAATCGTTCATAAAATACCGTCCGGACAACTCAAAACAAAAAAAAGATATTAAGCCATATCAATACAAGCTTGACTGTAGAAAAAGAACTCTACGTTTTGAGAAGAGTTTACGAAAAATAAACTTATGCTCAATTTGGCTATTTCATAATAATATCGAGTTTACCATAGTGATCCGCTAGTATAATAATTGTTAATGATAAGGAAGCAAAATTTAAAGAAAAAGATGAATATTGCTTTAAAATTCGTCTTACTAATAATTTATGCGCAATTGTCAGCTTCGTAAAAAAACTTAACAAAAAGAATAAAAAAGCGAAAATATTAGCAAAAATGAAAAAGCATTTAAAAATTAATAAGAATATTTCTTAATTTTCTTCATTAATATCATTTCGCTACTTATAGATCGATCTTCATATTGATCTCATTATCTTTTCTTTTAACTATCAAACCATTGTATTTTATTAAAATCAGTATTGAATAAGATGATGGATGGGTAAGTATCACACAGGTAGTCTTTATATCGATCTCATTATCTTTTCTTTTAACTATCAAACCATTGTATTTTATTAAAATTAGTACTGAATAAGATGATGGATGAGATAAGTTTCATAAAGGTAGCTTAAACCTATGATTGTTAAAGATACCTTCCTTGGTAGTCTTTAATCTGTTATTGTGTAATTTGAATTTTAAATTCAATCTGAGATGGCTCTTTTTGAATGAAACATTATGAAATATTTGTGATGTTTCATAATCGAATAGATGTCAAACAAACCCATTCATTATCGACCATCCTGCAACATCTTCCATGCACTGTAATTGAATTTTCTTCCGGATTAACGAATGAAAAAGACATGCAGTAACCGGAGCACATATTCACATTTACCGCCACTAAATCACATCCCGGTTCATCGATAACGTATTGTGTACCTGAAAAGTTGAAGAATGAAGTTATTTCAAATTATTAGCTTTAGTCACCAATAGAAAAGAAAATAAGAGTGATAAAGAAAATAAATAAAAAAGTTACTACAAAAAGTTACTGAATAAGTAAATCTCTTTGCAAACTTTTTTCAATTGATATTTGAGATACTATTCATTGCTAGCGTCTTTTTTAATACATTTTAAAGGAAAAAGAAATTTTTAGTTTTTTCTCTTTGTTAAAATTTTAAAAGTTTAAGCAAACCGTGTTTTCGGCATCCTGATTTAATAACAGCAGAATATGCGGAAAGTGTTGTAAACATCAATAGCAATGCTATCAGCAGGTGTCGTTTCAGTATGAATGAAAATGCGATTGAAGAAGTTAAATGGTGCGTATGGTGCGTATCCGTTCGTATAAGTATTGCCGGTGCCGGGATCGAACCTGAGGTTGAAGCCAGTTCCGTTTTCTGCATTAATCATGCAGTGAAGCTGCAATCATACCATTTAGAAAGTTTGATCAAATATTAGCTAAATCTTTTTGTGACGTCAATATTAGCTAAATCTTTTTGTGATGTCTCCAACGCCCGACATCTCGATCGTAGCTTTTGCATAGAACATCAAAATTTTTTGACGTTGTGTCTAATTTTTGGCCTTAATCTTAACATGTCACAAATGACTTAAAAAAGAGAGGCTTCCAGTCTTTACTTCTTCTATTTAAACCACTTGACCCCGCGCAATCATCAAAAAAAGAAAGTTTTGTGATTTTTTTGCAAGTTCCTATTAAACTATAATAGAATCCAAGATTAATTCATTTCGCTAACAATTTGGTTCAAGATTCAAGAAAAATACTGCACTTGCACTAGCTAATATAAGAAAGTCAACAAATAATCCGGAAACATACAGGTTAGAAACGGATAATTTGTTAGAGGAACCAATTACACAATCCCAGCTCACCTGAATATGAGTGCAACCATCTGTTAAGCATTCATATAATATAAAGGGAAATTTTACATGTGCCGCAGTGAAAAAAATGAATAAACCGAAATACACGCCCAATTTTTCCGTAAAACTGTAAGTCGGAAATCCGCTATGTTTTGAATATTCCCACAATCTTGATCACACTTACCTGAAAGACTTTATTTGTACTGTGCTGGATTATGCTAGCAATCTTATTATGTCACCCATATAAGAATATATAATAGCTCTCCAAGAAAATGATAAGAGGCAGTGATAAGAGCATTACTGGTAGCCCATAAACCCCTACTTTTTAAAATCTCTTTTGACATCTAGACAGCTTATCTTTGACAATATCCCGAAATTTTTATTACCTAAATAAAGATTCAAGTAATGGATAGTAGGCTTAAAAGTTGTTGCAACCTGTACTTATAAAAATGGGAGAGCACAAAAGAAATTTCCGAGAAGCTATAGATTAAAACTTTATCATTCCTTCAAATATCACATTTGATGAATCTAATCTTGCGAGAGCTTTCAAATTCTAGATAATGTCGACAGCTTAATCAACGAATGAGTTACACTTCAAATACTTTATACATACTGAATAAAGCGCCAAATCACTTACTTATTGGTGAATAAAACTCATCAAGGTAAGCTATAAATTTCTAAACTCGGGCACTCATATAGAAAGGTAGTAAATCTCTGAATTACGAACTCTTCGCAAATTGACGTCACTGCTTGACATCCTTTATTTTCCATTTCACGCATTTCTAGCCATTCCTTACATAAATACCTGTTAGTGAACTATAATTTCCATCCAAAAAATTTAAGAACAATTTTAGGAAGAAGAAAAAATGAGTGATCAATGAGAAAGCATTGAATTTCGGCCCACGCTTTTCAAAGAAATTGATTTAAATTATTCATTTTTATCTCTTACTTTTATTATAGAAGTTTGTTATTTGAGCATCCTGTAGAATCTTATTGAGATCTAAGATTACATGATCTAAGGTTTTTTTCTCTTCCTTGGACAAATTAATACAGTTCTTTTTTTCAGCGAAGTTTAAAAAAATAAAGAAGTAATTGTCTGTGTTGCTGCAAACTTGGATAATTAGGGTCAATGGCTGAGAACTTGAATAATTAGGGTCAATGCAGGCCTGCAGCAACAAGCAATCTCTCAAAAAAAAATGAAACGATGTGGCTTTTTTTTCAAAATGATTCAACCTATAAACATCAAAATATTTCATACATTTCCGATAACTTCTACCAAATAAATGCGAATGCGCCTTATTCGGTTGCTCACAATTTTAACAAGGACTGATTAGGCTTTGAATCCATTTATAGCTTTCCTTCTAGTAAAGTTAGATTAGTGCTTCTAATTATTTGTTGAAAAAATCCAAATTTACTTTTTGTGATCGCTTAGCATTCAAAAATTCAAAAGTTGTCAATACTATTTGGGAGGATTTGATAGATTTCCCAAACAATAAATAAAAATGAACTAAAAATAGAGGAAAGAAGGTTTATTCTTGAAAAGATTCCTTTTCTTAGATTATTTTTGGAATGAAATAAGTATGTTAGATTTTATAGTTGAATGAATGTTTGCTAAAAGACATTTTTTTCCGGATATTTAAAAAAAGACATTTTAAAAGACAGGCTAAAAGACATTTTTTTTCCGGATATTTAAACAAAAGCGTCGTAATTTCGTTATTTTAACATATAATTGCTTTCCTTATGACTTCGTCGCCTCTTAGAATTTTAAAATTTAGGAGTACGCATTCATATCCAAAGTGAAGTTTTATGTTTTTCAGTTATGTAGAAAAAGTTATGAGAATTTCTTTAACCTTTCTAATTCATTGTTGAATCAATGCATAGGTTTTTTTCATTTTTTAAAAGAATATTTTTTGTTATTCACACTCTCACAAATAAGATAAGAAATTGATGTAGACAGCAAAGCAAAAACTTGCTCAATGAAAATATCACAGAATAGCCTATTATTAATAAATTATACAAATTTTTATTTGAATAACCTCTTCTGTAATTTGACATTACTGTTATACAGATGAAATAGAAATCTGAAGTTTTATAGCTATTAAATTATTGTTTTTTGGATAGGAAGTGAGATGAGTAATTTCCGATTTATGAACTCTCTTTTAAATATGAATGATTCCTTCTGCCTTCCTTTTTTTCCGCTCATGGGATCTTAATTTCCTTGATACTGTTTCTATCCTTTACATTTCAAGTTGAATTTTAGTTATGCCTTACACCACTGCTAATATGCTAAAATATTGAGACAAGACTGAATAAAATTAAATTCTCAAACAATTTCGTAAGCTATATCGACAAAGGACAATGAATCGATGCTATTTAAAGTGGAAATCATTAGATATATCACCATCATTAATATTGATGATATATTAATGATTACCACTTTAAATAAGGGCAAAATTTTGATATAAGATATTCATAATATCTTCGTGACGGAATTTCGAAGTATATAGAAAGAAAAGTGAATTTAAGAAGAGAACGCAACACTTGAAATGCTTACCACTTAACTGAAAATTGAGAGCGTTTAGTTCTTCTTTATTATTGTCTCAAAAATCATATTTGCGCCTTCAGTATTAATGAGCTGATCCGTTTCAATTATATGAAATCAACTTCAATTAATGCGCAGATTGATCTTGCCTTGAATTTTAATCAGTCATAATAAGAATTAAATTAATAGATTTTAACTATGTTAATCGAAAATGGAGCATTTGAGAATCTGAATAACTGAAATACTAATATAATTAGGTATTTCATATTAAAACATATCTATAATAAATTCATGCTGATCTTTTACGGAATATTTGTATTCTATCGACACATTCATTCAATTAAAATACCCAATTAAAGCAATCAAATAATTTGCATTTATCTAGTACTGATAAAAAAATAGCTTAACAAAATTTTCACTCTCTGTCAGCTTCAAAATATGAGTGAAAGATTAAAAAGGCCTCTTAATTTTTGCACAAAGAGCAGTATGACACTTTCATGCTGAATAGACTAAGTAAAAGAAAATTAAGAGGCAGTTTGTAGCATAATGTGAAGTTAAGAAATGCCAAGCTCCTATCCTTTAGTGACGGAAATCGATATTTTACTAATGTCATTAGTTAAACAAAAATGATGAAATTTAATGTAAAACATTACAGTTTTATAATGAAATTCGTTTAAAGAGTTAAGCGGATAATAAACTGAAATAAAAATTCCAATTTATTACTCTATCCTTCCTGTATATTTATTCAACGACCCTAAAATCATTTCTTGTAAGACATTAATGTCTAGCAATGATTTAGAAAGTCTACACGTCACAAAATTGTAAAGGCATTGTTTCACTTACTGGTATTTAATTAGAAATATGATAACCCTATATTTCCTAAAGAAATCTGTAAAAATCTCCTCAATGATTAGATTCAATTTCATTTTAGACTTGGAAAAATTTATGAGTTTTTGTAAAACTAAGACAATCGATCAGTGCTATCATAAAAGCATACAGTCCTAAAATTCGTGATCTCTCATTCTCTGAAGTGAAGATATTGTGAAAGAAAGAAATTATTAAGACTATATATCTATAAAAATTATTAAGACTATATATATATATATATATAAGAAATTATCAAGACTATATATCTATATATATATTAAGACTGGAAAGGAATTGAATTGATGTAAGCAATTATAGCACTTGGAAAATTGAAATCAATTCTAAGCTGAAACTGAATTAGCAGTGGATAAAATAGACAAGAATGTGGAAAATGATATAATGCCATGATTTAAAGACAGGATTGAAGATCCGGTTTCAGTTTTAATGCACGTCACTAAATTGATAGTCCTCTGTCCTCCTTCCCTTTTTTAAAGAGTGTTGTTAAGAAGAGTAAATGTTGCTCTCTTTCATACACGACATGGAGACGACATGAATGGAATGTGACAATTCTTAATTGTTTTCCCATTTTGCAAACAGCCCACTGACCCTTGGCCTTCTCGCAAAACTGCAAATGTATTTCTCAAATTTTAAAATGAATAAAGGGTTTAAACTATCCGTCATACTAAAAATATTTAAGCTATTTCACGATCGTTACACTTGCAATTTGCATTTTCGCTATGTTTTCTCAATAATTTCTAATTTAGCGGTAGAAAATATTAGAAAAAGACATTGTAAACATGGGAAATCATTTTTTTAATGCACAAACAGTCATTTTTTAATGCCTAAATTGTTTCTCATCGACCAAAACGCCTTATCATATTAGAGGATATGTAAAAGGAGAAAGTAAAGAAAGCATCCTCTGCGCATGGCGTCTATAAAAGTTGTAAAGGCGCAAATGTAATCAATATATTAGAATGCTTTGCAATATAACGTTGTGAAACTCACAGAGTTGTTGCTGCATAGGTAATCCTTAAGATGAAAGAGTTCATAACCGACTTCCACTATCACTGTTTTGTTGGCAATATGGAAATTATCACTCTAACTAAAATATTCATTTTTTAATGAAACAGATAATAATATTGATTATTTTTAATGAAACAATCAGGTCTTCACAGTTAAAATCAACAAAATAAAATTTTTCTTCAATTATATACTGCGATCATCGCAATGAAATGCTAATAGTAGAAGTTGAAAGCTGAAAAAAGATTTAAAAACCAGCAAAATTATACTGAAAGCAAAAAATAAACATTAATTTCAATGTTTGTTACTGAAATAATGGGAAGCTACCAAATGAGCTGCAAACCTTCATAAAATTATTCTACACAATTCAAGATCAATAAATAAAAATAAAATTGCCACTATGTAAACATCATTTTTGAGTGGGCTGAAAAGAACAAGGAACCAATTTTAGAAGTTCCTTTCTAATTCAAGAAAATCATTCAACAATAACAACAAAACATTCACACAACTATTCAGCACTTTCCGGAATCAGTTAATGTCCTTTTTAAATCACAGATTTCATGATTTCCTCCTCTTCTTTTCTTTCTTTGAAAGTATAACGTCATCGAACCTCACAAACTTCTATTGTAAACTTTCCTCTGACAAAAACTCCGCTTTTCCAATCCCATAAATAAATAAATATAGATGGAAACATTATTGACAATTAATACCTCATGCGGTACTATATAACAAAAGCTGTCAACGATAATTCCTTCCGTCAACGCATTTTTCATATTTTTTTATCAGTGGTTTTATTTTGATAATATAGCCATAAGCGAGTCCTTCGATTATTGTGGATATCCAGCAGTACATCATAATCAAATTAATAATATCAATTGGTCTACGACTGCATGATGTTGGACTGGATTTAGTCACATCTGGCAAAAGATTCTTTTGCTTGTACTTCGGCCCTTAAAATTTAATTAAATACACATTTTAAAAATATGTGGAAACCTTTGAAGTTAGATGAAGTTTTATTAAGTCGATTGTAAATTTGATTCCAAATATAAATTTTTCTCCTTTTCGCCATATGCGTTGCGAACAATTCCTATTGCAAGATACCACCGAAGTGGAGGCGAATATAAACTTTTCATTTTGATTTCCCCAAATATTTAAGTATTACATTTAAAAACTATATGAACTCGACTGCCCTGAATCATTTAATATAAGACAACAGTTTTTCGATTTGCCTAAAGTTTTTGAGAACATGAAATATTCAGTGAAAAGTTCAATGGAGAATTCTCTTCAAATAGCTGATATAATGTAATAGCTATTATTTTGAATGGCAGTAAGAGATGACATATATGATCTTTAAAATTACATATAGAAAATACACAAGCTAAGGAAATTGCAGTTTGAAGCTCAAAAATAAATCTAAAAACATTGAAATCTAACTTTGATTTTAATGGCATCAAATGAGTTGCTTACTAAAGAAATATAAATCAAATATAAATGAAACACCGGTAACAAATTTCAAAATATATTTAGCGAAATCATATCGCTATATAATTAACATTATGTTAATTATGAGAATAATAATAATTTAGAATTTACATGCACAGTTAGCCTGAAGATGGAGGATTTTAGAATTAAATAAAACCAAATCTAAAAGAGAGGAAACAGGAAAAAAATATCATGAACAAAGTCCTACTCTCCCACTTATATTTCTTTATCATTAGATTAAAGCGATATGATTAAAAATCATCTTAAATCTTAAATCTTCTTCAAGGTTTTCAATACATCGCTATGTTTAGCATGAAGTCGTTCTGTCAGAAAATATATGATAAATCTTGTGAAAGATATACACGAAAAAAAAAATTTAGCATCCAAAATTTAATACTACCATGGTATATCTGTAATATGAGGAAAAAGTCCGGTAGAACGTCTTCACCGCATCATTTCCAAATTTCCATCCAGTCAATAACTGTGTAAGCACTAAATGAGCAATACAACTATTGAATAGTTTCAAATAATAGTCATCAATATTTATGAGGATTATGATCGTTGACAACAGAACTTCTAGAAATATTGTATTAATTCGCAGCGATTATTCGACAAACCTTCAATCACTACTAAAGTCAACTTCGTCCCAAAAGTTGTTCGCTCTGAACCTGCATTTCACAAGATAATCCTGATGATATTGAAGTCTCCTGCAAAATGATTTTCTGCAGTGTAAAATGAACTATAAAATAACGATGACAAGTTGGCAAACCCTATTTTATAGACTTGGAAAAAGAATATACCTCAATTGCAGATAAAGTTTTCGGGGCACATTCTTCCAGTTTATATTCTAATTCAATTCCTGGAATAGTACGCAGTGGGGGCGTTATGAACTCCTCCAGACCTTCCTTATCTTCGCTTACTGCTGTTAGTTCTTCGTTTTCTGAAATACAAAACTCAAACAACGTAAAGGAAAGAGTATTTTAAAAACTATTTAAGTTTCTGCGAATCAGAAAAAATTCGTACAACGTACATCTCTGGATCATTTTTTCAACTTATTTTTGAAAATTATGTAATTCATAAAATTTTTACTTATTACGGCTTCTTTCTTGACATTCCAGTATTGCATCTAACAATTGGAAAAAGTACGATTCAAAAATTATTTCTGAAAGAATAGAAAACAAGCCTGTTTCATTTTTGGCGTCCAATTCCAACAACTGACCAGAAAAGTCATTGTTACTGCATTTGGATCTTCTGCACCGATGCAGCGGTTTCCATTTCGGTTGAACAGATCGTGATGACATCTTTTCAGAGAACTTCCAGTCTTCATCAGAGCAAAACGACTTCACCGACCCCTCACCTATGATTTTTGGCATCGATTGTAACGGTATTTATTGAAAAAATATTTAATTTATAGTTTTTAAATGTTTTCTAGATCTAGAAATGTTATTTTGCAAAATTTGGAAAATTTTAAAACCGTATTGTGATCATCAGCATGTAAGATAGAGATCTGACAAAAGTTCTTACTTGATGTCTTATCAGCAGAGCGCTCATGCTGATTAATTATTCTAGTTTGTTCTTTTCCAGATTCATTAATGCTTGCTTTATCATTGCTAAAAACGTATTTAGTAAGAAAAGAATATTGAGTTAGATAAATAGACAAAATGAATGGAATGCATATCTATAAGTTTCATTTCAATTACTTTTCATCAATGAAAATAACAACTAAGTGTCTCATTTAGAACAATCAGAAGTGCAATTTGCAAATTTTGATATACCATCCACTTTCAACATAATATATATCATAAATGACAAATTTCTAAGTCAACTAGGATAATGCTACAGCACATTACATGACTACATGTAGAGAGATTACCAGAAATAGTTTGTCCAACATGTGACTGTATCATATTTATCCCCTCAAACTGCAAATTTAAAATAAAGAATTATCAAATCTGATTTCTTCAGAGAAGTGAGAAAAACATAGTTCAAACACTCTTATAGTGTCTGTAAGTAATTCTTTCATATCAATCAATTCACTCTTCTAAGCTTTCAATGATTGATTGGCCAATGAAGTTTTCGAATTGTAAAACGAAATTTGAAACAAAACGTTAATATAGCTGCTAAAAAGAAAAACCTGGATGTTTAACAAGTCTTCAATGCATGAAAATCTATCAAATTTAACTCAGAAATTAATAAGAAATATCTTACGTTGATAGGTCGAATATTAATTAATTTACACCTGAAAATCTTTTGAATGAAAATCGAAATACTTGCCAAAAATAATCGCTCCGCTGGGATGGAAGGGACAATTGACGATTGATGTATGAATTTTGCTGCCATTCATCATCCTGAAAAATGAAGTCCAACGATGCTTTTTAATAAATGGACTATCATCCGAATTATAAATAGGTAAAAGCATAATACTAAGCGTCATAGTATTCCCATAGTGTTATGACTTACTAAATAATGATTTTGTCCAAATTCAAAATAAGATCTCACTTGCATGTCATTATTTGTTCACGAATGATATGAATCGGTAGAATAACTTAACAAAAATCATAATAGATTTTGAATCAAATAAAAACTACTGTACCTAATAAATAATTTCTTTTAATATTTTATGTTGATATATTTTTTTTTGCTCCAACATTAATTTCATTAAGAGGAATGGCATTTAGAGGAATGTATGCGAATTACATCGTGAAGAGAAAAGTTCCTAACGATCACTGAAATTTTAAAATGATAACCACAATAATGATTAGCAAAAACAAATCGAACATTGCAATTTATTCAAATTACTTCGAAGTACAAACTTCTCTTTCATCGCTTTCATCGCTTTCATCCAAATTCTTTATCCTAAGTTCAGCGAGCACCTTTCGGGTAACCTCTTGTGTTATTTCATGCATGAAATTTTGTGAAATTTGCCAATACGTTCTTTTGTCGTTATTCAATGGAATATTTTCCTGCAATAACTCGAATATTGTTTATTACTTATTGCTTTCCGAATTTTTAATTCGACAGAAACATAATATATATGAACTTCCATTTTATTCGATCACTGAATAAAGAAATCGAAAATTTGCAACTAAATTTACTGAAATAAACGAAAAGTGTTATTCTGAAGGAAGAAGATCGAAATGTGAAAATGAAAGTCTTTTAGGTAAATTACTGAAGGCTTTTTGAATCCAATCAAATTTCGAAATTCAAATCATTATTTACCTTATTCCAGTTTTTCTGATCGTCATCGAGGGCCATTTTCAGGGTTAGTTTTTGTGACTGCAAAATTAAAAGCCACATATTAACACAGTGTAAGGTGAGCGATTCTCGATTGAAACATGCCGCGGTAAGAACAAAGAAATATTTAGTGGAGCATCTAATAAAATTACAACTACTGTTATCCTATTATTATTACTATAATTAATAATAATAAAATGATAATTATAATAATAACAATAATAATAATAATAAGTTACTAGTTAGTGTTAATTATTCCCTTGTTATTATCATCATTACCAAGAAATGATCGTCATATTATGCCGCATCACTATTCTAATGACTGGGATTTTTGAATGCTCAGAATCAATTGTTAGCCTACGAGTTTAGTTATATTATTACTGTTATTATCCAATGTTCAATTCTTTTAGAGATGTGAAATGAGAGAGTCCATTTCAATGGTCAGTTAATAGTGTATGACAAGAAATATGAATGATTCTTGGCGCCATTTCTAAAAAAATACGAAGCAAAAGTTGTCACTCTCTCTCCACGGACATAGTTTATCAAACCCTTCCCGATCACGTCTTCTCATCTTTCTCTTTCTATCCTTCCATTCATTATTTTCGCCATTTATAACTAATCATTCTCTAACATAGCAATTGTCACCTCACTCTATTAGCTTAAATTTCAATGACCTCAGAAAGATTTTCTCTCCATAATTCATTTTGAGCTGCTCATTATACCTTTCAATTCCATTTCCTTCAAACTAATAAAACTCACAAATGAAGTTGAAAAAATACTGATATAAGATCACTGAGTATCATTACAATACATCGTTGGAATATAATTAATGCTATTCCATATATTATCGTTTTTAATTCAATCATTGTCAACAGTTTCAAAGAAGGAAAAAGTTAAATCGATAAAAGGCTCTAATAAAACGATGAAAAAGAAATCGTAAGGGATTTTCTGCCTCGCGTTTATGACTCATACTTCGTTGTAGTTACCGACTTCTTATTTACTTTATAAAATACCATTAGGAATAAGACATCAAAGTAATACGGAAATAAGATTATTCGGTTATTGAAGGAAGGATTAGCAATTATTAATCTCAATCATATCATTAATTTTGCTATGAAGACGAATGTTGCTATTCATCTGCGCTAGAACTGCAAGTGGTACTCGCTTGAATCATTCCACCGTAGAACGATGCATGGCAGATATGTAAGTCAAGAATAAGTTAGTAGAGATGTTCAACCGGGTTGTATAAAACTAAACACACATGAATTATTAGATCGTTCCAATTCTTAACATTTTAGGAGATTTCAAAATTCTACTCTAAAATATTCATTTCAGATACATATTCTTGGGAACAGCAAGTTCCCCCGATAATATACAATCAATCAGACTTCCATAATCTTCATCGATTGCTGAATATCAACAGGGAAATTGCAGTTGTGAATGATATAAAATTGATAATTATATTCCAAATATACCTATCACCTGAATTATTTTTCGTATGCGATATTGGATATTACTTTATTTTGATATTAACAGATGGTTATAATGTGTGGAAAAGAATTTTCATTTCAATTTGACATGTATATGAGAAACGGACAACTTTCCTGGTATAGCATAGATTTATTTCCATATCAAAAATAATTACGATGAATTACAATTAGCAGTATGAGGAACCAATAACGAATAAAGCTCCTTAATTAATAAACCGAGATTGCAAGGATGCTATAATTCAGTTGGAATAATCCAAATGGTATCCTATTATGCTAATTATCGACATCAACCTAACCTGTACCTGTGTAGAAAAGAAATAAAAGAAGAAAGTAAATTATATCTCAGTGATTCATATAATTATGTAATAAGTTATTTTTAAATAAAATAATAGTGAGAAACAATGACTTCTAAATTCCTTTTTGTCACGATAATTATGAAAAGCATGAAGCTTCTGTGCTTAACAGCCAGCCACACATGTATCGGAGCCTTTCGTTTTCAAATCGATGAGCGGCATTGAATGATGGGTAGTATGTGAGCGCTTTCATCAGGATAAGTATATAGTTCACTTTTTTCGTCTTCCTTTTTTCCTTTCTAGCAAAAGTAAATTGATATCACTAATAACTGATAACGTTGGAATTTTACTGCTAAGTTTTAAAGTCTTTAAGAATTTTTCTAAAACACCTGAATGAGTGTCTATATACCACGTTCCAAGACGGGATGTGAAATCTCGAACTTTGGAAATTCTTCGAAGTTTAGATAAATTTCTCAACTGCTAGATTTCCAGAATCTTCTAAATAATATGATCAAAAAGAGAGAAAGAGAAGCTATTGAAAATGAAAAATTATTTTCAAAGAGCTTCATGAAACATGCAAACTGAGAAGAGTAAATAATGTCTAGGACATCACAGTAACCAATGATTAGTGAAAAAGGAAGTCTGGGGTGGACGAAGAACGGCTGTATAGTATGGTACCTAACAATGCACAGTTCTGGAGGGAAAAGAGAGAAGATGACAAAGAGGCAGGCATTGTAATAAAAGCTGAGCGGGTGAGGGTAACACCATATTGACCGGTGATATCAGTACCATTGCGTTCCGCGCCACCCATCGCGCGTATCCTAATGACCCTTTCCCTTTCCAATTATCCCCACCTTCATTTTGCCTCCTGGAACACTATCCATTTCTAATCATCAGGTAACATAGAATATCAACCTTGACGTCTTTACAATGATGAGAAATAATGCAAATAATGCAGAAATAAAAGTCGCTTTGACCGTACTAAATTCATTTTGCCATCAAAAAACTGCGACGATTAGAAATTTTCAAAACTGAAATCATTCTAAAATTCAATCGCTTTGAAATTCAACAATTTTTACATCATCTGGAACTGATGGAATGAGTGAGCGAAGAATTTTCAATAAGAGCAAAGTTTTTATTCCCACAGCAATATATTTGAAGTGCTGTGTATAAACAAATCATCACATCAGAAAGGCTCAACTTATTTGTAAAAAGATACGAGTGTAACTGAAGAATTCTAGAATAAAAGCAATCTGCAAACTTCTTAAATGCTGACCTCAATAATATTTCTGAAATTATTTCACTCGTATCTTATTCAGAGAGATCCATCATTTATACTGGAAATTCCATACCGCTGAAAAAAATTAATATCCAAATCCAAGTAACAAGATTTGTTGACTATTCGAGAAACATTTCTTCAAGGGAACTCCCTCGCTATGATGCAACGAAGATTTAGATGAATTAATAATTATAGGACACTTAAAAGTAATATCACTGAAAAAATTTGAACTTCGTTATGATGGGGATAAAGTATTATAATGAATTAATTGTATTAAGATGAGATTAAGATCAAGTTGAGACTCAATATGAGGACATCCTGAAGAAATCAACTTGTACTACTAATGTTTAATTCTTTAAAATTTATAACCAATAATATACCTGCAAAATGGCACCAAAGACAATACCGGCAACGAGAAATGAAATACGAATGAGCCAATTAGGAAGTGAACTGGGTAATGGACGTCTCCGTTCTATTAGCAATTTAAGGTATTTGAATTTTTTGTCCGTAAATGGTGGATATCGCATGCTAAAATTAATGACGCACTATATTGTAATTGGCAGCTTATAGCTACAGTATTAAATAATCTAGGATGACTTCAATTCTGAAATTCCTATGATGATTTTTGAACATTATATTATTAAGGTTGTGGAAAAAATTACTGCGCAAAAAATTTTGTTCTGTATAACTCTCAAAACGCGAAAAATTACTTCCGAAAACTTACGCAAACAAAGCATCAGCAAAGAAACCCCTTATTAACAATGCTTTATGGTTACTGAATGTATCAAAGCCAAATTTTCCGCGATATTTACCCATACCACTTTGGCCTACACCGCCAAATGGAAGCGTATCAACTGTAAATACATATATTCAGGAGAAAAATGAGTATTCGAATAAATTTAAAAAGACAAATATAAAAATAAAGAAATCTTTTTTGCTATTTCTTGAGCTTATCGGATCATGCATTCAATAAAACTTACTGATAAATTGAAATGTAACATCATTCACAGTCACGGAACCACTTGAAGTTTCCGCACACAGCTGTCGCACTTTCTTTTCAGACCTAGTAAAAAGATAGACAGTAAGTGGCTTTTCTCTGGATCGAACAAAGCTGACTGCCTCATCGAAACCATTGGTAGTAACAATCGGTAAGATGGGTCCAAATATCTAAATGTGCTCTGGTGTTAAAAATTCAGTCGATAAAATATAAAATATGAAAAAGTTATTCTAACAAAAATCGAAATGAAAAAAGAACAAGTAAAAGCCCACTTCATCCTCCATTAATACATCATCCGCAGAAACAGCAATTATAATTGGAGGAATAAATAAGTCATTGCGATTAAGCTCACCACCTTTGTACAAAATTTGTCCATTGCTACGTGCAAGCAAACTGGATAATCTACTAAAAAATCAACCAAATACTAAAAATAATGAACATATAACAGAATTAAAAGAATAAAAATACAGAACCGATCAAATTTTTGGTGAGGATTCTGCAAAGTTCGAAGCAAATGACTGTTTCAATAACATACTCAAAGTGTTTCTCATTGATGATTCGGCTGTAATCGTCGCTTTTTTCGGGCTCCGAACCATAAAACTCTTTTAATCGTTGGATGATTTCATTTACTAGTGTTGTTTTCAGTGTTTCCATAACGAGAACATAATCCGGTGCAATACAGGTTTGTCCACAATTAGTCCACTTCCCCCACACAATCCGTCGAGAGCTTACTTCCAAATTTATATCCTCTTCCACAATTACTGGGCTAAAAAAGACAAAAACACAGTTTCATGCCTAGTAATAGAGGCCAATTGGATGCAAACAGCTTTTCACAAGTAGGATAATGTAATCCACTAAAAATAACGAACGAAAGCACAGTATTCCATTCATAACTATCCTAAGGAAAATGAATTTACACTCCGCTGCCCCTTTCAAAAAAAATTGCTACAGCATCTATCTTTTTCTCCTCAAATTTCAATAATACAACAACTTTCTCACAGAATAATCATCCCTGTAAATCAAAACGCATTTCATTAGAAAAAAAATAAAAGCTTAATGCGAAACCTATTTTTGACAGAAAAATCTGCTTTCACAAATCAACTTCTGGCGTTATGATCTAAATAAATAAAATACCATATCCTACCTTATCTTTGAAATAGTTAGCAATTTAGTACACTTCCAACAAAAAATATTTATGTAGATGAACTGCTTTCCGTTGTAAAATTTATGTGAGAGAGCTGAATTAACAAAATAAAGTTTCCAAGTAGGAAGTAAACCTTTTTCCGCCCAGTTCAAGTGTGACTGGTGTAAGATGCTGAGCAGCTGCTGTCATAATAACCTTTGCAACATGTGAATTTCCTGTATACAAGATATGATCAAACTTCTCCTTTAAGAGATTCGTTGTTTGAGCAACGCCACCATTCACAAACGCCAAAAACCGCTGTAATTTTCCTGTATTCAAATATAAAATTCTAGAATTCAAAAAACATTATTACACTGATACCTCCTACAAAAACAAATTCTTGTTTCCTATTTACTTCATTCAAACCAAAAATTTTTCAGAATTAAAAAAATTAATCCTATTTTTCAAATTTAAAAGACTCACCGAATCAAAAAAGTGTGAAAAAAGATCATGTAAAGCTGAGGAAGTAAAAGGTGCATATTCGGATGGTTTCACTATTACCGTGTTACCTAAAACTTGTAGAAAATAAGCAGAAGGATACTTCTTTTGATTCCCGAAAAAAAATCGCATTAAACGCCATTAAACACAGATGACAATGTGGAAACAGAAGCATGGTGGAAAATTAGGTGAAGTCTCTCTTTTAACCCACCCGTATCCGATTCAGCACTCCGAGAAAAGAAAAATAATAAATTGTAAGCAAATTCAAGACTCACTTCCAAAACAATTATTCAATAACTCACCGGCAGCTACAGCTGCAACTAAAGGTAATAAAACAAGGGCCAAAGGGTAGTTCCACGGAGCAATGATAAGGACCACACCCAGTGGTTCCTTGATGATGGCTACAGTGTCTATAAGTGACAGGAAAGTTTTCTTGACCTGAAAGTTTTTATAACAGTTTATGCGGAAAAAGTTACGCAAATATCTAGCTATCCCCACATTGCTTTTAATACATCTCGTCATCCTGAATATTTGAAATTCATAACTTACTGGTTCAGGTGAACTCCATTCTTTCAAATTATCTAGCATATAATCGATCTCAACGAAAACCAGACTCAATTCCATGCTATGTGTTAATTTTGGTGACTGAAAAGACCTTCATTTATCGAAGATATGAATTTAAAGACTTTAATGGTAGATTGGATAGTATGCAAAAAACAATGACAATCATTGATTTTTTCTTTAAATCAGCTGCAGAATTATGATGAAGTATGTTACATTTCAAAGGCTTACTCGTCTAAGATCGTTGTACACAGCTTTGGTAAGAATATCACCCTCCTCATTTAGAAGCCGCTTGAGGTTTAGAAGCTGCCTCCGGCGGTGTTCCAGTTTAGTAGTGATCCCCGTAAAATAATAAGTTCTCTGCTCCTCTACCAACTGTAATAAAGAAAAACAAATGAGAATCCGAAGAAAAAGACTGGAAAAAGCCAAACTTCGACCAGATTCAAGGACAGAAATTAAAATTTCCTGAGAGTTGAGAGAGATAAACCTAACAATAATCTAGCAGCACATTATCACTGTTATTACCCGATGATAAGGAGCATCCTGATTGGTTATTGCTGCCATAAAGCACTCTCTCAATAGACGATTACTTCAATAATACACTACAATCGTATTCCTGAAATAGGGGAACTGCAATTCTTAATGCACACTTGAGAAATACAGATTAAAGAAGTTACACTGAGTGATAATAAATCTTTCCCCTCTCTATCGCACAACTTCCCTTGACCTCTGAACAAAAAACATCAGACGAGAAGACTCCCATATAAAATTAAAATTAATTATGATGACTGAAAAGACTAAAGGAATGAAGGAGGTAGCTAGGGATTGTATACATTTCACTTAGATATGATAAAAATGAAGAGACATTGGTTTAGAGAAAAACAAGCGGTGGCATGTTAGTGAGACTTCCCATCTTTTATCCCTGAAGGATTACGCTTAAAATGATATGGACAAGGCTAATGTAGCAAGGAAATATGGCCAAAGATATCTCTTTGACCTTTTGGAGGAATCTTCTTCAAAGCAAAGATATATACTGCTTATTCTATTATAAAGGACTTTCAGATTATCATTACTAAACAGATATACAGAATACTATGGCTCCGTAATTAAACAGGTATAGAATACAATAATGATGTATATGGTCAATTACCTTCGCACTGCAATTGATTTACTAATCTATCATTCAATTCGTATTGTAATTATATTCTTTTTTGACACTCAATTTGTGTGGCAAAAATCGAAACGATTTATAACAAATATTTCACTCAATTCGCATAAATTACAATTTAATGAATATTATAATGTCTGATTAAATAAATCATTTAGCTAATTCTCATTGTTGTTTTCGATTGCCATACTTATCTTCAATGGTTAAATTATCGGAGACCAATTCCCATGCAAATATTTCCGGTCTGATAACTTATATTCAGTGATTGCGTTAATCAGCTCTTTCTTTATACAAATCTCCTTTTTTTTGTTCATATACATACATATTCTTGTATCCAGTAGGATTTTATCAATGTTCTTTATGTGGGTTAGGAATATAAAAGTTTACTTTTCGACTTCTACCGCTGCTTTTGTAACTTACCTAGCCTGCGCCTAAGACAATCTCTTTATGCACTACCTGACATGATATCTTACAGTTAGCGGGATTAACTTATGACAGAAAACGAAATACATATATCTTACAGTTATCCTCTAAGTGTAACATTAAATCTATTGTTAATCAATAAAACTATTCAAACTGAAAAATTTCAGAACAACTTGTACAACACACACTTCAGTTAATTAACCAAACTGTTTATAAAACACACCAACACAAAACCGATTCATTGCTTCAGCTAACCAGTCACTTATAAGGTTAAAAACTTCATATGAAGCGATTGGCCTCCATATCAGAAAGAAATGATATTAATAACAGAATGGTGATGGTCGCACTAATAGCATTGCTTTTTGTGTGCTGTCGGGACTAACTTATGACAGGTAACAAAATACACATATTACCTTAGTACATGTGAACTTTTCTACATTGTAATGGTTTGTTTCAAAGCGCAGGTAGACCTTCAATCTGGATATTTGTCGCACTCATCACTACTCACGGAAAAAAACTAATTTCTAGAAATATTTGTATTTGGGTAGCGCATTTCGGACATGGTGCAGATTGGGAAATCTTATCCTACTCGTTCAGCTTTACGACCGTGAAAATAATGCAAAACTTCCGAGGAAAATTCTCTGGCGTTCGATCATAATTTGAATCAGCAGAATCACATCGAATGATTATTTAGTATTAAATTTGTTTGCAGTAAGCTCTTCAGCGGAACAGTGAAGAAACTTTAGATGTATGAGATCTTTGAAGATGAAATAGGGTCAATCATTTGTTTCACGTAATTGATTTGAATTCATGAAGAAAGTCGAAGGTAACGATGCTTGCTCATTGGAAATGATAGATCTTTTAGCATAATGTATTAATGATGAAAAAATCAATAAAAGATGTAAAATATCTGATAATAATATAAAACTATTGTAATAGAGGACTGCATTAAGAAAAATTATATGAATGTCTCAAGAAAAAAAGAAATCTAAAACTTGATTTTTGAAAGAATAACATATAACACTATATACTGAAATAGAGAATTTTTTTCCGAACTAAAGAATAAAGTAAGGATTGTTATCGTTTACGTGGTAAATCTATGGGAAATCCCAGTTATTTAGCACTCGAGACGAACTTGATTGAAAAATATGGAAGTTATAACAACGAATTGCGCACTACACACACTACATCTCTCCAGTGGTTTAATAGATTGGCTGTATGGAAGAAGTGAAGTGCGACTAAATTAAGTTACAATGAATTAAGGTAGTTGAAACGGGAACAAATATGAGCAAAAAGTATAGCTTATTTATTTGGAAAATTATTGGAGAAAAAGTGATGGAGAAAAGTGATGGTTACAATTAAATTATTTGAAGACGTTGAAGGCGGAGACTGAGAGTTTCGTAGAAAAATATTTTGAAAATATGAAATTATTTCTTGAAGATTTCATCTGTCATGTGTAGATGAAGTTTCATTGTCATATGTAGAATCAGTCGACCATTAGATGACGTTGTTAAGGGTGTTAATTTCTGAATAAGGAAAAGATGAAAGCTGAAATGTTTCGAGATGTATATGTGGAACTTATATGTGTATTATATATGTGGAACTGATAGAAGGTTTGCACATTTCAAATCTTCAGATCTTATCATAATTCAAGAAAGAATTATTGAAGAAAATATGAGGAAAATTATGGCACCAGGTTAGGATAATCTGATAATACTTGGGGCAAATACAAATTCACTTCTTGGAGCATAACAAGATATAAGTGTATACAGTGGATATGTTTAATCACCGCAAATCTGTTGCTCACTTCAAATATGCATGCCAGGTTCCGTAAATGTTGCTTCAAAATCGACACCAGCAGTCATTAATGCAAGCATTATTAGACAAAAAATGATAAGGAAAACTATTCCGGCAACAATTAGGCAGGCTGTTGTAGGTGAACCCTCCAACGAACAACAATAGCATCTGAAAGCAATCTTTTTTTTAGAATTGGTAGCAGAACTCAAATGTAAAGTTCCAGTTTACAGCAAACAATGGAAGTGATAGTGCTAAATGATAAAAAAGAAACTTAACACTTCTTATTACTGTAATAAATGCTACAATTTTATGAACTCTTTGACAAAGAGTGGAGAAAAAGATTTAATCTTTTAAATCTAAATTGATAGAACAAATTGTTTGTTACTGAATCTCTAATAGATTCTGTATATTGAAATGAATAACAAGTATATTTACTGATCCTCTTTGAGGCCTGCTTTGATCATTTTTCTGGCACGTCGTTTCATTCGTTCCTTTCTAGTTAAATTCTTCTTATCTGTACCATACATTGATATGTCATACATCGATATATTAGCCAGGTCTCCTATTGTCTACAGACAGCACATATGACCAGTATTCTTAGCAGATACAGTATCCATGACTGTTTCATCTTCACATTTTTTCCATTTATAATTTCTTTGAACATATAGATACGTTTTTTTTAATTAAAAAATATTACCACCAATTAAAAAATAAAGAAATACCAAAAATTATTGCTTACTGTATCTCCTATTGCGGAACTGAAAAAAATTAATACTAAATCCTTGAAATTCATTTCCTTTTGATTTTAATGGCTTGGCCTTACAGCCACTATATCTTTTTCATCTTTAGTTTTTTTTAAATGAACGAACACAAAATTTCGTTCTTTTTCAATACTTCTGTTGTAATACTTGCAATCAATCGTATCAAAATATTAAGAAATTTTCCTTTTCTGCTGTAATAATTGAAAAATTAAAAGAAAAACAAAAGCGCAAATTAAGAATGAAATACTGTGATAAAAATGATTTTAAAACTTCAACTTTTCATATCAATCGTTTTAAATCAATCGTTTTAAAAATTCAAATTCAATTCTTAAATTTTAGATACGAATAAATGCATTACTAACGTCATTATTTCAACTTTTAGATGCTCTGTTTTCTTCTTTATATTAACTCTGAAATTTTTATTAATTTTTCCTGTATAAAATTGCTTTAAGAAGAACTTAAAACGTCTAACTAAGCTTGTCATACTCGAAGAACACAAATCTGTGAATGTATGATATAATAAGCTCACATTTCCCAGTCCGCGGCTGACCTAATGCTTACAGTTGCTGCAATTAAGGAAGGATTGTTGAATGATGCAGAAATGCTCTTTTTATGTTACGAATGACAGCGCTGTATCCTATTTCCATGAAAATTTGCAAAATTAAGAAGTTTTAATTTCACCAATTGAATATGCAAATTATAAAAATACTTAAATGAAATAAGACGGAATAAGAGGAAATAGTTGGAACAAAATAGAAGCAATTTCAATTATAATCCAGACTTCAAATATTTTTTAACCTTTCGAGTGAAAATTACTTGAATTAGTTTAATAAATATTGAATTTATTTTTGCCTATTGATATCCAGATATGGAGAAACAAAAGGTATAGAATTATGAAGCATTCAGTTCCTTGGTAATACGCCATGTTTTTTCTATAAAATACAATTATTGTCCATCCATGCAGTAAGATATTAATACAATAATACAAAGCATTGAGAAAAAAAATTAAACATGACCAAAATGGGATTTGGAATTCAAATCAAAAATTATTAGAAAATAAAAATTTGGTTAGAAAACTCTTGGATGGTATTACAGCAAAATCTCTTAGATGGTATTACCAACATCATGCATATCTGTAGATAAGTAGACTTCCGAAAAAAATTCGCCGTATCATAATCAAATCATTCACTTTATATCTACATTTGTCAATCATAATGTGTAAATGCATTCTTAGTATACTTGTATATTTTGAGTACTTCGGCAGCATACAATAAGGTAACGTAATTAAATTCATTAACATGAAAATTATGCAGCCGAAATACAAATTATGAGTTATTATAGTACAATCACTTCCAATCGCATCACAACAATTTTTATACTATCGTATATTATGAAGTATTTCCAGGGATGAAGCACAAAGTAATCAAAACTAATCCATTCTGATTCAAATTTTCATGAAGAAATTACAACAGAGGAGTTAAGGAATATTCTTAAACCAATCGAAATACTGTATAAGTTCGTTTATTTTGTACACTAAATTTTTCAACAATTTTATTTGTAATAACAATTAATTGTATTTGATGAAAAGTGAAAAATCCGAATTGGTCTTATTTCACACTTCACTAATACACTAAAGATTTTTTAAGATCGAAAACAGGAAAGGAGTAAAAAAAATAAATAATTCTTTCCATAGTACTGACTTCCAAATATAATGAAGTGTATAATGGAAAAAAAATTTGGAACGATCAAAATGTGCAGCAGCATGCAAACTTCTCGTACTTATATCAATACGTTAAGTACATTTTCTGAGAACGAAACAGTGGCCTATAATTGTCGACCGTTTCCGGATTAATCTGAAAACTAATGTCAAAAATAACCAAATTTAATATCGCTTAAATAAGATGAATGGCCATGATACGAATTAAATATTGATATTAAATATTGAGCTTAAAAAAGAGCTTATAATTCATCTGAAATTAACATTAACTTATAAATAGATTGACAACAAAACAAACGCATCATGACAGAATATCTTACCCTAGAATTATGATGCTCTGCATGTAACGGGTAAGGAGGACGCAAGTTTTCGTTAAAATTCATTTCGTACCCAGACCTTTCAACATTTCTCAGTGGCTGGCGTTCGTGTTTTGCATTATCTTTTACAAGTTTCTTCGGCATTCGATTCAAAGTAGTATCTATGAAATAAAAAAATAGTGACATATTAGACAGCATTCTAACTGTCAAAAAAAAATTCAAGTCTTACTCCTTCTGCTTATAGATGACATTTTGCACGACACTTCCAGATCAATAAATTTTTATTGTTATTACACAACCACTCTACTAAAAATTTTAAAACTGACTCTTTTTAAAATTTTCCGAGAAGAAAAGAGCATTTTGATCTGATATCATATTTTTCGTTATCATCTCTGTGCCACTGCCTTCAATAGTCCTACTTTGTCGGACAATTGAGATAGCAAATTGAAAGGATCACTGTAGATTTGGCTTCAAGGTTACCTAACGATGAAATAATATAAGCCTGGTAGTTAACTACCTATGCTTAATCATCGGAAGTGCTAGAACTTTCTGAGAAGTAAGTGTAAAGTGTGTTTCAAGAAGCAATGAGATACGGCACTTCTTGGATTTTCTAAAAGAACATCGTTTGTTTAACTAACTGGAAAGAAGGAAATCTGGAAATATGTTCAATCATACTTCGACGTAAGGTTACATTTCATAGGTATAAACCACAAAAATTAAGTAATGTTTGACGAAAATTTTGCCTTTTTATTATCAGTAAGCATTTAGAAAAGAAACATACTGCTAGTACCACTGGGCAAAAGTTTTTCATTCTTGAAAAACAAACTGTTTGCAGTTGTCGATAAAAATGTTGTCTTCTCAGTGTCATTTTCATTATGTGTTCTGTTCAGAAATCGTTCATCAGCACATCTATTTTCAAGATAGATTGCTACTGCATCCTCTATGAACAATTCAGGCAAATCAAGACGATTCTGTGATGATATGATGCATTCCTGCATTTTTAAATCTTGAATACAAACATCAATAAATTTCCAACTTCATTATAACCAAGAATTAATTCCTAAGTGAACTTTAACTTACGTGCTCTTTGGGATAATAAATAGCTGCTTTGCACGAGACATTGCTTTGAAATAATGAAACCGCACAAGCTTTTCGGCATTGTATTTTTGATACATTCTCATAGATCTCGTCAACAACACCAAGTAATACTCTTCCATGAAATTCTTCAAAACATGCTTTTTTAAGAAGTATCGATTGCGCCTTTGTACTACCTACAAAGTTTTCGTTAAGAAATGCAGAGAAAGTGCTTTATAATCTAACAATCTAATAGTGTCCACTTGACTGATACGAAAAAAATACAACGTGGAATGTTTTAAGTATTTTAAAGCGAAGCATCGTATCTTTTTTAGTTTATCAGAAGGATTATTGCTCTTGATCAAAGATCTATGCATTATTTTTCTAATTGAGATTGGATGATCAAAAAAAATGGTGACTCAACTAATAGTGTCTAACAAAATTTCAAGATCTCAAAGAATGATACACAATTATGTTTGCTTGTATTTGCGTGAAATGAAATAATAGAACAAAATGGAGTAGATTGCATTAAAAAATTTTTCCAAATTTAACAGATAGATTGAATAACTCACGTCGACATATCCTATGGAAGTTCATTGTATCTTGACCAATGAATTCATTCTCTTCAATTTGCTGACCACTTATAAGCAAACACAGATTTTTACTAATAACGTACATAACTGCTCTGAATAAATTGAATATAAAACGAGTGCATCAACAATCTAGATAATCATAACAACAAGACACTCTTTATTGTAGAAAAATATTAGTATTTGTCTAACAAGAAACCAAACATAATGGTTAATGCTAGTTTTTTAGATTTTTGAAATGGTTTTTATCTGATCTGATCTGTGAATGCACGTTGTATTTGCAAGAGAGTAGTGTAGTAATACCTAATTCAAAAGAGTCAAAATTGGTTTGAAAATTTGCCTCTCTCTCTCTCTTTCATAGAATCTGTTTCAAAATCCCTAGAAAAATCATAGAAAACCACAGTCGGTCTAAACCTGACCAATGATGACATGGTATTGAATGATCAATGAATATTGCTAATTTAATATTGATATTTCTAGTTGTAAACTTACGAGCACTGGCTTGTGCTGAATGTAAGGCATTCTCGTTTGCAGTGTTTTATATCCGTACGTAATGAAATATATAAAATACCGGTAAATGAACGATTTGTAGATTCCATATGACATATTTGTTGCACTGTCTCCACGTTTGTTGTAACATATGCCAAATACAGTAGCATTAACATATTAGCTGAAAAAGCGCAGAATAATTGTTACTTCAATTAAAAATACTTCCGGACACATTAAAAACATAAAATTACTGTGTTAATTCCATTCTGAATCACATTAATTCAAAGGATGCAAGAAAACAATAAAATCACCGGCATTTTGAATAGTCGATTATTATAAATGCTCATCATAAATGGCAGAAACTGTTATTGTCCTTTACTACAAATAGTAATAATTGTAGTACAATAATAGTTGAGGAGAAACTAGACTATTCCTGAAAATGTGGAGTTAATTGCAAGTACTTCCAAGTATAAGTGATCTTCACTTCCTTGAATGTAAAACTGGATTGGAAACAAATTTGGAATATCTTACTTCTTGGAATTCTTTACAAATGAATAATGGAATGCAGCGAGCATAAGAAAAGTTGCTTTTTAGGAAGAATTTGCTATCGTATAATGTTTATTCGCTAAAGTTTGATAAAATCTTTTCATTCAGATGAAATCAGAAAAATAATTCCCAGATCTCCCTCTACTTGTTTAGTTTGTGTTATTCACGCAAGTATTGCAGAATCAATTTTCCAATTTTATTACCAAGTCCTGCCATAATTTATATGTATAATGTACAAATTATAGTAGCATTTGTCGTGAAAATATGTTTTCTTCTTTTAAATCTATCAAAAAAACAGTAATAATAATTTATGGGACTCATTATACTCCGGAGAACGGTTTAAAAAGCGAAAAATGAGGTGCTATTAATTTTTTAACAGTACTTTTAAGAAATTAACAGCATTCAATAAACTCCAACTGCTGCAAAAATTAATAAAGAGCGTAAACGCAGCAGCAAAGTGATAAATAACTTTTATTGATGCACAAAATGAAAAAAATTCAACAACATTCGGAAAGGTTACATTCCGTTCAGACATTATATATGTTTGCAATAGATATAAACGAATAGAATCAATTTTAGAAATCATGCGAGACCACGTAATTCCATCAAACTTAGCTATACGAAGGCCAAACCAAATCAAGGCAAAAAAGCGCATTTGTCCAAGATCTACATATCGAGCTGAATCAAATATCACCGGCAAGTATCGAAAGAAGAGGTAAAATAGCACTGCTTGCCGTCAGTTCATCAAGAAACTGCATTCGGTCAACTAAATATAAATATTTTATAGATTTAAAGCTTTCATGAACTAAAGAGTGAAAAAGTCAAAGTTTGAGATATTCACACTTACATAATTGTCAATGACCGTTTGATAAGAATAACATAACACAATGATATTCGTGGCTCAATTGATTTAACTCAAGTCCTACAATACTCAAAAATCCATTTACGACGGTGAAAGAACACATGAGAATCTATTAAAAAAACTAGACTGCAAATAGATCAAGCTATGTACTTCAAGGTAGCAAAGAAATTATGAAACAGTAACATGGAAAGCGTCGAAGATATCCGTCAAGTAAGTGCGACTGTGTTAAAATTATTTCAGCAAGGAAATGTCGGCGTTGCGCATTACTCAAGGACTTGAATGTTTCTAGCAGAGGTGCCAACAAACTTTCCACAATCCCACATCCCCATCGATAATATACCTGGAAGAGTTTTTCATCTAAACTGAACGTTTTTATTCTTGATGAATAATAATTTCATTGGCAACATGATTAAAGTTGCCAATGAAATTGTTATTCATCACGAGTACATTGGCAACATGATTAAAGTATTTTAATTATCTCTCTGTAAAACTTAACAAAATAAAAAAAGTGGGAATATAAATCAGTTTCCAGTCAATTTCTGCGTGAGATTTTAAGTTCATACCGTTTTCATGGCATGCAACATATGCGCAGCTTCTTTACACTGCCCATAAAATATTCTGTAATATAGAGCGGTTCGAATTAATTTTGGTTGCAGTAAGAGCAAGCTTGCGAAATTGTGAAAGAGCCAGACTTGTGGTGCACCTAAAAAATATTGAAAACAGAAAAAAGTTATTGTTTAGATATACATTTTATTCTCTATTAAATATTTTAGAATTCTTTGCCTTAATCTTTTAAAACGATAGTTTCAAAAATCCATATATTCATATATACTTGTTATTTCTTCTATCAAAGTGAAAATTTCAGAATCGCTCCACGAAAACTTCGACTTCAGCTCGGTTGTTTTCGAAAGACAATACAGATTTGATGACAGTGGTTTGATAATTTGGGCGCACTGATTTCTGGTGAAAATTGTCTCCGACATCAAATACCAATCAATTCGTTCTGAATAAATTTAATTTTTTATGTGCTGATATGTTTGACTTTTCTGTGTTACTTCCAAACGAATCCATTTTAATCAGTCATGTTTTGAGTTTTGAGCAACAAAATTTGGAGTTCTATTACATTTAATTTAAAATAGGTGTAGAATGTAAATCTTTTACTCCATAGTCTGGTAATTATGGTAAGATGATATTCAATGGTGTTATGCAAAATTCTTTCCACTTTCTCCTCAATCACAATACTTCAGAGAGTAACAAAAACATTTTTTGAATTTCTCTCCCACAAATTAATTACTTTCATCCTTTAGATTTAATGAATCAATCTGAATTCAGTTTATAACAAACCCTCGCCACGAAAATATTTTACAGGTCCGAATAAGAGCATGAACAATCGCCCTTGTTCTGCGATACTTTTCTGAGTGCGCAGAAGCGCAGAAAGCCAAAATCCCTGCTCTGATTCCGACTGTGCTAGCTGATCAATAAAGAAACCATGGAAGCGCCGTCGTACCTCGAAATATTTCTTGTATATTATCATGATAAAAATGAACCAACACTAAGTAGGAGTTATGCAAGAATTTATATCGATTTGAAAATGCCCCTTCACTTCGAATGAGTGAAATGATGGCCGCTGTCAGCAAGATAGTAAAAAGAATAAAAAGCATAATTTACCTCCATTTCAAGTTGATGGTGTTTGCCAACTTTACCAGACATTACAGCAATAAGTAATCGCGCTGAATCGGTGAAACGTATAATGGAATCTAAAAATTCGCTGCATGCTTGACGATCCCAGTTCGCACAGAACTGCAAACGGAGATGTTGAAAAAAATGATTCAAAGACTTTGGAAAAATCGTTTTGTAAATACTAAAGTCCTCCAAATCATAATGTATCATAAGAGAATAAAATTCTTACTCCTGAAAAGCATCGCCCCCAAATTGTGTAATCGTAGACTGACTTATTCTGAAAAATGAGAATCACTGTTTGTGCAGTCACTTTATCTCAATTAATTTAAAGAATTTTTAACATTAAAAAAAATCGCTAGACATTTGAAAATAACGGCACCTTCAAATAAAAGTGATTCATAAAGGTTCGTCTTCTTCGCGCAGGCCAAAAAACTGTACACATCTTCAACAAATTTCCTGAAAATGGTAGGGTTTCTCTCGAAGTTCATTTGACCGAGTATATGCACTGATTAGCGTCAATATACTGGCCTGAGGAAAGGAGTTAGATAACAAAAACAAGTGATTATAAAAAGTCCCGGGAACCGTTATTCGACAGCACATTCCCCATCGGAACAAAAGGATATTGTATTCTTAGGAAAGTTTGGAAAAGAAAACAATAATAAATCCTTTGAAAATAGAAAGGATAAAGAAAATACAGTCACAGAAAGAGCACAATTCTCTTTTTAACAGAAAAAAGAACAAACAGAAAATCAATCTCACTTTCAACACTATCTGCAACTTGTTTCATCAATTAACACAATGCATGGTATTAAAGCTGAATGATTATATAAATTTGTAGAATTCTCCTAACAACTAGCAGTTATAAATAATATACATACTAATCTCTTCAAAGATTATATAATATCAAACAGGCATGATTCAGTTCACAGTCTAAGAAATCCGTTTCTTAAATCAACTGTTGCCGATTTTCTTGATGACAGAGTTAAAAAATTACCCCAGGCATAGCTGTTGCTTAGTGTCTTGCCCAATATGCCTTCATCTTTTGCTACATCACAAGCAAATCTTTTTGGCGCATCGGTCAACGTATACTTGCAAACTGCATTCTTAAGAGCGTGACATGTAAGACTGACATGATTTAGTTCATGAACTAAAATTTCAAATATAATACTTTTTATTTAAGAGCTAGCTGAATTTCGTAACAACTTTCATTAGGCTCAAAATGCAACATGCAGAAAGATTGCTACATAGGTAAGAAAAATGTTGAATTTTTTTGGAAATCCAGTAAAATATGGATGCTTTAAGATAAAACTCCATTAAGATATAAAAATGCAAAATATCCAGCGAGGGAAATTAAAAGGATTACCTGAAAGATAACTGAATACGAGTTGGAGTATTCTATCAGGTATAGATATGTGCGACCCAATAGTATCATCGAATAAGAGCATTATTCCTTGTTTAGATTCATAATCCAGCAATTTATTGTTCTTCAAGGTCATGATTAAATCTTTGAGTTACTCTGGATTCTATTTTAGATATAAACGTTTCCACATTTCATCTACTCTAGTAGCTAGGATGTACTGCACAAGAATGAATAAATACATAAGGGGAAGAACATCAGGAATATCAGACACTAACACCTCTGTTCTTAAGACAAACAAAGGTTCATATAAATTGTCGCTTTTTCGTTTAACATATATCAAAGATGAATCTTGCCGAAGTTTTTCACGGCACGATCCGTAAATCAAACGCTGAAATGGAGTGATCACATTCACTTATCTGAATTAATAATTAGTGTTGATACCTCAACTTATTATTAGTATAAAAGTTAATCTTGAATTGGAACATCTGATCATTTTTGTTTTTAGAGAAGATTTCAGCTTATATTTGGTGAAATTTAAACAAATAATTATACAGTTAATTTTATAATTACATTAAGAGTATTTTTAAGTTATCTCGTAAAATTTGAAGAATTATATAAAGCAACAAAATAATTTTAGTTAATGCATATGCTTAGTTCGGATTTTTGAAGGGAACAGAGGTTAATCTTATTCCCTGTTTCTATATTTTTGTACAGAAAAACCAGAAAATGACACGAATTATAACCTACACAGAGCGGCATGATATGTCGAGTACCCATTTCATTAACGTTAACGATTTCCAGTTCCGTATTGACTTTACGTCGTTGCACACTTCTTACCTTGAAACTAACTATTAACAATAACTACGATAATAATGCTCATAATAACTACAATAAAAGCAAAATGAAACTGATCGCAAATAATACATAGATAAACTACTTGTTAAGACGTTTCATCTAACCTAACATGGAATATTTGGAGAAGTGAACGAATGCACGTCATACCACAATATACACCAAATCACGCCAATCACATTTGTCACGCATACTTGCTAATCTGCACGTAAATGACGAAAATGAACGCATTATATAAGGGAAGAAGGCATGTGGGATGTGGTACAATAATCTGTCGAAATGATGAAAGAATGAATTGGGTGGGGGAAGAATATTAGCGTTGTAATGATTGTGTGGGAGGGGAAAAAGGATAGTTTACGTGCAATTATCCACTCTGTCCTGTAACAACAACCATAGTTAGCCGGTGATGTGTGTAAGGTGTTTGTCAGTTCCATGCAAGTTGTACTTAGCGTGATATCAAGAAAAGTAATTCTCCTGTTCAGAGAAAAGTAATTCTCCTGTCGTTCAACAAAAGTTTTTTGCATTGAATCGTTCCAATGATTGTTTGTAAAAGCAATTTTCAATTTTTAATTTTATTAACTGATTACTCCCTGTACTGCCTCAAGTAATACTGCATATCAGTTGGAATTGAGAAATTATTGCACTTATAGAAGTGACCAAGTTTTAGTATCACAACTCGGAAGTTATTTAAATTCTTCTCCGCAACTACTTGTTCCCATAATTTCAACAAGCCGGTCAAGTTGTTGGACTTCCCTGAAAAATAATAGATTGCAATGGATTTAGGAAAATTTCTGATAAAATTAGATGCAGAGAATTTTATAGCAAATGGAAAAGAAGGATACCATGAATTTCGATCAAACTTCCATATATTTGAGCTCTTGATTTATCAGTCAATTTGAATAATTCATGAGCACTTATAAATGATTCCAAAATAGCGGACTAAAAAAAGAAACATAGAATGCTGATATGAGTTCTCAATATTCAAAAATAAACATTCCAATTAAGATTTCTATAATTTCCGTCTCTTTTTTGAAGCTGAAAGATACTTACTTGTTACCTTAGTTTCTAAATATTCTCATCATTCTTGATCAGAAATAACATAAAGATGAGAAAGAACTGTCATAACACAGAAAAAAAAGGAATACAGATTCCTCACTGACCTCTTTACACTTGCGCGCCAGGCTACATATGAATTCAACGTCTTCCGATGATATAGTGTAATTGTGTTTCTGAAGAATAAATGGAATGATTGGTGAAATGGAATTTTGCAAAATCATAAAATCAAACTATTTTGCTTGCATAGAAACTGAAAGCAATTCATAAGGGTTATTTCAAAATAAAAAGTAAATGAAGTTAATAGGACTAGAACAGAGCAAGAATGAAACTTGAACAAGAAAATACCCTCAGGAAATCGACAAACTGTATATGAAATCCTTCAATGAGAAATACGCAACCCAAAATGCAGATTTGTTGCAAACGACTTTCTATACTTCCATTAATGGTTTCTACTGCTTAAACAAAATTTATGGTAACATATAGATATACTTGATCAAAACACATTTCTCTACCAGTTTCAAGTCTGAGACACTAGATAATTCCAAACTGGATTAAAAATAAAGACAGCACACATCAGTAACCTTTGTGAAACAATTCGTCATTCTTTTTGAAAGCTGCCAGAAGCACAAGAAATGCTGCACCCGATAGTGAGCCATGTTTTCCGTAGTGGGAAAAATAATCGAATTCGTCAACCGCTTCCTTTACCTTATCTCTGTAATATTTCAAACTTTTGGTTCGAAATTTCAACTGACAAAGAACAGAGTTGTCACGATGATTGAAGAAAAAACTTAGGAATTCGAAAATATATTAAAAATAGAATCGAAAATGCACCCCGGCAAAAGGTTCTGAAAGAAATTATCGTATAATTTTTTTTAATACCATATTAAAATACAATAGAAATCTGCATTCATCTGATTTCAAAAAGCAAATTCTGAACTCAAACAAAAATAAAACATAGTGAAGCATAAATAGTATGAAATAATGAAAAGTAAAGCAAGAAAGAATGCAGAATACATTGTTAATGGAAGGGATTAGAAAAATGTGATAGTATAAGATGAAAAACATAGTGATATAGACAATTTGTATGCCTTCCTGATATTATTTAAAGCATGATCTAAGTTCAGAAATTTAGTTCTTTTATATTTCTTATCTAAAGCAACTGCTTTACATCTCGCATGACTAATAATATAAAAAAAAGAAGTGATCAAGGCATGTTGGTAGTTCTAAATTTACATGAACATGTATTCATAGAAATAACTTTTAGGAACAGCGAGAAATTCCGGTAGTACACTGCTAGAACGAAAAATGAAAGTATGGAAATTCCTGGAGAAATATATTGCGGTATGGATCAAATGCATTTTTGAGGCACATTAAATCCAGCGTAACGAATTCTAACTTCTACTTACGAGATTAATTTTAGCTTCTCTTAAATGAAAAAAATTGTAAAAAAATATAAAAATGATCACAAGACTGATTTTTTTCAAAGCAAAACTAGATTCCAGCAAAGTGAGAAAAAATGACCCCGATCACCTTCCAAAGACAATAAATGTCGTCCTATAGAATTTCTAATTTACTATCTATACAGATCAATCATAGTTATAAATTCAGCTCTGAAAATTTGTTCCTTGAATCAAGTATGAGTATCTCATTAATAATAATTCACTCAATAATAATAATTTTTCTCACTCTTTTCAATGTAGATTTTGAATACCTGAAAAAAGGGTGGAATAAAAAATTTATGTACATTATAGAAACTTTTAATAGCTCCTGAAAATAATATGAATTCAATGATAACACTACCGGAAATACGTGAAGTATGCTTGCGATGTCGAGAAGTATTCAGGATGGAAAGCACTTTGCTTCGCATAGATCCACCTATTTATATTCTCGGTGATATACATGGACAATTCCCGGTCATTCATTTACTTTCATTTAAATTTTCAGTCCAAAAATTTTCTCATCTTCTCATTGTAAAACTAGAATTGATACAACACAGGAATTGAATTTTTCAGGATTTGGTGAAGATGATGTCAAAAATAGGTACCCCACCACGTAAACGTTATTTATTCATGGGAGATTACGTCGATCGGGGACAATGGAGTCTTGAAACTGCTTCACTATTGATGGCGTACAAGGTATTACAATCCAAATTATCTGTATTAACACGATCACTTCATTGGCAGGTGTTATTTGATAACGAATATGAACTAAAAATTTCTTCCTGACTTGAAATTATAAGTTTTAAGTGGCATTTAGATTCGTTACCCCAAACATCTTTATATGCTGCGTGGTAACCATGAGACACGCGCTGTGAACAGATTATATGGTTTCTTTGAAGAATGCATTCAACGATTTCCGGAAAAGGATAATGGAACTCAACTCTGGACATTATATCAACATGTCAAACATTTTTTTACAACCTGTTTTTGATATATTCGTTAATGCTATTCATTAATATTCGAGAAACCTATCAGATAAATTGACAAACTTTTCGTGACAAACCGGTATTTAATGATTAAATTAAATTCAAATCATGGCTTTATAATAATCAGATCACAATCTGAAGATTGATAATTATGAAGCACGATAATTTACCATAATCTATCAGATATGAAGCAATCTATGCTGCAAAGTTGGGCTAAATGACGCTTCACGAAGAAAATCAAAAATATTCTAGGAATACAGATAAGAAAAATTTAGGCCTTCAACTGTATGCCATTCGCAGCGCTGATTGGCGAACGCATATTCGTAGCACATGGAGGAATTTCGGAAGATCTTCTTAACTGGAATCAATTCAAACGAATTTGCAGACCAACAGATGTTACTGACATTGGATTCATCAGTGATCTCATATGGGCTGATCCTGGTAACTTTCCCGGAAAATATATTCAAAGCCCACGAGGTGTCTCACAGGTACTACAGTATTTCTGCTAAAGCTATCACTAGTTCTGACCATTACGTAAAGAAGCAACGGATGAAGCTACAATGAAAATTGGGAGATTAAATGAATTTATTTCAAAAGAATTTATAACACTAACAGATTTATTGAGGATTAAATGAATAGGAAAAATTTCATATTCCGTTCCAAGAAAGTAAACGGACTGTTGATAATCTTGAGAGATTAAATAATAATTATTGTAAATTATTTTTTATATAATATTAAATAAAGGGATACTTAGCTTTTCGGAAAGCAAGCAACGGAAGAATTTCGACAAAAACTGAACGCTGACCTTATCATTAGAGGTCATCAGGTTAATCTCATAATTTCATTAGAGATCTTATTCATATGAATTTAAGTCTTCAATGTGCTTATTTCTACTAATTAGCTATTTTGACAAATCACTGGAAACTATTAAACTACTCATCATTCAATGCTGGACATTATTGTTACAATATGGTGTACCATTTGTATAGTTGATTTTGACTCATGAGGATCAGAAATATCTCGGATCCAAATTTAGAAGTTAGGGATAGTAAGGTATATTTTCGACGCTTCCATGGAAAGGAAACTGGAAGATAAGGAAATGAAGATAGAAAGAAAAGTGAGACAAACAGAGATGTAAAGAAAAATTGCTACTACTAGGATTAAAACATTACTTCCTCTGCGAATTATTTTTCCATATCTGGGTTTTTAAGCTGTACCGTAGAGGTTCTAGATCTAATTATGGAATAACGACTTAGAGGAGCAGTATTTTTTATCCAGTAAGCAGTGTTGCTTATCAACTATCATTACCAAATGATAAAAAACGAGAGATTGATTAAATAGATATTTGCAATTAATTCAAGTTATTCTTCATAGGTGGCTCAAGAAGGATACGAATTCCTTCATGATAAAAAGTGCTTAACAATATTTTCTGCACCGAATTACTGTGGTGAACTGAACAACAAGGCAGGAATATTATATGTTGATGAATCTCTGCATTGCACCATATATCAGTTCAGGTTAATAATAGTCATCACTCCAAAATTCTGGCTGCAATTCAAAATCTGATAACGAAAAAAGATAGTTTCATACATGACTACCAATAATCCTCGCTCTCCCTCATAATTAAGGCCAATAAGATTGACAGTCTATAGATTCCTCTCGGTTCACAGCTCTTAATACTACTCAAGAAGCCTGAACATAAATACTGGCATTACTTACTTGACACGATTCTTACTAACTTTTGTATCTAGCTGTTAAGATAAATGATTAAGCATAGATAACTATATGATGAAAATTTTCGAGAAATTAAACAATAAACAAGCAGTTAAATGATTGAAATACATGAATAACAGGGGCGCCAAGCAAACGTTACAAAACAAAGAGGAAAAACCAAAACCCAAACATGATGAATTGTTGAAAACGGCTGTACCTATGAACAACCGGCAAAAAGAAAGCGAAGGCAAGCAAAAAAAATCTGTGGAGCCAAAAAAAAAGGAAGAGTTTGAAACGTCAAATATTATAACTGATAATCAGAGGATATTCAATAAAGAATTAAATGGAAACAAGAAAAAAAAATATAATAATTCAACGATGGATGAAAAAAATGAAGAATATGATCGGAAAACGCAAGAAGAGTGAATTAAATAAAGGATCAGTTATATGTGTCATATGCATGCATATACGTAAGTTCTATATGTGTATTTAAACCAATCATTTTTATTTAAACTTGCATCATCAAAATATTAGTGTAAGTTAAAAAAGACCTAGAAAATCAGAATAATGAAACTCACTTTTTGAGTAAATCTTGTATGAAGATTCGGAAAACATTGTCTTTCACTTTACAAAACTTCAAATCAATAAGGCGACAGTAGAACTGATGGGCCACTTTATATGCATCTTCATCCATATTATCAAAAATCCGACGTACAGCTCCTTCCACCTGTTCATTCATTATTGAGGCTTCTCCAGCTGAATTACAAAATGGTTCGTTAATGCAATAAAATAAATACAAAGAAAATAAAAAAAGAATCAGAAAGTCTAATTTGAACAGAAAAATGACAAACCAAATCTTAATTCTGCACCATGGGACATGTAATGCATTTCTAGAATTTTTTCGCCTTCTTCCCAACCAAGATGAGTTATTGCAACTGATGCCATCTTGACAGCCATATAATCGGGCACTTTTCCTTTCGTCGTGCTACGACAAATTTCAATAAAATGTGCACAAGGAGCAGAATTGCCAAATAATAATAAGAATTCCAGAAAACTTACAGATCATTAAAATGTCTTATGGCTCTTTGCGCATCAACTGCAGTAAACGAACGACTTCCTTTCATGATGTCATTAAATGCATTTTTCAGCACAGGCTAAAATAATACACTATTGCATTTTATTTCCAAGAAAATGTTTGAAAAACTGTGAACTGACTGGGGTGACAAAGGCATCATTTGTAAATGCTGCTTTGAAATAATTTAGTTCAGCAAAATAAGACTATAAGTACATAATTTAAACTGCTCACATCAACACTCCAATTACGTTCCCTCCACCGAACACGAGTCATTTCACTTGACGATGCTTGAGAACCCATTGCTCCTTCGAAATGAATCACAGGAATGTAGGGCATATTTGTCAAAATCGAACATTGAAATGGGAACGAAATTTTTGAGATCTGATTGAACTTCACCAGGTTTCGTGCCATTATAGCAATTTTGATACCATTTTTTCCTTACAATCTAAATCACTTAAAGGAATCCCAAGAGCACATATATTGTTTCTTACTATAAAGATTTCAAAATGTTTCTTACTATAAGATTTTCAAAATCTGAAATCTTTCGTGGGATGTAAAAATTGACAGTAATGTTTCCCAAACTAATAAATGATTCCCTGCGAACGAATAAAGCAAATAAAAAACTGTCTTCAGATGTCACAAGAAACATTTTCTCTATTCAAAGTTTTAGACGACAAAGTAATATTTTATTCATTTAAATTTATAAATAAAAATGGCAGAACACTAGAACTTGAAGAATACAAAAAGTTTGCACATAAAAGAACGATTTAAAAGGAATCACAGCAACAAATTAGATTAAAAAATTTAAGAGCATGAGTTTTCTTTTCCAAGTATGATAATGTGGAGTCATTAAGACATAGATAATCTTAAAAATACATTAGTAAAATTTGAACATATAAAGTCGCTAATATCGGCAACATTTATGCTTCCAGTTAGATAACTGATAGCAAAATGGTTGAAAAAAAATCTATTTCAATTATAGAAACACGAACAGCTGAAATAAAATCATGAAGCTAGCATATTTTTATCATCAGTGATACCAAAATTTTGCTCTTTCGATTTCAACAATAATGAATTCATTTCCGGAGTCAATCGTATACCCATATCTTTTAATCTCTCTTTAATTAAGTTAATCACCGCTTCATTTTTTCGCTTAACTGCAATATAAATTATTTAAGAACTATAATGTACACTTCAGTCATAGCAAGTTAAACTAGAAAACATTCCGCTCTAATTAGAATATAAAAATATATTTACCGTAGAAAGCGAACATCTTGGATACAGCATTTTCCAAATCTCGTTGTTCCAGATTCCCCTTATGAATACATAATGCGAATAAATCAAGGATAACTTCTGTCTGAAATATTTATTTTAACCAGACATTTACCATGGAAAAACAAAGTTAAATTTGAAAAGGAAAATATTATGGAAATCTACAGCAAACCTGGTCTAAATCGATTTCCCTATCAATATAATAATTAAGCTTCGCGCCAGAAAGTCGGAAATCACTATTCTGAAAAACAGTTCAGGCTAAAATATTTAGACAAATTCATAAATCAAAGTATGTAACCATGTTTCTTTCGATTCCCATTTAAAAAAAATATAAAAATGAGCCACAGCTATTTAGCAACAGTAAATTTACGGTATGAAATAGTGAGATATTTCCTATTTGTTTTGCTGTCATTTAATAACGCATCAAAATGTTGCCTACCTCTACCAATCGCATTGCATGAGCTTCTTTATTACGCTCTAACAAAGCAACACAAAAGTCAGCCAGGGATGATTCCTTGCCGTGATAAATCGTAATCAAATTAATCACTGAAAGATAACGACTAAACTTCAAAGAAATCGTTCCCTAACAATTAACGTCACTTCAATAATTTTACTGGAATGGAACAAAGATATAAAAAAAAGAGTATGTAGGAAGAAGAGAAAAACGGAAATTTTACGTATTCATAAAAAGAATAAAAAATTACCTTCCGAAATGATCGTTGTGTCATCTCTATCGATTGCTGCACCCATTAAATCAAATTGACCAAATACAGAATTTTTTTGAGCACTGATTATTTTTAACAAACCAAGAGCATTACTAAGATTACCCCTGCAAAGAAAATTCACTTCTCCAGATCTGACCTATTATATCTCTTGAAATTTCAATCTTTCTCACAAAAAGATAAAAATACATTCATATCGATACCTTATTCAAAAAAGCTGAACGCTCATTCACATCAAAATGATTTCGAAACACTCACTTTTCAATGAATTTGTGGAATGCGTTAACTCGTGTGTTATGTAAAAGCTCCTGTTTAATATTTAAACGCAGATCCAGTATCTTGCTCGTTTCATTTAGGAACACTATTCGCGCATCTGATGCATCTGACGAATCGTACTGCAACAACAAAGAAAGAAGTAACGAAGTAAACAGCGTACCATACTCAAAGTTGTTAATAATTTGACTAAAAATAACTAGAGATAACCTAGACAGAAGAAAATATTTGCTTATTAAATTGCCAATATTTCCAGAAATTATTTCGCAAATCGTCATTAACGCTAATTTTTGCAGAAGAATTCATACAATTCTAGAAAGAAACAAGAAAATCTAACAGCAGTAAGAACTTCATAGGAGAGATCTTCATGAAGTTCGTTGAGTTTCAAAAGAACGGATTTGAACTGATCCATCATTTTAGAAAAATATAGTTTCTCAGCCAATAATAACCCTTTAGATGCAGCTATATACTCCGACCTTTAAGTGAACAAATTTTATTTCAGGATAACAAAAACTTTACTAAGTTGAGAGTAAATAAAGACTAATAAAAGCAAAATCAATACATAAAGTTCCCATATGCTTAAATATTTCAATAATAAAGCACTAAAAAACAAAGCGATTAAACAGCTTTGAAATCCAAGTTCGCAATTTCAATATTTTCATTAAGCTCATGAAACGAGATCCAGTAGAAAAAAAAAAGTAAAAATTACCCCGCAACCCAAATTTCCTTTGCCTTTTCCAAATCACCATAATCAAGAGCATTCTGCAGTTCCATTTCCATGCGTTCTTGATCCGCACTTTCTGCCTTTCCTATAAGCTTTTGTCTCACACCACGACTCATTGGAATCTGTAATTTAAAAAGTATATCTTAGCAAAAAACACAAAAATTGATTTAAAGTGGACAAATTGGTAAATGAAAAATATCATTCCTCATATAATCAACTACAAAAATTAAAACTTTTTGAAGATATATGTAGCAAGCAGAAAAGATTACCTTGTCTAATACGCTTAATTTCTCATCCTTGCAATGTTTACTTCTTCGAACTTTTGTATCCAGACGTAATTTTTAAAAATCCAAATTCTGTGCACTGTTGAACTTATTAAAAAAAGCTATGCAATTTTAGTCTAAGAAGTTATATATATAAATGATTAAAGAAAAACACTGAAACTACGAATTTCGCTTACCATTTCTGATAATGCAGCTACATATTGCTTCTTCGACAGTTCACCATTCCGATCAAGAGTTCGCAAAAGATCGTCCTTATCGGTTTTCCGAAGAACAATTCGTTTATCAGTAGACCATATTCCACACATCATTTTGACTTTTTTCAAATCACCAGCAACAATTGCTGCTCTGATTATTTTCACTCCCTTTCTATATTGACGATTGTTTACACCAGACACTAAAACAATTAAAATTAATGGAAATGAAACAATTGCTATTAAATGAAATTTAACAGAGATTTACAAAACTACTGAAGAATGTAAGAAAAGTGTGGTAACAACAAAATGAACTTACATGGAAAAAGCAACCGCAAAAGACAGCAAGCTGAAATAAAGCTTTTGTCGTAAACTGTTGTGTTAAGAATGAGATTCTTCACTTCTCGGTATGGATATGCCTCTCCTGCTGAGGAATTCTTCAAAGCCCTTAAAAATAGAGAAAAAAGTGTCGATCCAAAATGAAACATGATATGCAAATAACTAATGTGCACAATGATATAAAAATCGATATGCACTATTTACCCCTGTAATAATAGTTGGAGTTTCTGCATCTGTTTCGTTGCCAATAGATGAGTAACGAGAATGTCAACTATGAAGCACTGCAGGGAACTCTCACTTTCAATTTTTCTTACCAACTGCGGCAGAACATTCATATCTCAAGTAGATAATTAATTAATCATTATTGGTGCTAAATGAAAACTTTTAAATGACTATTTGATGTATTTTGGGGAAGGTCCTCAGTTTTTTAATAAAACACCCTAAGATATTAGCGGGTTAGATAATCATAGTTGTGATAAAATATTTGAAGTGCCCAAATTTATATATACGAATGCAAATACTGATAGAGCACTGCTGATGCAACAATTATTAATGAGGCATTACCTTTCAAAAGTGGAACAATAAACAACTTTTTCATATTTGCAAAATATTTGTTACCGCAAGATGCAATTCCAGTCCTCTGAAGAGAACGTGCAATCTCTAGCAAATGCTCAATTTTCTTCTCTCTTGTATCAGCCTTCATTAACTGAAGAAAGTCGAAATTTGCAACGGCAAACTTATTAAAAATTTTTAAAAAATATTATCGAATGCATACGCATGAGAGAAAATAATTCATTCAAACAGCTAAATGCTAACAGTATACTGCGGTCCAAAGCAATCACACTGGCAACCAACAATTTCAACCGTATATTTCAACAGAAAAGTGAAAAAAGCTATATAGTATCTTAAAATTTATTGAGTTATAATAGCCATTTAAATAATTCAGGAAAGTTCTTCTCCTTACTATCAATTAAACTTATATATGTTGAACTGTATTAAAACAGAATCATGCCTATGCGTTAAGCAGAAAAATATGACAGGTACTAAAATTAAATATTTTCAATCGAACTCCGCTCGAATTCTTTTCCCGATAAATTGTTCTACTTTAATAGCTTTAGCATAATGTCGCTTAAATGAAATCTCGATAAATCACCTCACTGAAATGTAGCACTGCAATAGGAAGTTGCAAATGGGGGCGATTCTGCAGCTCCACAAAATCATCGGTTCGCTTATAAATTGCAAAGAGGTCGTGAAAGTTCTTGGGATTATTTAAAGCTACATCATGTAAATAGATACGAAGTGGATGCCTGTAACGGTTTAATATTTATAAATACAAATTTTAAATAGAGAAATTGCAAAATGAAAGCGAAAAAAAAAATACTTCATAATATTGCATTTCTGGAAGACTGTGCACACTTTTACAGCTTCTAAAATCGTCTTCTTTTGAATAACTGATAAGAATTGCCGCGCTAAGATAGCTTGAAACTTTGACCTCAAAAAACAAGAAAATGGCGATATGATTCTACAGCTTGATATTGCAATTACATGCATTGTTTGTATCCATAACGACAACTTCAAAGATTTAAAAACCTAACACATATCAATCCAAAATCAATACAATGGTAGAAGATAATGACCAAATTCAAACTGATAAAATCAAATATGAAACGCTAAATACATACTAAATCTATTAAATTACCAATTAATATATCATGGGAATTGATGGATACATTTCATTTTTATTACTTTCCTTGACTTCAAAAATATAAAAAGCTAAGTGCAACAAATAATTAGTCAAAATAGTAGGAAAAAAATAAACAAACCGCTTTTCAGCGCTTGGAATAAGATTAAGCAATGTCGCAGCTGCCGGAATATTTTTTTCTTCCTTACTTAACAATTTGCGAATTCTACTGCAAACGATAGACTCGCATTGCTTGTTCATACTTTCGGATAAGGACGCCAGAATGCTTGTTAGCTGAAAATAAAACTAGCTATAAATCAAAACTAAAATCTAGTGAGAATTAAGTGAAAAATAGAAGCGCGTCTGATTCATGCTTTCCAGTGTTAAAAACCAGTTTCAAACGCAATGATATGTACAAACCTTTGCAATTGCATCCAAGTTCCCTTTTCTAACAAGAGAAAACAATAATTCATATATTGAAATCTGATGCTTCTCCATGAAGGTATTAATATCCGCAATTTCATCAAGAAACTAAAAAACCTCTGCGAATAATGAGTGAGACCTTTTCAATATTGACTATTATGTCACATAGATAGATAAACATAACAAATACAATAGAATTTATCCACTTCTGACCTCTAGAACATCCCCACCATCAAATTGTTCGGCTTTCGCCAATGTATAAGCCATCTTCAGGCTATCTGTCGAAGACATACTACTTGAAACATGCTGAAAACCGGAAAATATATCAAAGGAAAAGAAAAAAAAATGCAATATTAAGATCCTTTTTAAGACGAACCTTCATTAGAAGTTAGAAACAATGACCATAAGAAATGCTGCTTTTAATGAAAAATTTTGGAACTTACTTCAATAACTAACTTCGCTTTCTCATTCTGTCCTAATCTTGCCAAACTATAAACCACAGATTCAAGAACCTGACTCGGCAGTTCCACTCCAACATTTCTGGCATGTTTAATTATTTCACTGAAAATGAAACTGCAAATGCGCATCAGTAAATAATATAGATACTAAAAAAATGAACTCTTCAAGGCGCAGAAAAATTTTCTGGGAATATATAAGAACTTTCTATTATCAGTAAACAGAAAACAATGCGAATAGTTGTGAGTAAATGCAACTGATTAGTATTTTTAGGTGGCGGAAGAAATAAACCGAATCGGTGCTCGTCAACGCATCCAGCAAAAACCATAGTTAGTTCATTTAAAGAAAAATTTCTAAAGCAAAGATAAATGCCAACATAAGAACACAACAGAAAGGTCATTTAGCAGAAAAAATCTCACATTATTCCTTTTAAATTGGCCTTTAGCGCATAAATTCGTGAAAGCTGGACGTATGTTTGAGCGTTAGGAACAAGCCTATCTGATTCAAACTGTTTCAATGTTTCCACTACACCGACATCTACTTGGTTATCAACCTGAGCAGCAAGTAGAGCATTTCGAGCAGTAATGCCTAGCACAACACCTATAAATATGTTGATTTCCTCTAAAAATTTCCAAATAACAATCAGGGAATTTTTAAACCTCATAATTTCCTTTTTTCAAATATTAGAGAATAATCATGTAATCCATGGGTGCTTTTTGGAATTTTTTAAACTTTTAATCCTCGATTTATACGAAAAAATCCAGTAATGAAAAGTTGGAAAAAAAATTACTTACAGAACAATCAAAAAGTAGGCAAAATTATAGCATTTTGATAATTCCTAAAACTTATAAGTTTGAAATTCAATAGCAATGACTAGGAATTTAATCTAAAGAAAGTAAACTTCCGGTAAGCCAACCTTTCATTTTAAGAACATGAAGTAAACGACTAGTATATTCGTTTCGTTGCGCTGCGGATAACATTTGACATCGACATCCAGTTGCACTTATAAGAACAGCAATTTCTGAATCAACCAATCCCTTGACATTGCACTTAAAATCATTCAGCATATTCAGTGCCTTCTCGAGATGTGCTTCTGTTACCAAATAGTTCCATTCAATACTGGTAAATTAAAATCACGAATAGCGGAAAATATATGTGCGAATAATAGAATCAAAACATTTTTCATGAAAAAATTCAGGAATTAATTCAATAATACTGTAAGACGTTTAATTTAGCTGTTATGTTTAAAGAAACATCTAATAAAATTTTAGCTCTACTGAAAAGATCGCAAAAGAAATAGCAAAAGATTACCGAAGAAAAAATTTTTTTTCTGCCGAAACCCGAAAAGTGAACTTATAATCTCAAATATAGTACCTGTCGATGACGTCGTAAATATTTTTCTGCTGGTCGACTTGTAAACGCTTAGTATGTTTTTTGAAAAGGCTTAATTCCAAGTAGCTCATTTGAGAATGATGCGACTTATTGAAAGAATCTAGTGGCCATTTTAAATCGTAAGATCCCTGAAAACAGTAATGCGTTTTGGTAAAACTTAAATATTTGCTCAGATTAAAGAAGCACAAAGAAAACAGTGGTTGTCTAAGACAAGAATTTATTTAAAAAAATCTTAAGCACCAATGAATTTGTAATTAATAACGAAGGTCCAACTGCTTCACCAATATCCTGATTCATAGAAACAGTTGTTCGTGTTCTTATGCCTTCTGCAATTCGCTTCCTGCATATCCTAAAACGGAAACGTTTTAAATGAGATGCTGTAAGCAACGAAAATGTTATTTAAAGATAAAAGTAAAATTTATTAATTAATCGACAAAACATTCGAAGCATTAAGTAGGATTGCGAAAGGTATTTTACAGCTTAAATAAAAACAAATAAAAAATATAAATACGATGTTGCAGCCCGAGCTCTTGCTGTTACGAACATTTTTCAGGCTATATGTAGAGAATGTCAAACATTCGGAACTGAAAACAAGCAAAACTAAGCCAATGAATATAATTTACAATCAATAACGTGCTCCAATTATTTCCAAATCTTTGAGATAAAAGACTGTTACTCCCTTGACAAATTTTAACTAAAAAACTATCTCCCTGACATTTTTAACTATGAAATTATCATCTATAATATATGATATTATATACCGCAACTGATACTTGAAAAATTTAACGATATATAAGATTTAACGAATTATCCGGCACAATAATAAACCCATCTTACTCATATACCTTTCCTTTGCCGTATCTGATTGCCTACCAAAATATTTGCGAATTTAAATCTTTCGATGTTCAGCACAACCAACAACTATGTTATGTCGAATCACTTGACTATACCGGATAAAATATTTAATTTTTGCTTGATGAATAGTACAGCCATCGCTTGAATAACCATGAACAATAATAAAAGAATAAATCATATTCATTTATCTTTGAATCGTCATAAAACAACAAAGGTTGTTATTCAACATCAAATAAATTCCGCTATATTTATATATCCATCTTCACTATAATCTTTTTTCCCGAACACTTTTAATTCGCTTTATTAAATTAACATCTATGTCTAAATTGGTATTCCCCAATTTCAGACTTAAATTAATATCATAAACTTGAGCTTTGTATCACAAACATCACTATTCACAATTCGCAAAATGTCAAGCTAAGAAATAAGAAGTATAAGTATTGTGATAAACGAAAAGTAAGAAAATAACGACATCTATTCTATCATAATAGTATTGTGACAAATTATACAAATATGATTCTACAACAAAGGAAATAACATTAATAAATGAATCAAATACTATGTTTAAAGAAAATGCAGAAGGTATGAAAAATTCAGTTTCTAACAACTAGAAAGAAGATGCATAACTTCAAAACTTTCTGAACTTTATTTTGAAGTGGACAATATGCAAGAAACTGACAAATAAAACTCTAATAAAAAAAAAAGCTATATAGCCTATTTTCAAACATCGATGAAGACGAAATTGTTAACAAGACGAAATTTATGGAACTTCTATAAAGTACAAATAAGCATTAAAACTTGGTAATGTTTTGCTTTTTCATATTAAAGAAAAACCAGTACAAGGAAACTAAATAAGACAACCATCAGCATCGAACTTGAGATCAAGTAATGAAATAATCTGTGGCCTATAAATTTGACTACCATCAATAAGTGATGATCCAGCATCCGGTTGTAAAACATGAGTTGAATCAAACAGAGTACGCTGTTTTGTCCGATCAGTTGGTTCGCATTTTCTTAAAAATAATTATATAATTAGAAATCACCGTCATTTCAGGTCGTTTTGATTCAACCTGCATTGAATTAGAAATAGTTTATGTTAAAACTCGAAATGCTCCATAATTCGCAACAAAATAATTTATACTTTGTCAAATTTCAAATACTGTATGAAAAACACAAAGGGAAGAAGAAGAAAAATTACACTTTAGTGATTGGGCCATTATCACGCCTGATCTGCACTGCACTGTGTTTTGTTGTATTTTTTAGCGTTGGAAAGAGATCAGATCTTTTTATCAAAGCGTTCTCCGCCGCACGCATTTGTGCCAACTGCATTGTATGCCCACACCCTACTGCTAATCGTTTTTTTCTGAAATACAGTTAACAACAGTGTATATCAAGTCTGCACATACTCATCAAACCACTAGACTAGTAAAAAAGTAACAAAAAAATGTATTGAATACATAGTGTTTATTTTGATTGACAAAAATTATGTTCGAGCTCAGTTAAGATTCTAAATACCCAAAAAAAAAACGTGATTTTTAATTTTTTATTATAAAACCGTTCTTTTAAGTTTTTCAAATCAAGAGACTGCTATCTATACAACTAGAAAAAACGGAATCAACATTAATGGCATCAAGAAAAGCTTATAAGTCTGAATGAGCAAGTGAAATGCAACGAAAAAGAAAAAAGGCACGACAGCAATCTCTTGATTTGAAAAAATTAAAAAAAAAAGTCTTATAATAAGAAATTAAAAATCACGACTAGATTTGTAAAAAAAACATCATATGTGGATGGAAATAAATTCCACGGCATTACCTGAAATAAACGGCAACCTTATATATTCTCGTATTAGTTGGACCTTCGACAGCTATTGTTCTATATTCTGGTATATCTGGTTCACCACCATCCATTTGCCGCAGAGTTAAACAACACTGCTGCAACTGTGATTTCGGATCATTCCAGTGCTGTGCAATAATAAAAAACTGCAAAGGATGATTAGTCAACTTCCACCTTTTCCATCACAAATACAAAAAAAAAATGAAAAAATCGATCACTGCTGTTTACAAATCATTCCAATACTTGCACAAAAAAAACTGAAGATTTTATCTAAAGATATGGGCAGTTAAATGACAGTATTAGCTTCGCCTGTTGTAAAACTCGTGAAAATCCATCAAAACGTACTTTTAAACGAGGGAAGAAACAAATTCTGCAGAAAACTTTGCAATAGTCAAATCCACGATCAACGTAAAGAGCACCAAGAAATGCTAAATAAAAATAATTGTTCATGAAATATATCAAACAACTATACTTGTTCGGCAAATAAAAAACAATGTTAGAAAACAGAACTTTTCAAGTTCTTGGATCTACTTTCTCAAATACTGAGTGAATATAAATACAGATGATGATATTCGGATAATATTCGCCAGCAATTATCAATATACTCTGGGTAATAGATCTTGTGATAATAGATCTATATAATTCACATATGTAGAGGACATACCTTCAACAAGATCCGCTTTGTCTTTCACTCTCAGTACTGGCAGCCCACCCTTCTGCATAACTTTTGGTGTAACCAAATACTTTGTCATGCCAATATCATCACAAATCACAGATTGTGTCTAAAAATCGCTTCTTGAGAAACTAAATTAACACAGTGTACAGTTTTTGGGCAATCGTATTATTTGAGCTTCCAAGTCGTTCTGAAATCGATCAGGAAAATCCCTGATACAGAAGTACGCATGAAGATACTACGTAATTTTTATGATGATATCATCACAATGTACAATGAAATATGTTGAATCATGATTTCAAAATAGCAAAACATGGTGTAAATAAGAACTTAACTAATAAGTCAGGAGAAGTGCACAACTCATCTCTCCCGTCCAAAAAATGAAAAACTCTGGAGTATTAGTTGGAACTTACTCTGTTGCTAACCAAACAAGTGCGCAATATTGATAAGTGACCTTCATGATGATATGGAAAATGCTTATAAAGATAATCAGTCGTTATCAACTGTAGAACCGTATCCCCAAGAAATTCCAGACGTTGATTGTGTCCTCTAGAACATTTACACAAAATTTATACATATTCTAATTTACATTGATCAATTTTCGCATGAAATTTTTATGAAATTCAATCTGCTCCTTCTAAAAATGTTGCACAAACGAAATTAATACCCACAGAGTGAGATTGTTGAAGCCAATATTTCTTCTCGTAAAAGCTTTAGCAAGCACTCTTATATGTTTGAAAGTAACTCCGATGCTTTTTTCCAACTCTGTTAGCAATTGAAGTGCTGATACATCATTTATCAAATGACGGTCTCCATTTGGATTATCTCGCTGAAAATCAAAACTGATGCTTTGAAGAGAACAACAACATAGACTGATGATGAAAATTTCCAAAAAAAAGAAAATAACGTTTTAACTTTAATTCTTCTTGAAAAGACCAGATCTTTTTAAATTTAAAGGATTCTTATATCGCTACAAAAATTCTAAGATTGATTCTAAAAGCTTTTCTTTTGTAAGAACAAAATAAAGAAAATTGACCATTTTTCAAAGAAAAAATTTCCAAATAAAAAAATGAATTAGGTTTACCTTCAAGGGGTGGTCCTCCAAATCAAACCATATAGAAAGCAATTCCTTCGAATCAGCAAACATAGCGCAACCAAAAATTCTTGAAACGAATAATTAGTTTAATAAAATCTCAAAGAAATATTATTGGGAGTCGTGAAATGTCTTATAAAATATATATACGTGACGAACCTATCACATTCATCGATCCCAGCATCAAGATAAATTGCAGCCATCATTGCTTCAAAAGCATTTGCCATCGCATGCCTAAGATCAGATTCATGGCATAAATCGGGTCCATGCGCATACAGCATGAACTCATCCAGGCCTATTTTCTAAAAAAATTTCCCTCAAAACTCAAAAGTACACTTTGAAATAAAGCATTATTGCTGTTTTTGAGCATTTCAAAAAATCAAAAAACCTTAGCGAGCACAGCAAGATTTTTATTTTGAACCATTGTAGAGCGGTAAGTGGCCAAACCACCTTCATCAAGTTCGCTAAACATGTAAAATAAATGAATAGTGGTAATAAATTCAATAACTGCATCGCCCAAAAATTCGAGCCGTTCATTATGGTTCAGTGGCGACTGTTCCGCTTTTTTTGAACCCAGTTTCGACATGATCTCCATTAAGGTATGAAAACCTAAAATTGAACTCAATTCAACTTCGACGTAATGCATCTGTAATTCAATATATAACGAATGTAATAGAAAATACTTCAAAATTTTTAGCGATTTTGAAAATACAAGTACCTCGCTTTTTGGCACTTAACTGCTGCTGAACCAAACGATCATGTACTCGCTGCTTGGAAGAACGCACACCGCAGTTGTTAAGAGTATTACGAGCATGATCACTATTAGTACCATAATTAGTACGATATGATGGATGGGTCAATGCTAGCTCCAAAAGTGAACGGTTCTGCAAAACTATGCAAAACTATGTAAAAAAGATAGTATTTCTCCTTTACTGGGATTAAAGTGACTAGAGGAAACAAGTGGTACAATCCGAATCATTATTATTCAGGCAAAAGTAAAAAAAATGAAAAACCTTGAAAACATAACGAATGCGTTCTTGTTCGTATACTTGTAAAGACCATTGAAAACGCACATGTGCACAGGCAAGAATTAGGAGTAAACCATGCTGAAAACATTACGATATGAATATTTTAATAAATATCGGCTTAGTTAATAGTGGAATATATTACAGACATACCTGTACAATATCAGGAAATAACCCGGTACTATAGAAGTCACGAGATGATACTGACATAACAAAATCACGTTTCAGCTGGCTGAAAAGTATAAGAAAAAAAAAGCTTTTAAAGTGTACGAAACATAAAAAGCATGCACAAATCATAAAACTCAGAAAACGGCAAAAACTGCTCGTGATATCAGTTTTCATTTGTTTGAATTAATTCAAATAGCAAGAATCAGTAGGAAACCATGCTGAAACAATAGGATTTGAGTATTTCAAAAATGTTGATATATTTCAAACAAACCAACAGCGTCGCTAGAAATATTCAAAAAAAAGATAGGCATAAAAATAGGCTACCTATCATTACGCAATGCCTTTAATTGTGAAGCTTTTTGCGCAAGCTTTCCTCGCTCTTCTGCACTTACACGTGGTTTCATTGCAAGAATTTTGCGCATCCTCAAATATTCCTTCGACATTTTCTGATATCTGAAGTAGCAAGGTTCATAGAAACTATGTAAGACTTCCATTTCAAAAAATTCGAATTTAACCGAATTAACTGGAGAATATCGACCGTTGGAAAATCACTCACTCCGCGTTCGAATTGTAAGTATGAGAAGAAGGCCTCACGCCAAAATGAGTAATCAACGGAAAGAGATTATCCGAATTGTTGGGCAAAAAATCGGGCCTGTCAATAAGATCTACTCGAATTGTTGATGGCCTCTGAAAAAAAGTAACTCAAACATAAGTTGATAGAAAAACTATAAATTTTATGTTTTTCCGCGAACAAGATCTATCTGCAGTCAGAACATGCCTATTATCGTATTAGAGCAAAACGCTATACGATTATTTCATTTAATAAATATCCAATAAATATTAAGGATCAATTGATTTACCTTATTTGCATTCATAACCAAGGAACCACGAACATTTTCAGCAAATTCACGAAAAGCATCAGCATCTTGTTTAAGAACCTGAGCTTCTGATTCTGTTACAAGACGATGATAGCTGTCAATCAGGTATGACATTACAACAGACATTGGCAATATCTCCTTCCCACCGCCTGGAAAATTCTCTCATATCAAAATTACTATTGTGAAAATTGCACTACAAATTTCAAATAAGTGAATCTTAAATAAATAGAGATGAAAAACAATTGAAAGAATGCAAAAATGGAAGAAGCAATAACCTGGAATGTTGCAAATAAATCTCGGCATACAGTGATAATAAGGACAACCTTCAGTATTATCAAAAGGATATCTTTTCAAGTCATACATTTCCATAATATCATTAAACAAATATTGATGGAATAATTCCAAGTCTTCTATTGTAAAATTCTGTAAAAGTTTCGAAAAATAAGAAATTCACCGAAAGACATTCAGATTTTTTTAGTGTCTTAGACATTTCATTTTAAACAAAATATCAACTTTAAGCTTTCCACAGTATTCTTGACAAAAAATGCTTAAAAAATCGAAATCATTGAAAGAATACTTACAATAAAAAAATAGATAGAGTCAAACATAAAATATGTGAAAGAAAAATAACCGTTGGAATATTTTCTTCCATAAATTTGATATTATATTCATTTGTCCATTTTGACAGCGGTGTTTGGGGAAAATTCGATGGAAGTGATTTATGAAAAAATACAGAAAAACCTTCGAGCTCATAAGTTCTACCACTGTAGTTGATTTTTGTTGAACGGCGTACAACAGTATTTGGATTAGGTTCAGTGTAAAGTATATAGTGCCATAAACGATGCGAATTGCTAAAAAATAAATGGCTTGCAATTGCTGTCACCATTACGCACTTCGGCAATATCAAATTCCACTCTCGTCTACAGGTAGGAGCAGAATTCCTTTTATATTCGTAGAAGTTGTATACAAAGAAATGTACAACTAAACAGCTTTAAATCTTAATACTACCTTGAGCTTAGGTCGCATTTCTCGATGACAGTCTCTCCAGCATATTTATTGTGGCGTAAGCCGGATTTTTTAGCTGCCCACGAACAGCGACATTCTGGCCCATCGTTCATCTGACCAACTTCGTTGAAGCAGACATCACTGTGTAGAATAGCTGGATGATTACGTTTCCTAAAGACCTGCAATGAATACTTTGGATCTCAAGCTACAAATATTCTCAATGATTGTGAATAATTTATGGAAGCTACAAACAAAATTAACCTCTCGCTTGGCAACAGTGCTGTGTTTTTTTGATCCACTCATCTTAGTATGACTAATTTTGTCTTTATTATCAATCTGTTGTTCATCAACAGATACATTACCACTCCTTTCATCACTGTCATCGATGCAGTCATCAGAATCACAACTTTCCGATTCAGTTTCAGTATCCGAATGGTGACCGCCTGAAAGTGCACAAGATTCTCTTTACATTCTTTCTTTACATTTCTGAAAAATTTTAATAACAAACATCTCTGTCCAATAAACTCATAACAATTCAAAATAGCTCATTCTTTCTATAATTTTTATAAAAAAAAATTAGAATAGTACAACAAACGCATCTTACACTTGCAGTTATCGTGAAATGCAAGAATATCAGGCGGGTCGCATTTTGGCTGATTTTCCTTTTCTTTAGTGATTTTTTCTACAATGTCTCTTCTGAATTTATTATGCAGCTTTTTCAACTCTTCGGTTGCACAGCTATTACCAACATCGTTCTGCAAACACGAAATTAAAAATGACCATCCGAACCAGTTTATAAAAACAATTTTTATAAAAGTTAAAAAAGGAAACTTTTTAACAGAATTACAATGAAATAACTGACATACAATGCAATAAAATTTTTCGTCAGGAACACTCTGCGAATAGAAACCACTCATTGCAACAGTCTGTTCAACCTGGTCAACTTCATCATCAGTATCGCTTAATATTGTGTCAACAAAGTCTTCTTTTGTCAACTTTTGCCATCGAGGGACGTCTTTATCTACAGATTTTTAAAGCACATATATATTCCACGTGATTATTAACAACATTTTTATTATTTTCGGCACTTAATATTTACTTCATAAATCTTTTACACATCAATTTTCTACAATACTGACGACCCAAATTCCCTAATATTCCCTCAAACTTCTCTCTATCAAAAAAATAACAAGAATGACAAAGATTACTTTGTTCCGATTCACTTTCACCACTGCTAGACTGTTCACGCCTTCGTTTTCTATGTCGTCTCTTTGTCGTATTCCAATTACCACTCTTTTGTTCTCTATGCTCTCCCTCATTACCAGCATAGCTTAAAACAACAAAGTCTAAATAAAATCCTGGAATTTTTTTCTAAAAATAAACAAGAAGAAGGAATTTTCATCGAACTAGGATAAATACAGAACCTAATGATGTAATCATCTATTTACTTGAAATCATCATCGCTGACATTTACTGGTTCCACGGCGGATATTCCATAATCTGACACTGATGTGCAAGTAGCAACATCGGACGCACCAAATTCTCGTGCAATCAAATTCTAAAAAATTGGTTGAGATGAAAAAAGCGCTAAGCAGCTTTTCGGTAAGAAGTACATGAGCGCAATCGCCGAGCAGCTATTTGGGAAGTACATAGAACAGAATGCATAAAGATTCCCTAAGAACTTCATCGACGTTAAAACTAATAAAAATAACCTGCTTTGCTGTGGCACGAGAGACATCCCTCAGACTGGGTAGTGATCGGCTGTTCTTACTTCCTGATGGTCTTACAAATTGCGACCTTTCGACTGCTGATCCTGACGACCATTGATGCCTTTCTGAGTAACTTATCAAGTATGTTTATTAAATTCCTAACTACGATCATTAAGTTCTTAACTAAAGTATACACCAAAAAAAACTTGTACTACCTAATATTATAAGTTCATCACTACTTACCCATATCAGAAAACAGAGGTCTTGGACAACCAATAGCATTTCGACGTGCTCGATAATGAACATCTGATATCTAAAAATTTTCACAGAATTATATAAAACTGAGAGTTTTTTCCGAAAATAAAAAATCTTCATTCAAAAGAAATTTCGAAAAAAAAAGTTCTACCTTTTCTACTGAGTTAGTTACGGGAAGCAATGACTTCGGTGCAAACAGATTAGCTGATGTCGTGCTTGAAACAATTATTGGAGGAACTGCTGGTTGTCCGCCTGTAATAGGCAGAATGTTAACCGTGCCTGAAACAACCAAATTTATCCCAACAATTTCAAAGGCATCATTCATTTCCTCGTAAATTTTAAAAATTATTTTTTGAATGTGGCCATCTTAAAATAATCAGCAAATAGCTGGAATTGAAAGATCCCTCATTTTTTCCTGGTATTTACTTTTCTCAGTAGCCAGCAGTTCACTAAATACTTCAACATCCTGATATATATGAATATTGAAATGTGAGATGAAATTTAATATGTCAAATAAATTATTTCATTACTGCAATATCGAGAAGGCAAAAACTTGAGAGTGCGAACAGGACACAGAAAGAAAAGCATAGATCTGCTAAGTTGAAACAACAGTACACGAAAAATAATACAGTTTAATTACTCTGGTAAGTCCTAAAATGTATTCCGCAAGAAAATGCCAGTAATTCCATTACTGAGACTTAAATATACTTAAAAAAGGATCCATTCTCTGAATATGAAAATCTATTTCCACTATCTTTAGCAGGCATTACTTAACTAACCCTAGTTTGCAGGGACTACTATTTTTAGATCCCCCAAAATTTCATTTGTAATCACACACAAACATTACCCGATGAATTGCTGCAACCCAATCTCGGCACTTCTGTAGCCAGAACAGGTCGAACTCCTTGCTGAGGTAAATTGATCCGGGGTAAACTTGAACCAGGATTTGAAAACATTCTTGTTTTTTGATAGACTATAAACATCACCAATCAGACATTGCCAATCTAAATCTCCGATAAATTTACATTTATAAAACGCTTCCTTCTTCCATTTCTTCCGAACCAAAAAAATCTTATCACATTTATTTACTTATCAAAAAATTCTTATTATATTATATTTACTTTCCTGTAATATCTATTACAGCAAATGTATATTGTTTTTTTCCAGCGTCAATAATATGATAGATATAACGGACAACAAATTTCAAGAGCAACAACATAATTTCAGGCAAAGTCCTGATCTATTAGAATAGTTTATTTAAATTCAATATGTAAGAACTTGATCAAGTGAAAAGTTTTTCGATTGGATAAGAAACTCGAAAAACATATGAAACAGTAAACACTGAAAAATCATCATGTAACAAAACAAACCAAAAACAACCGTACAGAAAAGCATCAAAGACCGCTAGCAAATTTCAATGATGAAACAAATAACAAGCAAAATGAATTGAGCGCTGAAGTGACAAGATGAAAGAATTAGCTCCATGAATAACAGAAAAAGGTGCTACGAGAAGGGCATCGTCTCATGTTTCACGCATTGTTGCATCCTCTAGGTTCCGGTGGCGTTTCACACGTGACAAACCTATAAATTAAAAAAATTATAAATCAAACTTTCCGCGCATCTAAAGATGTCCAAGAAGAAATAATAAGACACTGATTCAATTCGCAATTTTTATGTGCTTACTAAGAAAAATTACATCGTCGTACGACGACTTCACATGATGGGCAACACAGAA